ACAGCGGACGACTCTGCGATATCCCATATTGCAGCACCTGTTCAAGATCCATCGACAGTTTAGATGTACTTACTAGGACCCATAAACGCAAATTCTTGGTTTTGCTGTTGCTTGGTAGATCACGTGGTTGCTCTGACATCGTCCTACAGCTGGCACTTTCTCAGTCGAATGTCTAACATGGAGACTCGAGATCAAAAAAAATCTTCCACGACATACAAATATCAGGTATTCAGCACCTAGCCGACGTCCTAGTGTTTCAGCGCTTTTTGACGACTTTCTACTCGCATAGGAAAACAAGAGAAGAGGCACAGCAAATGACGGTGGCGCATATGCTAGAAGAAGTTCAAAGCGCAGAAACGCCAGACGTCTTCGAAAATGTCTCCAAAGCATTCGATGGCTTTGCTGCAGGTAGATTGATGGAATGGCTTTTAGTCTTGAAGTAGTAGTAGATTTTAATTCGCTTTGTTGATTTGGATTTCAATTTAAATCTCTCTTTGTTCTTTCATCCCACGATTGTTTCTTGTGCATCGAAAAAAGCTCTTTTCCTCCAAACAACACTTGTAGCTTGGAACGAAGGCTTTGGCAGCGGGTGGGTCGAACGATGGGAGTGCCAAGACATACCGAACGAGTACAAAAACCTCAAAATGAACGAAGACACGAAGCTAGTTTTCTGCCTGGCTGATACTCAGAACGAAGGTATTAACGCATTTTGTTCTTTTGATCACAGTGATAACTCTTTTAGTGCAGTGTCGGGAACAAGATCGACCTCATGATGATCATTAAATATTTCTAGTACTGCTGGTGCTGCAGCCTTGTTCCGCATATAAGTACAACAAACATCATGATCTTTTAAGAGCCGCAAGATTTCGAATTGGCAGCACAATCCACGCTGTTCTAAGCTCCAAGGTATCTGTCCTCTTGCTTTGGTGCAGACAATGTGTGAAGCACACAACGGTTTCTTGGAGCTTGTCAGGGAACGGGAAAAACATCTAGTGAGGCAAAATTACAAGACGAATAGGAGAAGGGAGACCCAGCGCGATGATGGAACAAAGGGGGATGGTAGTTACTTACAGTATGATGTGGTTTCTTGCTCTTGGCCTCCTAGGTGGAAAAAGTATTTTGTTCGTCTAGCATCCTTCCATCGACGAAGTCATGTTTGTCATGTCGAAATCTAATCCACCAAGTATAACAGGCTTTCTCTAGTACCAGTAGTACATCCGTATTTCCACTCACCATTCCGCAACATCATTACGCCTCCAGTTGTTATGGGCGTCGATGCTGCTGAGGAAGACGCATTAGATGAGGAGGAGAATATCAATGCTCTCATTGCCGAAATCGATGCTAAGATGATTTCGACACGTGACTTAGTGAATCGCTTCGATTGCCTTAGCTTCAGCCTGGAAGACCTCATGGTCTGGGTCAAAGACAGAGCAACAAAGTTCACTGAAGGAGGTATTGAAGTTTTTGTGTGATGTTTTTTTTCGCATACATGGGTTATTGGATTTTTCACTCCCACGCCATTACAATTTTGTGTTTTGAATTCAATAAGAATTGAATAAAATCAGAAATTTTCATTCCAGTAAGGCGAAATCCAATTTCGTTTGAAAATTTAAACAGATTTTTATTTTGATGCCAATGGCGTTGCCTGATTTGAATTTGAATAGAAACCGAATAAAATCAGAAATTTTCATCATAAATTTGATTTCGACTGAATTTTTTAAATTGATTGTCATTCTGACGACAGTCGTATTTTTCGGTTTGAATTTGCATGAAATGTGAATAAAATCATAATTTTTCGTTTCGATGCAAGTTGTGAAATAGAATTTCAGGAAGAAAAAAAAGTCTAACTAATTTGTATATTCTTTCAGATTTGTGGAAAAACGTGACATAATCCCAAAAATATCACTCATATCAAAAATTACTCCAGGTCGTATCGATTTCGACTTCGAACGCATAGAAAGCTATCTCGTAGACAAATTCCAGAGCAAGCGAATGTTGCAACTGGAATTGAAAGTCGTGCGATTTACCTTCCAGGATATGGGCAGTCTGGGAAATTTGTCTGCATTGAAGAGCAAACTTACTTTATGATTGGAAAATGAAAAATATTCTATTATGAGTCAATCAGGGGATAATGAGCATTGCACCGCCATTTTTTCTAATGGTGCTACCTTTCTTTCCCATTTCCACTTCTAACTCCTGCCCTCGGAGCAGGTGGCGCGACCGGTGCACTGCAGGGTAAGCCTTTATCGCAGGAGGACCAGACGCTGTTGCGAGACCACTTCGCGAACAATCGAAGTCTAGCGGAGCTCTTCCAACGGCACCTAGACCTCGTTGCTGGCTTCATATTGAAGATCTTTGACGCTACTGGGAGTACAACTGCAGTCGCTACTGCCACTCTGGATGCTCGTACTAGTGAGCAACAAGAGTCTGAAGGAGGTGGTGCGACGTCTCTCCCACAAATGGGATTCCTAGACTACTGCACTAAGACGATGCTGCAGACAGACGAGCAAGTGCAGGCAACCTGTGGAGCTAGTGTGATGCCGGTGGTGCGTCGCATGAAAATCAGACATGTCGTGGATGTACTGGAACTTCTCGACAATTTGTCGTCTGACGTCTTCGACGCCGTCCCTGTCCAGTTTCGGAGCGATTTGCCGAAGGACAACGCCACACTCTCAGCTGCGTTAGCAGAGGGCAAAGCACGCATGGATTTGGACGTGCTGTTGCCGAATCTGAAGCACTACATCTTGATGAACCTGACTGAGAGCACGAAGCCAGACAACAACCTGAAGGAGTGGCTAGGCTTCGTGGACACAGGGGACACGACGTTAGCCGAATGTCCCTGGTTCGAGCATCACTTTCCCGATGAGCTAGAGCACCGCTACGTGTGCGCACTCTACAACTTCTTGTCCTCTACTAGCAACGAAGAGGAAGACGATGAAGACGAGGTTAGCCGCGCTAGTGAACAAGGCGATGCGCCACCTGCGACAGGACAAGGACAAGGAAACGAAGCAGCTGCACATCTTCAAATAGATTCATCTAGTACGGCGATGGACGTCGATCAGGAGGGAGCAGGTCCCGGACGACCGGGCGAAAGACTGCTTCCTTAAGATCGTCGAAGAAAATCCACGTCTACGTCGAGAATCATGAAAATCAACATGGGGAGGACGTCGTCGAATTACAACGAAAGTCTTCAAACGGATTTTTTATGGATCTCTTTTTGATACAGCTAGCAGCGACTAGGAGAGAGGACGAGGCCAATTTGCTTGGCAAATAGAACAAAATCATTACCTCCAAAATTACTACTTATTCCAGATTATGTTAAGCTTAGTAGACACGACGAATCTTTTGTTGTAGACCACAAAAGTTTTTCCTTTCTTCTAAAGGTGTTTTCTCTCCTCACAAATAAAACACTATCAAGCGCTTATTTTTATTTGATTTTCACGCACTTGCTTAGATGATATCAACAACGATGTCAATCCACTCTGAAGATATTAGATCAGCGAGCTGTTCATGCTCTCTTTCTAAAGTTCTGACAATCAAATCTGTTTAACGAAAGCAAAATAGACATAAAAGAAGTATTTATCAGTGAACTTCTTCTAATATTTTTGAATAGTGAGAAACACTAGAAAAATAGCGAAAATGAGTAAGATAAAGCTCGTAAAACAACAGGGCCAAATATAAGACCAAGACAAGCCAAAGCCGAGGCGACGGGGTAAGTAAAAAAGGTGCAGCTTTGGGTACGGAGTAAAAGCATGCGTCGTGGTGATTTCTACGCGCTTTCCTTCAAATACGCCTTTATCAAATAGGACGTGAAATGGCACTAGTAATAAGGCACTAGTACGCCAAAGATATCATAAACTTATACTTAACTACATCCCCTGAGGACATTCATTCATATTTTTTGAACCGATCCTGATGAAATCATCTCCTCTTCTTCTGCAGCACTCGTCGACGAGTCGTTTAGTTTATTGATGGAGTTTCTGAACAAAGCGTCAGGGTTTTGGCTTATATGGATCGCATGTTACCCATTTTTCTCTCATTTGAAGATTGATCGGTGTCGTGTATGTATATGTTGAAGTAGAAGTTTTATGATATTAGGTCGTTTTCTTTTTCTTATCCTTATCCCCTTTCGGTATTCGGTGTTTTCCCAATGAAAAATGTGCAGTGTAGTTTGTTTTCTTCATCTTCAATGTAACACCACGATCATATTTTCAATGTTTTTTGCTCTGCTTTGAGTACGAGCATCAAATCGTTGTTCTATTTTTTACACTTATAAATATCATCTTTTTTAGCAATTACAATGTTTCATCATTCTCATAAGAAATCTAGTGTATTCTAGCTTTGTAGTCAAATCTTGATCGCGAAAGAAGTGCACTGCACCAGAGGTGGTGACCACTCATCGTCATGTCATGAAAATGCCTCTCGAAGATTTGAGGCATTTCATTTCCACCCACACTTCCCACATATAGTCCGTCGTCCTCGTGAAGATGAGAACTTATTATTTGTCAACTATTAAAGCAAGTTCGGCCAGGGCCATTCCATTTCCATGACTTTTACTCCACGAAAAAGAAGAGGCGCAAGGGAACATCATGACAACACGTGCATTGTGCGAGGAATAGACATGAAGATAGAGGTGGAGCAGCAGCTAGAGGGAATAAAAACGGAGGACTTGGTTATGTAGAAGAAGAGGGTTCGAGAAAGAGACTTTGAGAGCAAATTAGATGAGCGAGAGCTCATGCGGGAAATGCGGCTATATTGAAAATCCACAAACGAGTGTGCGTGCACTTAGAAGCCACTAATAATTCTCCTCAATCTCGTGTCTTGGCGCGTGGCTGCGGTGTGCAATGTACTCCACCTGCCGCCAGTTTGCGCACTGGATAACACTGAGGCCACTCTTCTAACAGCCCCAGGACACAAAAAAAAAACGGTGGGAACCCCCTGAATCTGAATCTGATGGCGCACGTTCACGAGCCTCCCTTCCTTCTTTTCCTTCATACCTGAAGAATTACAAATGGTGCAGGTGGATTTAGTTTTCATCATTCGACTTGTTGACATCAGTAGAAGTGTCCAACGTAAAATGGATGCGGCCACCACTTCGTGGTGGTCGCGAGACGCCGTGGCGATGAAGATGAAGATGCGGCGGCTTCACCTTCTGTTTCTCGTCTTCTTAGGGTTGTTTTCATCGACCCCAGTAGGAGTCTTGGGAGTGAAGAATCTCTTCGTCAAGAGAAGCGGTGAAACTACCTCTTCATCTACTCATCGTAGAACTTCAAGAAGAGCAACTGCAGCAAGAGCAACCTCCAAGGAGAACAAGATTTTCGAAGACACTGTGATTCCGTTTTTCGAAGGTCAGAATTTGCGCAGTTTCATCGGCTTGACGCATCGCGAACCCCAAGAGTGCACTTGCGCTTGTTGCATCCTCAACCGCGAAGGAGCGAATGCGGCATCCAACTCTGCGAGTCACAATAAACAGCTGTGCCAGCCGCTCTTCTTCGGGCAGACGACCGCTACGCACTCTTATGAACCAAGATGCAATTGGATCATTCAGGATCTCAACGAGTAATACTTCGCTGATGAAGGCACTTCATTTCACTACGCGAAGTAGCCGGTTCTTGGACCAAGGATCTCTATCATCACGTCCTCCAGGTCCATTTGATGGCACATCCAGCCTATACGCTCACCCTGTCATAAGTGAGCATTCTCCTATCCTATCCTATTCTAACCCCCTGCCCTAGATTGTGAAGCCCTCGCCGCCGGCGTCCCCGGCTCAGAGCAGTGTAGAATTGGTGACGGTGCGGTTTTCTTTGCCAAGGACCAACTGGTGGACAAAGTTCATTTCTGTGCTAACAACTGCGAACCAGCGCCAATGTTCTTTCATTAAGGGTAGGTCAAAGGTGCTTTTCTTACCGCTTTTTATGCCTCTCTCCCTTAGGATGAGAAAGGCATAACAAGCGGGGTAAGCGAGCACCAAAAACCTACCTCTAATTTCACCATGTTATGAACCAGCCGCCCACAGGCAGCACATCATGTTGAAGATGTTCTTTCACTTCACTTTTTTAGTACGTCGACAGAAAAACTAAAAACCACTTATGTGCTAGAACACAATAACATCTTCAAACACCTATTATCTCTATGCCTGTTGTCTTTCTCTTCTAACCATAACAACAAAGCTCTTCTCACGACGACCTCTTCCAAGGGACGTAAAGACAAGAAGGAGAACATTTTCGCAATGCAGCAGGAAAATTTGGAACGACGACCACGCCCATCGGGGCCAGAGTGCGTCAGGGTTTCGGCTAAGACCCTAGATCGTCTTGGCCTGGACGTAGTGCATGTTAAGGCTCTTTCGAGACCGAATCGGCCATTTTTCTTTGTATCTATGTATTCTTTCATTTGTTCATCTCATTCTCATGTTCATCCTCAGAAGGATCTAGTATCAATCTTGGGACCATTTTGGTTTTGTTTCAACTAGGGACAAATAAGCGTATGAAATGTGTTACAGTTACTGTCTTCAACTACAAAATGCATAGAAGTCCTCCTCGAGATGGTTCTGTTGAGTAAGTAACGAAGCTCTCTAATCACAGAGCCGAGACAACCGGATTGAGACTGGAAATGGTCAGCTGCGAGACCTATCATGTGCAATTGTTTGGTGGGAACAAGGATGACAAAAATTGCGCCTTTTCTGTATTCGATCTGGCCAAACCAGCGGATCCGCAGTGCACTCAGGACACGGTCTGCGCACTTACTGGGAGAATGGTGTATTCATTTTGATTCCAGAACATTTCCTATTGTTCCTCGTTGGTTATGCTAACCATAGGCGAGGTGGTCCATCCACAGTCGTCTTCGATGATTTGATTTTCTTTTTCGCGTGAAAAGGGAGACCATCATTCTAACCCTTACACACTGGCGTCAACAGCTCGAAAAATTGTATCCGACTTTCAACGACATGACGGATTGCGCCTGTCAACTCTGTAAAAGAGCCTACAATTGGTATGCACACCACGGAAAAAATGTCTGTGCAAATGTTATGGCTTGATTTTGTTGATGATCATCAAGAATCTAGTATCTTTTTGATTTTGCGGAGAATGAGATTCTAATCTGACGACTGGTGGTATCTTTGTATGATGTAAGCTTCTTTTCTAATCAAAGCAATGAATTATGCAGGCTGGAGTCGCGCTTGTTGGTTTTTAGCAATCCTCCGTTTCTTCTAACTATCGCAAGTCAGTCGTGAGTGCTTGTCGTCCCTGCATGGAGCCGCTGGCTGCTTCCGGATGCGACGCCTTCCGGTTGCCGCATATAGAGCAAGCTGTCGCGCAAATCAACACACGTGACAAGACGGAATTAGTTAAGGTTCGGGCTATAACAGTTCTTAACAAAAAATGATCAACAACAACACACGAGAAATAAAGACGGAAATATAAATTTTAGTTAAGAAGGCTCGTCGGGCTATAAACAATCGCTTGTACTAGTTTCCACATCCACGAAAAGTAGTCATTTCTCCCTTGAGGTGATCTTCACGCTTCCCCCTTACTCTTGGGGCTCAACATCGAACCAGATGCAGAAGTAGCGGCTTGAATAGTCAAAAGTAGTCAATACTCGTACATCAAGGGGAGCAACTTTTAACTATTACCACATTGCATTTTTCTACCTTGTTGTCCTCTAACCTGGCATCGCAAGACGTCGATCAGTGTGTCGTGGATACGTACGGCAAGAAAACGGCTGAAGAAGCCGATAACACGCAGATGAAAGAAGCTTATACAGGAGGAATCGCACTGCTGAATCGAAGGATGTTAAGGGAGTGTTGATATTTTTTTATTCGATTAGATATATCTAACATGTAAATATAATTGCAGTACTTCATCTAGTTCTAGTGTCTCGTCTTTATAACAACATGTTGACGAGCAATAATTTTGATGGTGATCATGAAGATGATCTTTGCTTCCATGATGAGTAGAAAGTTGTACAAGAGGACTCCTCATCATCATATTAAATCTAATCCAAAACGGCAAGTGTACTCCTTCGCTCGCTACTGAGATTGCATATTTGACCCTGCCTGAGTTAGAAAAGCAATTCGATGGCAATGAAGAGTGTGGCTGCCACCTCTGTGTCAAATATGGACCCGGGATCTGGAGTGGGAGCGGTACTATTGGACTTACTATAAAAATAGCTATCCATCGATCTTCCACATGATCCTAGTTGCAGTAGAAACTCATCATTCATCACAGCTAGATTGAAGTAGGCTCTCTCAATGAGGTGAAACTCATCTTCAAGTAGGCCCGTAATTATTGATGTTCTTTATCAACAAATGACAAAAAATGACACGTGAATATCATCAAGTAGTGACAACATCTACTTCTAAAACCACATCAACATCAGCATCCCCATGATGACCATCATCACCGTCCCCTCTTCCTCCACCAGCTCTAGCGGAGAAGTGTCAAGCCTGCGTGAAAGTTCCTGCCGCGACGAGGCGACTGCAATGCAAAGATTTCCAGACTGAGAAGTTTACAGCAGCTTCTGGGAACTGGGAAAACCTACAAGCTGGAGAACTGCAGACTTGCGTCTTGACGGCCTTTGATATTACGATAAACGATGCACAACCCCATTCTGGTAGTAGTTACAGTTAGTTTACGAGCTATTCTTGTTTGGTAGCAACAAGTAGTTTGAATGGCAGTTCCGGTATTTGGTAAAAACCTGAATTTGATCATAAAGGAAAACAAGAAGAGAACCCTTGTGATCCAATTCAGGTTACCAAATACCAGTAGAGCCATACACTTAATTGGTTTAAAAAAAGCTTAGACTATTCGACCTTACCGATATTGTTCATCCTCAGGAGCATCTTGGTACTAGCCGTTTTCCCTGAGAAAACCCTTCCTAATCAGATGTGGATCTCCACCGACCACTTCTCCTCCACCCCCAGAGGCCCAGACCCGCTCTAACATTCGAAGACCTCACCACTTATTGATGGGCGGTCTGTGCAATGGCGCTTTCATCTGCGACGCGCTGAAACACGTGAGCGAAGCCCTGGGCGAGATTACTGGAGAAACTGGCGAATGCGCATGCTTCACTTGTCTCGAAATGCGGAAGTACCTGCTATGCTGTTGGATCGTAGTGAGAGTAGAATAGTGAACAAGAGATAACAAGTACAAGATCTAGGGACATCGTCGTCTTGCTCCCCCTACGATCTACATACACGACTTAAACATTAAAATTAGATCATGTGTAAGAGATTTCCTTTTGTTCCATGGATTATTTACACAGCTTAACATCAGTCCACACCAGGATCATAATGAAGCATCTTCACGATTTCCAACAGCATACAACTCTCTTCTAATTTTTGCCATCAGCGGACAATCCTGCCAGCATAGCCTTGAAATCCAGTCTGTTTGCCAACGCTGTGTCGCAGAACAAGACCGCATCGCTATAGTGGAGTAGAGAATTGCCGATACTAGCGATACTTCTGCATCAGATGAAGATAGAGATTTCCCTTTCGGTAACTGTCTGTTTCATATTTGTTGGAAAGTCTTTTTGTCCTTTAACATCTGATTTTCTCGTGTTGTAAATGTAAAAAAGTTAGTACCACCAGATGCAGACGAGCCAATGTTGTAGCTGTTTTACTGTTGTTCTAGTTTCATCTATTCTTTCCACTGTTGTTCTGGAAATAAACGTAATAATCTTCTACTAAAGAAGACGAGATTTTTTTTGGATTTCGCAGCTCCGAATACAAGACAGCTGCCTACAGGGGCATTGTCTTCCTAGAGAGCTGACTCGCTCAGCCCCCCCTTCTCTCCAGGTTTTTCCGTCCGTCTCCTGTCCATCCTTCTCAGCAGCCCTCGGCCCAGCGACTCCATGGCCTAGCCCTTTCACTCGGCAGCCCAAAATGGTCAAAAAGTAAAAATAACGTCTGTTTTTGAAAAACATACGTTTTTGAGGGTGAGTAGGGACGCAGCTGTCTTTAATCCTTCGAGGGTACGCAGCTGTCTTGTATTCGGATCTGTCTACGTCTACAGCTCCGAATACAAGACAGCTGCCTACAGGGGCATTGTCTTCCTAAAGAGGCTCACGAGAGAGTCAAAGGGAAATTTCGGGTGATCCGGTGCTTGAAGCGCAGGGCTGAGGCGGAAGCCGCTCAAATCTAATCTAATCTATATAATCTAATCTAATCTAGAAGAACACTTGTTGAACATCTGACTGTCTATTGTTTGCATCTGACTGTCTATTGTTGACTGTCTATGGTTCTCCTGTGAGTGAAGACTTTCAACATGCATCTGCTGAGGAGCTGAGACCACGTGTGAAGAGGGCTATGATATCCTTCTATCTCTATGGGGTATCTATATTGATAATAATAATACCCTTATATATAAAATATATGTATCTGGGAGTGCAGTTGAGTGATGTCACCAGTGTCAGATGTGTGCGTCCGAAGTGTGAGAAACAAGGTGATTGCATGAGGAGAGAAAAAAGATTACTTGTATGATCTTTTGTTTTCCATCGTGAAGCGCTTTTTACCTGCATTGAAGAGTTTCCTCTGTCTTAGAGAAGGAGATAAACAAGAAGTTGAGTTGTCTTGGTCTGTATGAGAAGTGAGGTGCGAGTAAAAGTTGAGTTTATTCGTTGGTCTATCAGAGAAGAAGTGCGAACCAAGTGATAAGCTTTTTTTGAATTTGAGTGCCTGTTCCACGTAGGTACAGATTGATCATGATCACATGTTCATCTTCTAGATGAAGCAATAGCAACTCTCTCCATGAAGATCTATTATAATATCTGATTACAACAGCAACAGGAGCTATAAATATAATTGATCCCTTTCCATTTTCCCCATTCACCTCCCCTTTACCCACTGTTTATCAAGTCCTCTGTAACAAGGTACAACGTTTTATTCCATGTTCAAGATCGGTAGCTTGTCTACATACGGTACACCTTTTCTAGCTTGTCTACATCCCTAGCTTGTCTACAAGCACAAGATACCTCCCTTTCTTCCTGAGAAACTGCTGCCACATCCATCTTTTAGCTTTCTTCTAGGTCTAGAGACGAAAGCCAAGAAAGATGTCCTCCAGTTTGTTAAAAAAGTGTGGCAAGATCGCGTCCGTCTGGTGCGTGAGCGGTGCCAGTGCTCACATGCTGGCTACAAATGCCACGGATCAAGGGGCAGGCTTCTTGCAGCAAAGCCTTAGTAAGAACAAGAAGCCGACCACTAAGAACAAGAAGCCGACCACTAAGCACAAGAAGACGAAGGACAAGAAGAAGCAGCAGAAGAAGAAGGACGGTGGCTTTTTATTTCGCGGAGTATCCCAGGCCGCCAGTAGTGCTGTGGGTGTCATACGCGATACCGTAGTCGATACCGTAGTCGATGGACGCGATCGCTGGAACGATTTTACAATTGCAGGCTCGTATGCCGATGCCGACAAGACGTGCAACACGAAGATGTCTGAGAGGGATTGCGACGACGAGAAACGCTCGAACGGCGGGAAGAAGTGCAGATGGGAGCCATGCGATAAGGACAAAACCAACTATGCTTGCATCGCAAATCGATGCAAAAGTCACAAATACCCGAAAAGCTACCCAAGATTACAGCAGTGCCGCCTATGGGAGCGCGGACCGTGGACCGCCCCAGAATCACCCCGCAAGTGTGAGGACATGCGGACACTTCCGACCCCCCAAGACGTGCAAGATTGTAAGGATAGTCCATGCTGCAAGGTAAAGACAGAAGCGGACCGGCGAATACCAGAGCAGAGAAATAGCAAAGGACAAGTCACGGTCTGGAGTGAAGTACGCACCGATCATTTTTGTGTTCCGGACTTCGGAGCAGGCCGCCGTTAGGTGAGGCATATTACGTATATATAGATATAATCCTGCATGATCTCCGGGACTCAGTTTTGTTTGATCGTCATCAAATATAATGATTGATGACATAATTTATTTCTATTATGTGATATTTTCTTCAGGTGGATTAGAACAATCAGTATCGAATATCAATAAATGACATGTGCTGCTAAAGCTAAACCTAAAAGGAGTACTTCATCTAGGTGATCATCAGATTGAATCTGAATAATACCTAGTGAACAAAAATCGCTCGGAGTTGGCGCGGCCAGTTATTCCATTCAACGATACCTCATTGCTCTTAATGTAGTTGTAATAGATACTCTTACTCAGATTATCATATTATTTGTTCTAGGTCTCAAGAAAAGGATGATACTAAAATAAAACAACGAACCGTTATTTAGTTTTTACCTCTGTCACGTAGATGTATCCCTTCAAGCAACATAGTTGGAGGCCTCAAGAAAAGGATTTCTTCTTTGTGCAGCTGTAGAAGTGTAGGCAGCTCTCAATCTCAAGAGTAAGCTTTCATTGAAGAGTAAGGAAGTATTTGTATTTGCGACTCTCTTCATAATTCATCTACCGCTTAGTAAACAGAAACAGCTTGTTGTAGATTGTCATCTTCGAATTAATCATTTAGTCTTGCAGGAGGAGAACATGAATTAGAATTCCAAGCTTTTTGATCATTACTAGGGAAAATTTCGGGATAAAATGTTGAACAAAACAAACCTTCTTCACGTGGACGTGCACGTGATGTCAGACTCTTGAGTCGTGGTAGATATTTTTGGTGTTCGTTGAAACGTCTTGGCATATCTTGATCGTGATGTTGAGGCCGCTTATGTTGGTCATTTTCGTCGTCGGTTTTCCACCTGAGACTTTCAAGCGTCTGAAGTGCTTTTTGAGTTTTACATGATTCAGGATCATGAATCTTCTAAAAGTTGCATCCAATGAGAAGTAGCAGGTCGCGATCGAATCATTAGTTGATGCTGCATATCCGCTGTCTTGTGTTTTTATGCAGCGCATCCATCGCTCATGCAGCCTAGATGGGCATAAAGGGCGTGATATGTCAAAGAAAAAATGTATACTCGAAGATGATTAAGTGTTCGCGCGCGAACATTCTTTTATGCGGCGCATAATGCGCTGAAGGAGCTGAGGGTCGTCTTCAGCACTCAGGAACATGAACAGTGAATGTAGGAGGTAAAAACAAGATCAGATGTTGAACTTCCAGTTGTATTCGTTTGAGTCATAAACGAGTCGTTCAACGAGGAGAGGTGTCTCTTCGGAAGGTGTGTGTGAAAGCGAGGAGGTGGCTTCGGTTTTTCAATGTGGATCACACACACTTTCGGTTCAGCAGTTGCGGTCGGATTCATTTCATTTTTTTTTACCTTTCCCCAACCGCCCATGCTTTGCTTTTTTCTTTTAATTTTGAACCTTCTTTTCTAATAATAATGATAAAACAGAGTCGTGATTGGATGATTGTTGTTCTGATTGAATATTGATCAAGCAGGAACAGCAGGAACAGTCGAAAAACCACTAACAATCCAACAACGGGCTAGACTAGCGGGGAGAACTGGCCAGGGAAATATTAGGCAGCTCGCCGAATAGATTCAAACTTCTACTACAACTAGTTGGCGTCCCCGAGCAAGAAAAATATTAGATGAAGCTACGACCCTTAGGAAGAGAGAACAGAAAGGAAGACTTGAGCTTAAACTCAAGAAGTGGATTAATGACTTACTAATGAAAGCGGCTACAATCTAAACAATTCATCACTCTTCATATTAGATGAAGCTACGACGTGGACGGTCTTGTAAGTTTTGTTTCTTAGTGAACAATTCGTAGCTTCATCTAATATTTTTCTTGCTCGGGGACGCCAATTAGTTGTAGTAGAAGTGACCAATTGCTTCCTCCTTATGCAACCGTGGACGGTCTTGTAAGTTTTGTTTCTGCTCAACATTCGGTCCTCTTGCTCCTCTTCATTCTTTAAGAGACCCTTAAAGATGACGATAACGACTTACTTACCTGGATCCACGTGAATACTAAGAAGGGAGAAACTTGTTCCCAGAATCTTCCCAGAAACTTTCCATCTTTGAAGAGGAATTGGAGGAGCCAGAGGACCGACGAATAGCAACGAATTGCGATCGTTATCGTCTCTTCAGCCTGTCAGTACCTAGAAGTACAAGTCGTAGCACTTCATGTTATTGGATCGCGTTGTTGAAGCGATTCTCGTTCTTCACACGACGAAAAATATTTACAGAGAAGTACAGATAACATGCTGTACATTGTGTAGCACAGCGTGTTCATACTTGTTGATAATTGCTAACCTAACACTGCCTGCATTTCTCGGCTCTTATCTCTCGCTTACCAGAAATATTTACAGAGAAGGTCTATTCAGACCTATCCTATCGCTATCCTCATATCGATATCCTTGAAGGGGGTCTATCCCAGCAGATCATCTCCATCAGCAAAATGCTCGTTCTCCTCGATCATCTGCTGGAACTAGAATCCAGCTTCACGACGCTCAGCATATGTTGGGCGTTAGTGGGCATAGCCGTTTTTGAGCTTTCCCTCTGGTTGTCTTCTCGGTTGTTACAGCGGTACGTGGTGCAGAGATTTTACTTAATAAGGCTTCAACAATTTAACAAATGATCCATCTTAAGTAACCAGCTTGTAGTTTTTGGGTTCTCCGTTTCTTAAGGGAGAAGGGGCAGCAAGATGCTCTACTTACTTTTAGATGGATCAACATTTCTTCTAGTTGATCTAGATCTAATTTACAGAAGGAGAGCAGGAGGTCAACATGTGGAGACGAAGTTTTCTGCCGATGATCAACGCAAGGCAGATTTGCTGGTCGCTGCCGTGGTGTATGCCAGCATCTGCACCGTCCTAGGCGCCTACCTGACCTTTTATTTAAGAAAGGTTAGCGTTAGTACTAGTTCTAGATTTAGTGCTACGATACTGCAGTAGGACTCGATGTAGTAGCCACTGTCAGCATGCGCCGTCTGAAATCACCCCGACCACTTTGGTTCCGCGGTGTACTAACTCTAACACAAGGTTACAACTACGATTCTGACTTGAATCATCGGATAAATAAGGCAGGGCGTTTTCAAATGACACAGTCGACAACCGCGGACAAAATGTTGAAATATATACTACAAGAACTTACTAGAAGATGACCTCTAATCCTTCCAGGCTTGTATGTGTCAACGACACGAGGAGCCTCTTCAACCTCAAGCACGTCAAGAAATCTCTTCGAACACTTACTCTCGGACCGTACAGATGTCGGACATGCCTGGCGAAGGGATGCTTCTTCCGATGTGGGGAGTAAGGCAGTTTCGTTTCTATTTGGGATCTTCTTCGTAGCGACACTTCACGAAAAAGACCCAGTTTACATTCTGCATCACATGTTGTTATGAGCAAGATCATGAGGCCACGGGCAGTTGTTCGTGTAGTTTTTTTTTGATGTTTTTGAAGATATTCATGAAAAAGCTCAAGCTCATGCGCGTGAACTCGTCTCATGTATCTCTTCTAAGAAATGTTTGCGTAAATGCGTATATCTCTGTCACATTTCCGTACATGCTGATCTGGAGCATCTACCTACTCCAATGGGAAGTCTCGAATGTGCCTCTGAACATAATGCTCCTTCACGACCACATAGCCGCTGTCTGCAGTGACGGATCTTACTCATCCACTGCGAGGAGTAAGATCAAGAAAGGTGAAGCAGGAGATGCAGAAGATGAAAGCGAACTGCTTGATGTAAGTAGATCTTCGTCAATTACTAGGACCACGAAAAAGGACAAGATGATAAAGATAAAGAAAAATGCAGGTCGCAGAAACAGAAGTACAACTCCTTCGTCGAAGTTAAAAAGAAATTCCGAAGAAACAGAAGAAATGAAATTTGCCGAAGACAATCGACAAGTGCGTGATAGACTTCGACGGATTTTTTTCGTCATTTTCGCCTTCTTCCGTATTTTACTGGGATGGCCGCTTAGCTTTTTGATGCTATCCGATTTCGTCGAAGGTGCGACTTTCCCTGCTGCGTCTTTGCTGTGTTTCTTCGCCATAGTCGCTTTGGGAATGAACGTCTATTGGTCCGTTATCATCGTTCAGAAGGCAATGAAACATCTCCTGAAGTAAATCTAGATGAAATGACTTTTTATGATAATCTACGTTGTCGTAGTCGTTGCTCATACTCTTGCCTGTTGTACTTGTTGTAGCTGTAGAAGTAGGCTGGCAGCTCCTAACTGTAACTTCTAGATTATTATTGGACAGATCATGCAGCGTTGCAATGTCGTCATAGTTGTACTCGTAGTAGTACTGGATATTATTAGATAAAAAGCTTGTTGTGAATAGAAAATGTTACAGAATTCATTTATCAACTTCCTACGCTTTCCTATCCCTCGTCCATCATGATACCAAGAGCAATTGATGGTAGCACTGAAGATTGACGCCGCTGCGGCATCAGTCCTCTCGGTTCGATCACCCACCACCTCACCCTACTACTTTTTCTCCTCATCTAGTAAGTATGGGCCTAGCTCTCTGTGTTCTTGTTCTTCTCAACTTTTTTCTGAAGTTGGAGACAGAGGACGACACTGAGCAGACAGACACAGACATAATTCCAATCGACTTCCAAGAAGCACCAGAAGCTGACCACCTCGACCATTGTTCGACTTCGTCTTCTGCTCCGTGAGTAAATGTACTAAACGTTGAAGCTGCAAGTGTTCCACCATCTAATTACTTGAGGCAGAATAATAAGTAGGAGGATAAGATGGAAGAACGATCGTGAGTATCTCAGTGTAATAATTGGACGAGGACGAGTTGACATGGAAGGACTCTTCACAAACACGACGAGTAGCGATGATATAGACAGACGAGGGATGTTGAGATACGAGCTTTTTTGTTGATTGCGAAACGTACTGCGCCCCTATAGGTGGCCGGAAACAATTTCTGAAATCTCCAAATCCAAATCCAAAAGCCATGATCTGTCTCCTTTTCCCTTCTGTGAACTCGATTTCATTCGCAACGTTGAGAGATGTAATCCGTTGTAATCGGTACTGTAGTCGGGATGCCTGCACAACTCCCTTCATCTGTGACATACATTTCTACGATCTCGTCCCAGGAGCCTTGCTACTTCGTTTCTCTCATATGTCATCTTCAAGGCAACGCAATGAATAAGTGACCATGATCGGATGATCAACATCTTCCAACAAGGTCGAACTCGAAACTACCAATCGACACATCAAAAAGTAGTAGACCCGCACCCAGGCAAGTTTCCCTTTCCCTTTCCACCTCCTAAGTACTCCCTCTCCTACTCGTCCACATTTAGGTGAAGAAAAAATAACCTCCTGTACGTAGTAGAAGTGACAAAAATATAGATACACGAGGACGCGACATCTGAGACGACTAACACCAAGAAGAAAACATACAACTGGAATAACTGCTGGAACTCCTAAAGCAACTACATCATAATTAAAATGATGGTCTTGAGACGCATCGTACTCGCGGCGGCGACGCAGCAGCTCCTAGTCTTCAAGACGAGCTTGGTGGATGCAAATTAAGGCACTTTTTAAAAATAACCTTCTTTTTCCTCCGACTTTTTATTCCCCAATACTGATTGAATATAGAAGCAAACTGATTAGCTTTTTTCCTTCGACTTTTCCCAATAGTACCGTTAATTTGTAATAGTACAAGCATGTGCATGTAGAAGACTAAATATTTCTGCAGATCACATGCATTGCTAGGACTTTCTTGAACCTAACACTAACAAAAAAATCGTCCTTTTTTTCCTTATGGCGATGCTAATAAAAACTCGTAGGTACTTAAATGAGCGAATGAGTCATCATCTAATGTGAAGAGAATGAGGGATTTTTTTTGCGAGGGTCGAAAAATTTTGTGAATAAGAAACCAGCAGAGGAATACAGCTGCTCGGAAGAGATGAGCCATCCTTCATTATGGTCACCTTTTATCCATCTTGCTCGGCATCTTGGTTCCCCTTCTCCCTGTATTCTCATGAAAAACAAGGGGAGGGGGGTCAAGATGAGGGAGCCGAGACGAATATAAGCTGACGCTAACTACAGTGACTGATGCGACCAAGATAAAGCTCTGCGGATCAAAGAGCAATATCAATATTACGGCGCCTACTTAGTAGCACCAGTAGTTAGTGTTCTGAATAGCAGTACTAGTTCTAGTAGATAGCGCGGTTAGTAGTACATGTACAACTAGTTGTACTAAAAATGGTCTTCAGTAGTACTAGCTAAGTTACTTAACTAGTACTATTACAGACTTGTACTAGTAGTAGTACTACTAACCTCTGATGTTTCTACTTACTTTTTCTAGATATGGCTCGACTTGCATGTACCACTAGATAGGGACTAGTCGGACTAGTAATAGAAGGACTACTAGTACTTCTAGTACTTTTTCTAGATACAACGGCTTGACTGTAAACATCAAAAAAAACCGACTTTCGAAAGAGACTAAAGTGTGAGCTCTCGAAGTAGTCGTCTTAGTTGATGTAGTAAATGTAAGTCACAAACTAGCGCAGCGATGGCGGGCCTTAATTGAAGCAAGTACTTAGTATTAATGGATTGCGGCGAACCAAGACCGTTTCTCGCCTAATCTTTCCTTGCTATCATGTGATAGAATCGACACATAGAATTTCCTCTAAGTAATCATCCTCCTTTTGCTATGTGATAATAACAGTATTTCGTCTAATCCTCCTTGCTATGTGATGCAGGGCGACGTCGCTCTCGAGTACAAAAAAGCGGTTAAGAAGGTACGGAGTAAGCCACCAAAGACAGAGAGGGCAGCGCTTTTAAATTAAGAAATTCGTTTGACATGATAAAGTGGACTAGGAGTAGAACTACTAGCGTCGTTGCTTAATGTTGTAGAGCAACCAAGGACAATGCCTATTATGCAATACAATACAAGATGAATGTTGTTCTTTCTAGGTGAAGAAATAAGAATCTTCAAGGACAAGAACTACGCCATTGTAAGACATAATCGTCAAGTGCAACTACTAATACTTAAATACAACTAAATTTTGATATAAAAAGATACATACTGTTAAGTACTGCAACTTACTACTTGCTGTAACTAAGTAATATACAGCTTATTAATATTTGTGGCTCTCGTCGACTACGCCCAGTGATGGATACAAAAAAAAAAGAGTCGCGCCAATGAATTGGATTGAATTTAGGATAATATCTACTGCAGCATATATAAGCAGCTCCATCTTAGGCATGATACGCATATCGCCGAGTAGATTCGCATCATCTCATGTAAGCTCCATTAGATCCATCAGAGAACCTCCATTCGACTTGCTAGAAGCTCCATCAGATCATCATAAGACTAGTGCAGTTGTAGCTAGGACGAGAGCGTTCTAATTTCGGGAGTATTGCTGCGGGTCGGTCTCATCATGTGGAATAGGACGCTAAAGGACGCTTTGAAGGATGCTAGTGGTCACACGCGCATGACGAGAACCGAGTCGTGGAATATTGCGTCGCACTCGCATGACGAGAACCGAGTGAAAAAGTAATGCGTTGTAATGGTGTAGTGAAAGTAGTTAGTATGATGATACTAGATGATCATCATCTTTTTTACTTGATGTTTTACAGTAGGAGAACGAAACCAGCACCATAAAGCAAAAAACTTCTGGAATACACATTGCGATCATGATGCAGGGTAGGTTGTTCCAGTACTACAATTTTCAAGTATTGTGCAAGTATTTCCTTCATAGAATTCACGTAACATCAACTCATGTTGTAAAATTTGTATTTGAATTTCTTGACTCTTTTGTAGTTTGGCCTTACTAGAAGGGATTACGGGTGCGCCCGTCTCAACAGTCAACACCATGCGTGAGGATTCGGCAACGGCACCCTATCCTATCCTATTCTGACTTATATGACCTTCTGGATTATATAACCTATCCTATTCTTACTTATATGACCTTCTGGATTATAATCTTCAACATCTATCATACCAGTACCATCTTCATATCCATATCAACGAATTATAGATATCGTCTCCTTAGGGCTAACATTTACTTCTCCTAAGATATTTACATCATCAGATATCTTCTCCTTATACACCACACCGTATTGACATTGTACAATCACATCACTTGAAAAAAATCGCCACAATAACCCACAAGCACCAGCAGTATATTTGCTCTTCGAAGAAAGGCGAAAAAGAGAAACGACGCCATCAAATCTATTGGAAGCATCCAGCATTACCTACAAAAAATGTATGAATCCATTGTAACTGTATCTTCTGTACTGGCAACACTATAGAAACGAATAGAAAAACTGCCCCCCATCAATCCGGATGGGCAGAGGGCGCTCTCTGTTGAACGGAGGAACCTTATAAGGTGGCTTCTGCTCTGCCTCATCTGTTACTGTTCTGAGTCGTTGAGTGCAATACTACTATGACAATGTTGTTGACTTCTGTATCTGTACTGTAGGTGAAGAATAGACACCAGAAGGCGGAGTAGATTTTTCTCTGTTGAGTGTACTTGAACGTGAGCAGATATTTTTCTGTACTATGTGAGGCAGGTGGACGAGACGGACATTTTTTGCTGAGTGTACTTGTGCATCAGAGATACAAGGCGATGCTCGTAGGAGAACAATGAGATGATAGATGAAACACTTGTTGCTCTGTTGTGTCGTGAGATGTTGCCTGTCGGAGGTTTGAGCGACAGTGATAGTGTCTTGCAGTTGAGGGGAGTCGGGCATATGTCCTCTGTTTCATGATACAACACTGTTGGAGAACAGAATCAATTGTGGGTACGTACTTAATATCCGGTACGTTTGAGATCCTAACACGCGCGCGAGGAGGTGCTGCGATGGATTACGTTTTATGTCTATTCTTTCTCTCTCCAAAAAAACAGGTCTCCTCTTGCATCACTTTTTCAACCTCCCAAATTCCCACGATTGCTCCTGAGGTCCTTCCATTTTCAGAAAAGGACGTAGAAGACATGAAAAATCATAGCGCTTTATTTTATCCATCACGTACACGTATCACGTACAACACGTTCACGACAATCTTCCAGTTCATCAATTTCTCCTTCGCACTGACTTCCAGTACAAAAGAACATCAACAAGTTGTTGACATCAACAACGACAAGTGACTCTCTTCTCTTCACTGACTCGTTGTCCCAACAAACATCAATAAAAAGGACAACAAAATGGCTCCCCGCTATGCCGCGAAGTGTGCTTTGGCCTTGGGCGTTTCGACGCCAATTCTACTCGTAGAAGCGATCAGCGCCAACATGGACCACGACGAGCAGGATGCGCCCAACTCCATGATGCTGAAAGACGAGGTCAAAGCCGAGGAAGAAGCCCCCCTGGACGTAGATGAGGAGGCGGAAAAGGAGAAAGAACAGGAACAAGCTGCTCCACAAAGAAACTTCGGCTTTCTTCTATGGCCGCTCTCATAGTACTCATCAAGAGTAAAGTAACTGCAATTTTTTTACTTATAGATACTAGCCTGAAATGTTGAAGAATGGGCATCAGATCTTCAAGTTCCTACTAGTAGTGGTAGTATTAGTAGTGTAAAACTACAACATAAGATCTACTGATTATTATAAGTCCAAAAAATCCCACCTGAAAAGCTTTATAAGCTTATTGTCCTCGTCGTCGTCCATATCAAAATCCAAAGTCCGACGACGAGGACAATAAGCTTCCTCTTCCATACATTTTCTTTCGGAGGTTTTGGGTTCGGGTGTTGGAGGTTTTGGGTTCGGGTGTTGGAGGTTTTGGTTTCCGAAGGGAAGTGTTTGCAAAGTTTTATTGCTCTTAATATTGTCCTCGTCGTCGTCCATATCAAAGCTCTCTCTCTATATAGATGGAAATGTTATTGTCCTCGTCGTCGTCCACTACCTCTTCTTCCATACATTTTCTTTCAAAGTGTACATTTACCTATGCTGAATGCACGACCCCTGCCTCCTCCCGTTCTTCTTTTAATCATCGCTCCAGAGGGATTTCTACAGAAGATGTCTCCAGGCTCCTGGTTTTCTTGGGGCAAGAAGAACGCTGCTGACGAGGGGAAAACTGCCAGCAGTACGGAAATCTCCTGTTTAGACGCCGTGAATGGATAGTATTTTCACTTCTGAACTTATTTTGATATTCTTTTTTTTGTCTGTAAGTAAGGTACCAATCTTTTCCCTCTATTCTTAGGTCTATCACTACATGCAATTCTTTTGTGCTTATATTGTTAGGTCTGCTCCACCAACACTCTACTAAGGTTGGTCTACCTGAACCTGATTATTATATGATCCGATCACTCCGTCGACCATTAGGGGTTCTTTTACACGACTAGATGATCACCATCAACTCAATTCTGTCAACTGCACCTACAACTACCACACCTACAACTACCACACCTACAACTACCACACCTACAACTACCACACCTAAAACTGCCACACCTACTTACAACTACAACTACAACTACACGACGAAAGATCTCGACTTGGACGAGCAAGCATGGTAGAAAATGGTAGTGCTGCGCGTCTTTGAGTGGAAAGCAAACTCAGACGTTGAAAGATGGCTGCTCTTGCATCATGTCGTCGTGAGAATTGACCCTCCTTTATCACCACCTAGAACTACAACACAATGAGCACGTCCTTGATAATCAACACCTATCCTATCCTTGATCAACAGTGGTGGTCAAACTCTCGGAGGTCCTGGGCGTTTGAAAAAATTGTGCGGTGGCGATTACAATCCTCAAGGGCAGGTGCCGAAAGGGGAATGGGAACAAATGAATTCGATAGGAAAAAGAATTTCCCGTACGGCGGACGTGGATACCACTGGATTTATGGAAGACGAGAAGGTTGATGTAAGATAGATCAATTCAAATTTAGTAATAAAAAGAAATCCATGATTGACTTAGCAGGTGGTCCAGCGACGCTCAAAGCACTAAAAAGGATAACAACTTCTACCGGTTATCTTTTCCTCTAATCTTAGGCTTATCCCTTCAAGCAAGTAATAAAAAAAAAAGAAACTACAAGAAGTAGTGCAGCCGGTTAATAGTTGGATTCTCTCATTATACTAGGTAGCTAGCGCCTCCATCTAAAGTAATACGGCAAGAGTAAGAATGATCCTCATCAGGCACATCAATCAAGGAGTGATCTTCATCCTCATCCTACCCTCAGCCTCACCCTTAGAAGAGTGAGAATGATTTTTATGATTGTCCTCCTAGTACCCCTAGGTCATCTTACCCTTTGTCAGGCACATCAATGAAGCAATCAATGAATCTCTAATGCTACCTGGAAAAAATCGGACGACTTGCTGAAGCAATACTGCTGCGCTGCACCATGCGGTTGCGACGGAGAGTGTGGCCTGGATGACACGATTCCGGTTCTCAATCAGTAGTTGAGATTCTCCTAGAAATAGAATTCAAGATTTATCCAAGATGAGCTTGTTCTTGAGTCTTGTTAAACGGTACTAAACAAGGTAGAGTTAGTAGTCAGTAGTAGTTCTTGTTGCATAGAAATTGTTGTGCTTGACGATTTGCCACTCAGAAGAAAAATTTATCCGCATTTGTACTATAGATGAGATAGATCATAGGTACGAGGTAATGAAAATTGGAGCAAGAATTTGAAACAAACAGAAAAAATTGTAGTCCATATATTTATAACCATTCACTTATACAGATTATTCTTGAGAAAAAATAGAGTTACAAGAACAAGTAGTACAAGAACTGGTATGCTGCTTGTTGAATTTCAAAATAAGAAAACATACTTCCTTCCTTTCTTCATTGTTAAATATTGTCATATTTGTGAAGTTGTTGTCGCGGGTGTACACCTTCATCTTCCAACCAAAAATGAAAATCAATCTAGCGGACGTATGACAGTCGCAATCTATCTTCATTTTAACAGAGAAATACCAGAAAGGCTAATGACTGCAAGGAGCAACTGTCTTCAACATTTGGATTTGAAATAATATGTAGTAGAACAAACTGTACAAATCGTAAATTTACTCGGTACTAGCCGCGTTTTCGTTTCACATTCACATAACCGATTAGTGATACAAGAAAGAGCATATCTGTAACAATCAAAAATAAGACGCGATAAGCATCGATGAACACCAACAATATACAAATCATTGGTCTAGTACACGCAGCTGCTGAGAAAAAACGAAAAATATAGCTGGTCGGTACACCCGAAAGCGATGGATCATTCAACCATGTGTTCCTCCGCATTTTCAAGGAAGTGCCGTGATATCCGGATGGATCTGTCCAACATCCATTTGATAAATTTTCCGATCGTGGTAGACGAAGAACGAGGAGGATCTTCTCTATTGCTGCGACCCACGTGATCCCTTGTTACCTCTTTTCTGAATCCGGTCCAATCTGAATCATATTGACATTCCACGATGAGCCTGGTTCTAAAGCGGAGATGGTGGGTCTTGTTCTCGGTTCTTCATCTTCTTGTGAACTGAAGAAGCTCCGAGTTCATCTGTTCAACAAAATCTTGAATCAGATTATGACTACACTACAATAACTATGTACAGCTTGGAGTGCGACGGACCACAAGCCGACTCTACCACGTCACACCGCATAAAGGAATACAATCACTGAGGACGCCAACAGCATAAAACAACTTTTGATCACTTCTTCATCCAATTTAACAATCCACTAATTCTAGTACTGAGCACGACCAGGTAGTGGTTGTAGGAATGAGCAGTATGACTCTGTCTCGAGGCCTAAAAATTTCGGATTTTTTTACAACTCCAACTTGATACCACGGTCAACTTCTGAATGATCCGCCTTACAACTTTCAAAGTTCAATTCTTGTTTCCCTCTATTGTATTAAGCCCGCAACGACGACCCTAACGACTCCGTGACGACCATTTTTACATTAAGAACCTCAATCTCTTCATCCTCTATTACTATTTCTAACCTCCACTAAGATCAAAAAGATGTCGCTCACAGTTCGTCAGGCTTCTCAGCTTGCGCCAGTTGTACGTCAGGGTATCGACAAATTGGCGAAACAGCTAGACGATCAGGAGGAGATTATCAAATTTTTGAAGCCAACACTGCGCGCAAATGCTTTGAAACTAGAAGCGGTTACGAGCAAGGTACTACTGCTTGTTCAGTAAGATGATGATCAATTTCGATGTCATGATGAAAAAGAAGTACAAGATTTTTTTACGTGCTTTAGTTCTTCATTCCTATCACGTTCTTCTTCGTCCAGTTCGCACTTGCAGTCTTCAACATTACAATTACTACGAACTACTCACACCTTATTTCAACAGCTTCGAGCAATCGAGAGCGACAAAAACTCTTTGCGCGCGACCTTGGCTCAGCTTGATGAGGCGACAACGAATTTTGAGGAAATCTACGTGCAAAAGCAAGCACTTCTGGTGCAAAATTTGCAGAATACGGCAGACAGAATAGGAACGACCCAGACACTCACAAACAGCATTGTTATGGAGATGCCACATCCGTATTGATATACTTAATCTATAAATTTTCGCTTCTGTTTGTAGTGACTCGTCCTACAACCGTTTATCTAGGGTCAAGAAGTCCTGTGCTCATTGTTCTTTCATGATCTCATCCCTTTTTATCATTTAGTGGATAACATGATCGAATCTACATCTACAACTTACCTACCACAACAGGTATTTCCAGCAGTTGGCGAGAGATTATCAAGCACAGTTAGACAGATTGAAGCAAACAATTGCGGATAGTCAGCGAGCTTTACAGGGATATCAGAATGAGAAACAAGAGGCAGCAGCGACTAACGAAATTCAAGAAGCAGCGATAGTGGTAGTTGTTGATATCATGATGCATGATGATGTGTTTTTAGCGAGATGTTGTACTATTATCATTTGATAATTGTGAAGAGACTCAGACTACAACAACATGGTCCTCCTGCTGGCTCATCCTCCATGCATTGTTCATGACACTAGTAACATCATCTTGATATTATTACGTAGAGGTGAGACATTCATGTTGATTGATGGTGTAGATTACTTCTCCATCTCTACCTCTATTAGGGCCGCAAGATCGAATTGTCTATCCGTGCCAATTACGCATGCTTTCGACATGTTGCGGGGGCTCTGCTCAACCTCGAAGAGAGGTCAGAACATTTGAAGCAAGTCGCCATGCGGGAAAGGGGCATTAACATGAGGTCGATCCTCACTCTCCTCAACGCCTCTGACGACCCTGCTTCTGCTGCTAGCGGTGGACTAGGAGGAGCTCATGCTCAGAATGGGGCAAATACGAATAACGGAGGTGGTAGAGCAGGCGCACTTGGAGGTACTACGGGAGCAAACGGTACTGCAACTAGTGCTGGCAGTAATAATATGTTAGGAGGGTCACTAGGAACAGGTGCAGGAGCTGGAGGAAATCCGGTTTTCGGAGGTGGCTTGGTTAGCGGCCAAGGAGTAGGGAACAGCAATACACTGTTGGGTGGCCAAGTGCCTAATCAGCCAGGAGCACCTGGAGGAGGTGGACTTTTTGGCAATACCACGACTACTGGTGCAGCAAGTTCTGGAGGTGGTTTGTTTGGCAATACTGGGACACAGCCAGCAGCAGGTGGCTCTCTATTCGGAAATACCACAGCACAGCCAGCAGCTGGTGGAACTACGTCTCTCTTCGGAGGAGGAGCAGCGCAGCCCGCTGCTGGAGGCAGTTTGTTTGGATCACAGCCAGCTGCAAATGGAGGTGGTAGTTTATTCGGTGCAGGTGCGAATAAACCACAAGGTGGAAGCATCTTTGGCAGATGATGATGAAAGATTGCATAGTTAGAAGTCTCTTGCTCTTCCTCACATCAACACGTCAGCTTCACAATCTACGCTTATTTCCACAACGCACATCTTCACCGTGAAGATTCCTCGAATTAATTTGATCACGACTAAAAAGTCATTTGTCATCGAGACCTGTTCGATGAGTTACCTCAAGAATCGACGAATATTTATAACATGCAGCAGAGCAGAAGGAGGACGCTGATGTAGCTGTACATGTGAACGCTGTAGCTGTACATGTCGGCGTTCTTCCTCTGCTAGTACGACGTACGACTGAACTGGCTGTGTCCAGCTGTGTTCGTTTCCTCCTTTGTTTACAAGGCGAGGAAAACCTGCACAAGGAAAAGCACAGGATGATAAAACTAAAAGAAGAGAAGTACTTACTTAATAAGCTCTTGAAAAAGACGAGAAAAGGATGCGAGCGAAGCCGTAATAAGTAATGCAGGTATAATTACTGGTTTAAATGTAGTTGCCGGTGTTTGCGTAGCAAAAGTCCAAGTCGCGTTCTTGCATAAGATGAAGATGAACCAGCTTTGACCACGCAATTTGATAGAGAAACAAAAAGTCTCAAGAACCGCCTACTTTTGGGATTTGATACTGCCATGATGGAGAGAGATGGGGCGGAGGGAAAGTAACTCAACTAGAGTAAAAGTTGTAAAGTTAGAATCAAAAACGAGGTACTTAAGAGAAAAAGGTGGTGACGTAGCTAACTTCTTCTAACTATCATTTTCAAAAAAAATATTATGGCTGGTAGTGGTGCGGAGGAACAGGAAGTTGCTTCCGGCAGTCCGAGTGACGTGATTGTTGTCGGGAGTGGCTCGGAAATTATGGAGCTGAGTTTTAGTTTTTTTTTTGCGTTTCATCAAGACTTCAAGAATTTTTACAGGGTCAGTAGTCTTTTTATTTTCCCATTTTTTTACGTTTAATAATTACTGTAATCATCGACGTCCACAAGTACGAGAAGTACAACAAGTCGTGATTGTTCTTCTTGTGCTACAACTGTACTCAGCCGTGCTCAAGAACAAGGTCAAGTTCTTTCTGAGGCACCACATCAACTTCAACTTCATCGAGGACCACGTTTCTCCGCCTCTAATAAACGCATGGCCAGTCCTCTGGAGCTCGGGTTCATCAATGTCCGGGGGCCCACCGGAACCCCTCTGGACACTGGGAAGCCTGCCACGCTTGTGCTTCAGAATGGTCTCGAGTACGGAGGCTACTCGTTCGGAGCGGACTGCAGTGTACTTGCAGCTATTTTCAATTTTACTCCCACCTCGAGTAGAGAATTGTTACTGTAGTTCTTCTTGAAGACGACTACTTGTGCATGTCGAGTAGAGTAGAACTGTTCTTCTTGAAGACTACTTGATGTGCATGTACCTCTACCTAGCGATGATGTCCATGTTATACCTCTAGCGACCTTTTGCAGTGCAGAAATCCACCTCACCACTTCAACAGGTATCCGGTGAGGTCGTCTTCAACACGGGAATGGTTGGGTATCCCGAAGCCCTGACCGATCCGAGTTACACCGGACAGATTTTGGTTTTGACCTACCCGCTGATTGGCAATTACGGTGTGCCGAATGAGAAACATGTTGATGCTCTAGGACTGCCAAAGCATTTCGAATTAAGGGGGCTAGAGATAATTCATCTTGTTGGAGAGCATCCATCCTGGAAGAGTTGTATGGGGGAGTATGGTCACAGGGGAATGGGAATCCCCCCTTTTTTATTCAAGGATGCAAATCAAGGATGAATATCGGACAGCCCTAACCCAAGGAAAGAAAATCCATGTCAGAGGCGTGGTTATCGCCGAGTACTCCTTCGAGAGCTCGCATTACCAAACGACAAAGAGTCTTGGAGACTGGTTGAAACAGCAGGGAGTGGCCGGTACATCTACTTTCTTACGTAACTTTCATCTACTTACATTTACATACAACTTTTGTGATCAGTTTCAGTACAAGTACAACTACGAAGATGACTTCTTCGTGTTCGTTGTTGTGATCTTCAGAGAACGAATGGATTCACATCACTTGGGAAGAGCTCAATTTAACAACTGTGATCTTCCTGTTGATCTCCATCAAGACACGACAACTACAACAGTACCATCTTCATCTAGGTAGTACTGAATCTTTTAATGAAAATATTTGTTGACACGATAATTCTGATTCATTTTCAACATCATGATTGAGCTTCTTCTTGACTTCTTCACCTACATCAACAAGGTATTTTTGGCGTCGATACACGCGCTGTGACCAAGCAACTGCGTGCCGAAGGCAGTGTGCTGGGGAAGGTGGAGGTGAGCGGTGGTCCTCCTATCGAGTTCGACAACCCGAACGAGGTGAATCTCCCTGCCACTGTTTCCTGCACGGAACCGATCTTGTACACTCCACAGTTAGAGCTGTCCGCAATTCATCTTTCAAGTGCATGATCCTTGAAAATAAGTATGGAGGAGAGTGCTATTCCCTTAGGTGGATACTCCTCCATACGTAGTTCCAAGGATCATACGCCCAAAGATGTATTAGGTACAGCCTTAACACAGGACGGTCGACAACCACGATGCCGGATCTTGGCTCTGGACTTTGGGATCAAGTACAACATCATCCGCTATTTCGTGAACATTTTGGGCGTAGAAGTGTTGAGAGTCCCCTGGAACTACGACATCTGCGGAACGAAGGAGAAGTTTGACGGCCTTTTTCTGTCGAACGGTCCTGGTGATCCAGCATTGTGTGTCGCTGCTATCCAAAATCTGAAGAAATTCATGTTAAGCAAAGCTAGTTTTTTTTATCACTATCCTATCATGTGGAGGACCACTATAATGCTCACGAACACGAATGGAGTCCTCCTTGATTTTAATTTAAAGGGGAAACTGAGGGAAAGGGGCAAAGAGGGCACCCCACTCGACTCGGGATAGTGAAAAACTACCTTTAATCATGGCAGAAAATCGCCCCACGCCGATCTTTGGCATCTGTTTGGGCAACCAACTCCTCGCTTTGGCGGCTGGTGCTAAGACCTACAAGATGAAGTTCGGGAACCGTGGAATGAATCAACCCTGTATCGATTTGCGAACTCTACGATGCTACATCACGGCACAAAACCACGGTTTTGCAGTCGACTCTGGCACTCTACCAACAGGATGGTCGCAGTTTTTCATCAACGGAAACGATGACTCAAACGAAGGTAAGAATAAGTATTTTTGGGTACAGGAGTTGATGTTTTTCACGACTTGTCAGCAAATGCTGGAATTGTTGTTGTCTCTCTAAGTCGGACTCACACCTCTATAGCTAAGTCATAATTCTTATACTTATAAATCCTTAAGTACTTACCCTTTCCTTTCGACATTGAACGAAGCGAGAAGATCATGAATGAAAGTGAAACAACTACATCGGCTTGTTCCCCAGGAAGGTATTATTCACCGCACAAAGCCTTGGTTTTCGGTTCAGTTTCATCCGGAAGCTGCTGGCGGACCGACAGATACGAGCTTCTTGTTTGAACACTTTATTGATGCAGTCCAGAATCCTGGAGCCATCCCGATAACGACGATGCCCTATCGCCGACCGAGACAGTACAAACGGGTGTTGTTAAGGCTGTACTAGCTAATGAATCTTTGACTGCTTAACAACTAGTCGTGGAAGATCAACATTGATTCGAATTAATAATTACAGTGCGCCAAGTCTGTTATCAGTATCCTTGAAACGCATGAGGGAGTAATATTACAAGGGAATACGTACCCCCCATACTTTTTAAGGATGCCCTTGAAAGATAAATAATTTCGGACAGTTCTAACGTTGGTTCTAGGAAGCGGTGGCCTTTCTATTGGTCAGGCTGGAGAGTTCGACTACAGCGGGAGTCAGTGCATCAAGGCGCTGAAGGAAGCGGGTGTGGAGTCGATTTTGATCAACCCGAACATTGCCACGGTGCAAACTTCGCAAGGTAAGCATGAGTAGTTTAAGGTTTCTATGACCTAATCATGAACTCGAACAACAGTTTTAATCTTCATCATAATTGATTCATGTGTTGAGTCCACGTAATAAGTGCCTGCTCCTGTTCTGGATCATTTAGATTCCCATATTCATCATCATCTTCGACTACTTCGAGTTCGATCTTCACAAAAAACTAGTTTCCAACAAACAAGGTCTCGCGGATCGCGTTTACTTCCTCCCCGTCACTCCTTACTTCGTCGAGGAAGTCATCAAGAAGGAGCAACCTGACGGACTTTTTTGTACGTTTGGTGGTCAGACTGCGCTCAACTGCGCTGTGCAGATGTACGAATCTGGAATTTTCGAGAAGTACAATATCCAAGTTTTGGGTACACCGATTTCCGCTATCATCATGACCGAAGATCGCGAGAAATTCGCAGCCGCTGTTGACGAGGTTGGTTACAAAGTCGCCGAGAGTAAGTGCTGCAACTCGGTCGAAGAAGCAGTCAAGGCTGCGAACGAGATCGGCTATCCAGTTTTAGTGCGTGCTGCTTTTGCCCTTGGAGGTCTGGGTAGTGGCTTTTGTGCGAATGAACAAGAGTTATGTCTCCATTGGATGTGGATGAGTCAGTTAATTTTTTTTGCAGCACTTAATTTTAATTAGAATTGTATCTATCTATAACTAATACTAAGTTGAAGTTTGTTCTTATGTTTTAGGTGCAAAAAGTGCAAAGTACAAGCAGGGATACGATTGCTACTTACAACAAAACCTCCATAAACTTATACTTTCGCTACTTAGGCATAGGGTTAGGCTTCCCCTCATCTCATCTCTAATCCCCGTCGTCGAATTGACGAAGGTCAGTTTCCAGAAGAGTTCTCAGGTGATTGTGGACAAGAGTCTCAAGGGCTGGAAGGAACTTGAGTATGAGGTTGTGCGCGACGGTCTGAACAACTGTATTACGGTCTGTAACATGGAAAACTTCGACCCTATGGGGATCCACACTGGAGATTCTATCGTCGTCGCACCCAGTCAGACGCTCTCAAATGCGGAATATTACAGGTTGAGGGATTGCGCTTTGAAGGTACCTAGTACATAAACAAGTACTGTAGAGTGATAAAAATCATGTCGAGCATATTCAAGAACATCTTCACAAGAACTTCTTGATTCTCTGAATCTGCCTTCCGTTTAGAAGAAAAGGAAAACTGCTTTTCTCTACCTGGCAAGAATTTTTAACCACTTTCACTTTCACTTCACTACAATGTAGTACATGACCCACTTTTTAACCACTTTCACTTCACTTTCACTTCACTTTCACTTCACTTTCACTTCACTTTCACTTCGCTTTCACTTCACTTTCACTTCACTTTCGCTTCACTTTCACTTCACTTTCACTTCACTTTCACTTCACTTTCACTTCACTTTCACTTCGCTTTCACTTCGCTTTTACTTCTACAGATGATCCGTCATTTGGGTGTGATCGGCGAGTGCAACATTCAATACGCTGTGGACCCCAAGTCTGAGGAGTTCCGGATTATTGAGGTGAATGCTCGGTTGTCCCGCAGTTCAGCTTTGGCGAGTAAGGCAACCGGCTATCCCCTAGCCTACGTCGCGGCAAAGCTAGGCTTAGGCCACGACCTTGTTTCTCTACGCAACGCAGTCACCAAGAGCACAACGGCTTGCTTCGAACCGAGCTTGGATTATTGCGTAATCAAAATCCCAAGATGGGACTTGAAAAAGTTCGTAACGGTGGACAAGGTACTTATACTTAAAATCATACTTAGAAATACAACAATGATGTTGAACTACAGAAGTTTTTCTACAACTAGAAGAACAAGGTAGTCCAGATCCTCCAGAACATCAATTCATTGTCGTTATAAATAAAATCAAGTATTAATTCAGGTCGTCGGCAGTTGCATGAAATCCGTTGGCGAGATCATGGCGATTGGACGCAGCTTCGAAGAAACAGTCCAAAAAGCTCTGCGCATGGTTGATGACAGTTGCTTGGGCTTCGAAGGGGACCGCTTCGATTTGGAAGCTGGAGGTGGCCGAACCTACTGCAATTTAGAAGAGGTGAAGACCGAGCTAGCGAACCCGAGTCCGGTCCGGATCTTTGCGATTGTTAAGAATCAAGAATGTCAGGAGAATGTACACCAAGATTCAGGAGAATGAACGTACAACCTAGAAGTATGTAAAGTCTAAGTTCTTTATAAGTTACGCTAGGAGCTAGCATGCAGTATCAGCATAATGTGAATTTAGATTATGTAAGTTGTCCATTCAAGTTTTTACGCAAATTGCAGAATGAAGACTACGGCGCGCATCTCTCTCTCTACTACGCAATTCAGTCCAATTGCAGAATGAAAATAGACTCAAATATAATGAAGAACCTTCTAATAGGCCCAAAGCTTTCGAGTATGGCCTGAATGTGCATGACGTGCACTCTCTGACCAAGATTGACCGCTGGTTTTTGAGCAAATTGTGGAATATCCACTCTCTCTCTGGCATTCTACGTTCGACGAGTTTGCCATTTCTCCGAGACGATCCAGGTCTACTTCATGCCGCGAAGAAGAACGGCTTTTCCGACAAGCAGATCGCCAAGCTGATCACACAAGGTTCTTTGGTTGCGGGAAAGGGTGGTAAGGGCGCATCACCAACGGGTACAGAACAACATGCAAGCAAGAAGAAACCACTCGTCGTGCAAAACTCGATTTTACGGTCAGGAGCTTTTATATGGTTTTTTCCCTTCTCGGCATCGATTTATTTGGTAAGAAGTAGGGTTTTGCCCTGTTGTAAAAATATTCTCATGTTGAAATACAAATACAAGGACCGCAGATGAGGGGTCTTCAAGATGAGGGGAGCGAGATGATGAAGAAAAGCCGACTCTAACGACTGACCAGATCTACAGCGGCTACAACAGCAATAAAGCTTCGGCCTGTTCGGAGGAAGACGTTCGGCAAATTCGACACCGTGAAAATATTCTGCCTTGCGTAAAACAGGTCGACACTGTGGCTGGTGAGTTTCCCGCAGAAACGAACTACCTGTAAGGCTTGTTCCCTAAACCCTAACCCAGAAGCATCTTGTTTAAAGCTGCCCCATACATAAGGTGGTCAGAAGCATCTTGTTTGTCAAGCATCTTGTTTGAAACTTGTATGATACACAAGGAAAAAGAAGCATCATTTTTCAAGATGCTGCGTCTCAAGATGTTAAGGTATTTTTTGAAATGAGAGCGGTGCATCTATGCAAAAAGGATCGGAGGGTCATAAGATTAAGAGTACTATCATGTCTAATACCTGTACTTGACCTACAATGGTGAGGAACACGATGTGGACCCTATCGTCGTGGACAAGAAACAAGTCGGGCGATTAAACGCAGCAGCGAAACGTGCACAAGGAGGCAGCCCGAAATTTCGAATGTTCACACCATCCAAAGCCGGTGGCCACTACTACAATCCGGCCTCAAGTTAAGCTTAAGGAAGCTGATTTTTATAATTCATCATTTACATCATTTTTACTTACTCTTTTTACCACGTGTCTCTCTCTCTCTCTGGTGACTGTGTCATATTCATTTATGAATACAACTGTTATTTAAGTAGAAGTTTCCTTCTCAAGAGGATCTTCTACCTCTAGTCTGGGTCGTTTGGAGGAGGAACCTCGAAAAATTCCAAGCGCCTACCTCTAATTGCAGGCTCCAGAACAGACGCGGGACAGGTTTTTTGGACAAGAAGGAGGAAGCACGCACAGCCATTCAGGCAATGCAGGAGATGACTCTCACGGAGGCTTCTACATGGATCCGAGCCAGGCAGCCTCACCTGTTAGCACTCGAGGCGGAGGTCGAAGTGGAGCTTCAAACACGTTATGGTGGTGGTGGAGTGCTGAGGAGATCTACATTCTTCAAAAAGACATCTCCTAGAATTAGACGACGAAAGACGGACGAATCTTGAGGTTGAGTAGGGACATTTAGATGGACTAAATTTGTTTGGGAATTTTTTGGGAAAAGCTTCGTTCTAGTTCTATGACATCTGCTCCATCTTCTTCTTCTCCTTGGTTCATACCCCGGCTCCGTCATCGTCCTGGGTTGTGGTTGCTATCGCATCGGCAGCAGCGTGGAGTTCGATTGGTGCTGCGTGCAAGCCGTGAAGACCATCCGGTCTGCGGGTCGTCCGGCGATTGTGATCAACTGTAATCCGGAGACGGTTTCTACCGACTTCGATGAATCTGATCGATTGTTTAAGACTTCTTGGAACAAGCAAGTAAGTAAAAGTAAATGGTTTTGAATAATGAAAGAAGGAGAGCTTAACATCATCTACATTTTTTACGTACGTAGAATATATTTATAGATATACCCACCAGCAGCTGCATAACTAAGAAGGAAGCTTGTGAGTGGTCCCACCTTCTCTCAAGAACTACATACATCCTCGTCTTCTACTTCTTTTTCTAATCCCCATTTCGACGAACTGAACCACGAAACAGTCCTTGAGATCTACCAATTCGAGAACCCATACGGACTCGTCATCAGCGTTGGAGGGCAAGTTCCCAACAATCTGGCCATGGGTCTGGCGAAAACTGGACAGGTGCAGATCCTAGGAACGTCCGTTGCAGCAATCGACAGTGCTGAGAATCGGTTCAAATTCTCGCAGTTGTGCGACACGTTGCAGGTCGATCAACCGGAGTGGTCAGAATTTTCGACCTACCAAGAAGCCTTGGACTTCAGTGAGCGGGTTGTTATGGATTTTCATTTTGCAGTTGTATCGTCCTGGCGGCTCTAGAAGCCCACGACCTCGAAATTAACTATCGGATAAGGTACGTAGAAGTAGAACAAGAAGTACAAGATGAACCACCAGAAGATTACATCAATCATCTTGAACAAGGAGCAAAAGCAATAGAAGGTTGTAAAGGGGTTCGCTGAAATATAGTCAGCATCATGATCAGCAAACAACCTTACTACATCAACAACACGTGGTCTACTTTGCAGCTGTCTCCCTCTCGTCGCCTCTCCTCTCCTCCTGTCTCTTATCTCTCTCTAAATCGTCTTTCCCTGTCCTCGTCCGTCCTTCGTACGTCCTGTCTGGTGCAGCCATGCGAGTGGTGGTGGATAAAGACGACCTCTATGGATTCCTCAGGTCCGCAGCCATCGTCAGCCGAGAATACCCAGTCGTGATTTCAAAGTACTACTTACCATTTATCTTACCAAGAACTACTGAATCGCCTCCTTTTTAAACTTCTGTAAAACTGATTTCGGGTCGTGTGCGTGTGCACGACGCACGCTCAGGTAGTATAGGACTCTGTTCTGAACTATGCAAGAAGAACCTCAAGGTGGATCTTAATATTTCAGGTACGTCGAGCACGCTAAGGAGGTTGAGTTTGATGCTGTGGCGTGTGGCGGAGACGTCGTTAATTACGCCATTTCCGAGCATGTGGAGAACGCAGGAGTTCACTCAGGTGATGCAAGTCTCCTGCTACCTGCACAAAAGCTGTACGTCGAGACCCATCGCCGGGTGAAGAAAGTGTCTACCAAGATCGCCAAGGCGCTGGGCATCAGTGGACCTTTCAACATCCAATTCATGTGCAAGGACAACGAGGTGAAGGTAATCGAGTGCAACCTGCGAGCTTCCAGAACGTTTCCATTCATCTTATGGAAGTAGGAATTTCATCTTAATGTAGTCTAGTTGTCAAGAAGAAATAGAAATCAATATTCAGTCAAAAATCTACTTAGGCAGATGGCCGAGTAGATTTACATCATCATCAAGTCAAAAATCATAAGAAAAAGTAGTGCTAGTGCTAGAAGAACTACAAATTTTGACTACTAGTACAAAAATTAGATCATCATTATAGTCATAGAGGCCACCAGTGGGATGATCCACTCCAGCTTGATGACTTTGTTTGTCTTATCTGTCTAGTTGCTAAGTGCTAACCTATGCCTAGCGCAGCGGGCCCTTGATGGGCCCGCTTTCTGCCATACTCATAGTCATACTCATTATAGTCATAGAGGCCACCACCACCACCCAGGTGGGATGATCATGACAGAACGATGATCATGAAGAACTTCTCCAAGGGTTTAGGGTTCTCCATCTCTAACCCTCAGCAAGACGTTCAACATCAATGTTCTCCACCTCTAACCCTCAGCAAGACGTTCAACATCAATTTGATTTCGTTGGCAACGAAGGTGATGCTTGGACAAACGGTGAGACCAGAAAAGATGCATCCCATCGACGTCGGCTATGTAGGCTGCAAAGTAGCCGTGTTCAGTTTCTCGCGCCTGAAGAACTCGGATCCGAGGTTGGGAGTGGAAATGCAATCCACAGGAGAAGTGGCTTGCTACGGTACAACTCAAATGATGAAGATGCTATAAATATAATTCATTCTCTTTCTTGTAGATACTACTTGTAGTTTGCACGGGTACAACTCAAATGAAGATGCTATATCATTCATTCTGCTCTTTGTAGATACTACTTGTAGTTTGCACGGGTACAACTCAAATGAAGATGCTATGTAAATATATTATTTCTCTTTGTAGATACTACTTCTAGTTTGCGTTTGGGTTCGCGGCGCTGTGTATCTTCGTCGCGACCTAGTAAATGCATTAGGTCAATACGAAGCTGCTTTTGCGACTATAACATTATGCCATTCTTGAGTAACAGATACATCGAATTCGAGATGCTGATCCGATGACCGTCCCTCTTCTTCTTCTCGTCAACATCTAAATCTTCACACGACGTAGAAATAACTATTTTTACTGCATCGATTTCAATACACGATCACGACCAGTTGTTGTGAACGAGTATGAAGCCTACTTGAAGGCAGTGATATCAAAAATACACCAGGTATGAACAAGTACGAAGCTTACTTGAAGGCGGTGGTATCGAGTGGAATTAAGCTCCCGGACAAGAACATCATGGTCTCAATCGGTCCGTCGCATGACAAAGGTGATCTTGTCAGCGCCATCCGCATGTTAGTCGAAATGGGCTATCAGCTCTATTTTAAGGCTCATAACAATATATTTTCATTTCCGTTCTCGCAGATAAAAGAATCTGGCTTATAGTTTTCCTATTGGAAATGTGAATTATCGAAAACATTCATGAATTATCGTGAGCTCTAACTCATGTACCAAAGGGACATACGAATTTTTCAAAGCAGAGATGCCAACTTTCGCTGGTATCATGGTGCACAAGCCTCACGTCCGCAAGACACCGAACGCGACTGATTTGATTCTTATGACTGTCCGTAGAAACAAGCTAATTTTTTTTAATGATCTACTTACTCGTACTATTGATGTTGAAGTTCTTGAGTGTAGTGCTTCTAGAGCAGGACTTGTACGACCAATAGGCAGGAGAATTCAACTACTGACGTCTACTAAGCACTAAATAAAACAACCGGTTCGTTTTTACCTCTAGCGTGTAACCCTTCGTCCAACAAACTACTTACAACCTTAGTACAGACACCAAGAACATCTTCCTCTTTCTCTAAGTTGCAGCAAGGCAAGATCGATCTAGTTATCAACGTGCCGGACAGTATGGACAGTGGTGGCGCGACAGACGGCTTCCAGATCCGTCGTCTTGCAGTCGACTGCTCCGTGCCTTTGCTGAACGATGTGAAGACCGCGCGTCTGTTCATAGAAGCCCTCCACCGAAAGTGGGAACGTGAAGCCGCAGGAAAGGAGTTCTGGGGTATCACCAGCTGGCAAAGCTACATGGCTATGGAGTGAGTTTTACCTTGTGGCAAGAAAGCTACATCTCGGCTATGGAACAATAGGCTCAGTCAGTGGTTCACCAGGTGGTCAAAACTGCAGAAGTGGTTCACCAGTTCCGTAGATTTAAATCAAAGCAAGAGGAGATCATGCGCATTAACGATTAACCAGCTGGCAAAGCTACATTGCTCGGCGGAAGGAGTAAATGCAAAACTGTTCATGACCACAAGGGGGTGGATCATGAACATATACATCATAGTATAGCAGAGCTATACAGGTGATTAGCCATGGGATAAAAGTATAACGGTAGTTAACTTTTTTATGTAGGAGGTAGGTACGCGTACGTACTTCTACGACAAAACAAGATAAAGTTTCGAAAACTAGAATCGATACGACATACGTTCATCACTACGACATTTTTTAATAGATTACTGTTTTGCTTCGAATTCGATGTGCGGGAGCGGGTGGACCAAAATGAGTATAAAGATATAGCAAAAAAAATAGATGTCACTGTCATTTACGCTAGGGCGGGAAGGATGATGCACTTCAAGGTTAAGATGCAGACCGTTTTTTTTTGAATCAACCAGGAGGCAGCTGTCGAAACATTAGCTTGAACTATCTGAGTAATATATTTTCAAGAATTTCCTCTAAAACAATCAATCAATTTGAAGCACTTTTTATAGAAGAAGTCTATGAACTATGTGCATGTGCTAGCACGACGAACATCTTATCTCGTTGAATAATGTTCCGAACACGTGGGTGCTCCACCATATTTTTCACATCGATGTGAATAAGTCAATGTTGATAACATCACTCATCATACAACTGTAGCTGTACTAGTAGGGGAGAATTTTTGAAATTAAGCATTGTGTACTGACTATCGGAGTATATTTGATAGTGTATAAAGCAATAAATACAACAAACTCATTGGCTGAGTTTGTGAAAAAGTGCTGATTCTCTCATCAATAGATATGAATAATATCACAGACAGAAATGTGAAGACGGATAGAACTATAGAAGTACTAGAAATAATACTAGGGAAGACCTACGACACAAGAAGTAGGAAATACAGCTACAGGAGACTCTTTAACGGACGTAGTTTTAACTAGTAATATAATAATTACTTTCAAAAAAAAGTGGGAATGGTACTATTGGATTAGTTGCTCTCAGATCGTGATCGATGTCGTAGTTTTTTTCGTCATGGGAAAAAATCGAAAGCCAGCAGACCACGAATCATCAACTAAAACTACGATCTCGTTAATACAAACACAACAAAAATTTTTATAGGTGGTGAGTACGAGTAGCAGACTATGAGTACTATGAAGACTACTAATAAATATCTCTAATTTTTATCTCTAATCGCTCACGCAAAGAAACACCACATCCATTGAAAAGGATTGAAAAACAACCATTTTTTACGTGGACACACTCACATCTACCCTCCAAAAACTTTTTAAAGACTGGAGGTTTCACATCAAATCTGAAATCTGAAACTTCGCAGTTGCTTCCTTTGTCAATAATTGAAGATCACTCGGTCGTTCATCGATGTCATGTAAGTACGTATTTTTCGACATCGACTCAACAACAACAACTGATGAAAAACACAAACGCAACTACATCCCTGTGCGGGTGCCGGATGCTCGTTCGGCCTCGTTCTTTTAAGACCAGGATGAGGTCTCTAGTAGTGTCGTCTAGCTTGTTCCCTTCTTGCAAGACGATTGATGTGCATGCAAGAGCAAGTCGTGTACTCTGTCAAAACTGTCTCGATTGTCATCAAAGCTGTCGTGAAGGTTATCCTTCCGTCGTTATTTGTACCTCCTGCTCATCGGAGAAAAAAAGTCAGTTCTTCGACGAACACGAACTGGCTGAAGCAGAGAATCAATGATTGCGACACTCAACATCACTCATCTATGAACGAAACACGAAAAGAAGAATGTAGGAAAGCGAAAGTTGTAGAGATTGTACGACATGTGGGGTGTGGTACTCCTGCCGCCTGCAAGAGGTGCAAATAAGAGACAAGAACACCTATGAAGAATGAAGAGTCCTAGTTCTTGGCAGAGGCAGGACTAGACATGACTATGAATACTTAGGTATATTACTTTCTTCTGCTCACTATCATCTACAACAGCACGGGATTACAGTCATTTTCATCAAGCCAATTCATGATTTCTCGATTGTATTCTGATCAATTGGTAGTACTTTGATGTCATATTCTTGATTGAAAAAGCTCTATGTGACTATACTAGACACGACTGCTCAGCTTCAGATTCAATTTTTCGTCATACTAGTAGAAGTAGTACCTGGATCTATCAAAAATGGACATCGATTCCGGTCCGGGCATGAGGTACGGCGGCGATCGAAATGCAGCTGGTATTCCCCGTAGTTGTTCTTTCCCGGACCATTTTTTACTTAAGCACAAAGTTAAATTTCTAATTCTAAAAAGAGCGCTCTGTCTTGTCCCAGTAGTCTTGACACATACATTTTTTCCGTTCAGGCCGTTCTCAAGGCAGAGACTCTGTCAAGCGCGGACGAGAGGACACAAGCCGAGGTCCGCGCGACGACCGGTTGAAGAGGCAAAAGTCACTAATGGGGGTCGAACCAGTAGGTGCACCTTCAACCTCAACAGGTAATATCATCGGTGCTGGAGGTCTCCTGGTTGGGGGATCCTCATCTGCTTCTTCATCTTCTGGTGCAACTACTACACTGTATTCAGCTATGAAGATGACGGAGCGCACACGTTATCAGCAGGATGCCACTAACCCGAATAGTACACGCAATACACCGAGAGGCAGTTACACAAGAGGTTTTCCTGCAAGTCCGCAACGCCTTTCTGCTGGTGGCGGAGGACCGGGTCAACACAGCACTACTTCATCTTCTGGAGCAAACTACAGAAGCAATATTACCTACAGCAGCAGTACTTCTAGCACGACTTCTGGACTCCAACATGGACCACAAGTAGTCGGCCTCTACAACAGCAACCATCATCAGCAGATGAATCGTGGTGGTGGGGGAACCTATAACAGGTACGGAGGTGGAGGGCGTATGAGCTCCAGTCTCATGCCAGGACGAGCGTCTATGGCACTGGGAGGAGCCTCCAGAGGGAATCAAGGCTCTGGTGGATCATCTGGGTTTCCTATAGGGAGCATATGGGACGTGTGCAAGGCAGTGGAGGACTGTCAACTTGAAAGCTCGAATTTCGCGATCGATGCTCTGGCTGTGCCGGCTGTTCTTGGTACTTGTCTACTTTCTTCGTTTTTAAGAAATTCTAATTTGCAGCATCAAGCATGAAGGAATAAATTCTGTGGGATAAGATGATAGAGACCCTCCTCTCGGCAAGCGCCGTGATATATCCACTCCTCGCCGGCCTCTTGATTCCTACGGAAAAACTCAGGCCCTCGTGGATTCCAGTTAATCGCTCGTTCTTTCGGCCTCTCGAAAATTCAAGCCGGTTGGAAGACTAGTCGTTTAGGACAAAGGCGACCGACTCTGATTAGCTTTTGTCCATCGGGTTCTGCCAGTGCAACACCTGGCACAAGCAGCACCAGCACATCAACTTCTGGTTCTGGTGGCGTTCGCTGTCTCATCTATGAAAAAGAAGGCAGTGGTACCAAGCGAGAAGTCTCCGAAGAGGAGCTCGAGAAATTTATAGGCCTCGAAAACGAACGCTGTGGAGAACGCATTTTGTTGTCGAATCCAGTTCGAGTTGAAATCATCTCTCCCGAAGTCGAAGCTGAAGTTCAGATCTTGGATTTGCCAGAGCAAAATCCAGCATCCACAAGTGCGGCAATGAATGTGATACAAACTTTTTCAAGTAGTCAAGCACAAGCACAATCTTCACAAGTTCCGGCTGGACGTGCAAATTATGGGAGTGGAAGGTACTACCACGAAAACGTCGGTCCTCGTTAATTATAATATATTGGGCTCAAGGTAAAAACCAAAAATCAAACCATGGAGTGAGTGTTCAAAAATACTCTGCTTCTATTATAGATACGTAGAATATAATAGGGAGAACTACACCATGTTCCATTCACTGACACTGTAAGATCAGCTTCTTTTCCTTGATGAAATCTTTTCAAAAACTTATCTACCCCATAAACAGGCATCTTTTCCTGGATGAAATCTTATTTTCAAAAACACTTATCATTATCTAACCCATAAACAGGCATCGCAGTGAGTCTCAGCTTTCTAGCGCCGCAGAAGCTTGGCCCGGATGGGTGAAGAAGATGTGTCGCGGAAAGCCCATTGTCCTCGAAAAGCCTGCCGACGGTTGTAATCATGAACCTGGTGCGGAGTACTTCATTCTTCCTGGCGCCGCTCTTGAGTATGATCCGGCGCAACACCCAACAAGCGGCGAGGGAGACCAAGGCGCAGGTGCAGGAGACGCAGTTATGTCGGATTCTCTTGCTTTGCCTGTTGGAAGTGTTGTGGGTGCTGGAGAACCGGTAGTGGTCTCAGACCACGATGGCAAAATGGACGTTGATCACGAGATTGCAGCTAGTCATGCAGGCCAGATTTTCCGACCGACCTGTCGTGTGAAGTTCCTGAGCGCGAGGGCTAATCTGGTTTCCTTCCTCCTTGGATACCATGAGAAAACCTTTTGCAATCGTGTGGCTCCGCAATGGTCTAAAATGTTGCAGCGCAAGCTAGGCGATTTGGACACAGTCCACAAACAAGTTCTAGAACTCGATAGGGACTTGGAATCCACTGTGATCTTGGCTAGAAACGCAGGAGCCAGCGTTGCTGCATGCTCCACTTTCCTCTTAGACGGCAGCATTCGCCAAAATTACTGCCAACAGAATTTGTTTATCGGCAGAGGAGGAGGATGTGGATTCGCATCAGAGAGCACGTCAACATCTTCAACATCAAGCAAGAACATGCTCGCGGCCGCTTCAAAGAAGCAAACTTCGTACAGCAAATTGTGGGCCGCACCTGCTCAACAGTCTAGTGCCGTAACCGGCCTGAATTCTTCATCCTCTTCCGGCCCATCATGTTCCAGTTCAAAATCAAATGCCATCGTTGTAGGTGAAACGCTTGGCACAGAGCTCGCGGAATTTGCGAAAGATGATCCAGAAGCTACACTGCCTGACAAAAGGTTTGGCTCATGGGCTGAACTGGGCAAATACTATGAGACGGTTGGGAAACCGCACTTCTTCGACCAAGAGGTGTCTGGTGGGGCTGCACTTGCGAGGCTATTGAAGGAATGCGAAGCTAGTGTACTTACTTCTACAACAATCTATTTCTATCATGATATATGAAAATACAACAATTACAATCTACAAGCATGATATGATAAAGATAAATAATCTGCATCTCGTGCTTTGTAGTTGTCAGAGAGAAGCAGAGCATACACTATTGAATTTTTGGGTGGAAAATGAAATTCTACTTTCTACATCACCTGAATGAAGATCATCCACCACGACATCATCGTCCCGCGTTCCACAGGTAATGTTCGCCACCGCAGCCTTACCCAACACCATGCAAGAGGTGCTAGCCTATCTAAAAAAAGAGGTAACGCAATCTGGTGGCGTCGTTGGCGGCAACAGTAGTACGACTTGGCAAGACGTTGTGACCAAGATTTTCAAGGCGTGTACTCACCAAGTTTTGCAGGATCAAGCTTTGTATGTCAGACGCCGACTGAATTGGTTCCTACGAAGGCAGAAAGACTCGGTCCTTGCGTGGATGCGGTCACTGCAGAACTCAGCAGATGCGACGTGGTATTCAAGGCTCTACTTAAGGCTTCAAGGAATTCATCTTAGCTAGCTCTAGCATCTTGGGGCCGTAGCTAGCTCTAGCATCTTGTTCTCGGGTCCGTTATTTCAAGTTCAACATAGGGGGCAACCACGGGCACCAAGATGCGCCTCAAAATGGGGATTCGTTCCTGGTGCTTCTAATCTACACGCAGCATGGTGATTTGTTGGCACAGAGACAGGAGATCAGGAGAGCAGTTTTCCGCGTTTACGATGAGGCTATCGAAGAAGAGTGCACCGCTTTCGAGAAAATCGTCCAGCAAATGCTCTCCGCGATTTACAACAAGCCTAATGCTTTCTTGGCCAAGAATGACCTTCGAGAATCCGAGACAGATGAGGTCGAGGAGTTTTCGCAGTATGTCCTCAACTACATTGCTGAGGCTGAGGGGAAGATGTGCTACTTGCCTCCGGAGCGGAAGATCGTACTGCGGCTGGACAAGTCCTGTACCTTGAAAATCAATCGGCAGATTGTGGTGGATTTGACACGCAAAAAGAGGAGGACGCAGTACAGTTGCATTGTTGGCAGGAATCCGAGCTTGGTGACCGAACACATAGACGATATGCGTGTGTCGAGTACGCATTTTGCTATTCAAGTGCACGAAGGCCGGATGGTTTTAGCCGATATGAGTTCGAACGGAACGTTCATCCAAAGGCACAGCGGCCTCATCTCAAAGGTCGGGAAGGACACGTCGACAGAAATCCACATAGGCGAACGCATCGGAGTATTGCAGGGACCGCAGATCCCAGAAGCAGAACATGTGTGGTATACAGTGGACGAATGGAGAGCAAGTCAATTTCCTGGTGCGAATGGAGGAACGGAAGCTGAAAACCTTCAGCCTGTAGGTACTGCAGTACCGGATCCGATGAATACGACAAGACTAAACGATGGAAATTATGAAATGATAGAATCGAGTTCGAGACGATGACGAGACGGATTCATTTGTAGTAAGATTGAAACATGAAGATCCTAAGGCATTGCTCATGCCTGTCTCATCCCTCTCCTGGCTCTACTCGAGCCTGTTGTATCGTCCCAGACAACGCGGGCCTTAAACCTTGAACCTTGAAGTAAGTATGTCGTTATGTTCAACTACTTCTGATTTCTATGTCCTAGTCACGATCTTCACGATAACCTTCTAAGTCCTCCCCTCCGCAGCCCTAGGCCAACAAGATGTGAATATGGGAGGCGATCCATCTTCGATCGGCGCTGATGTCAGCATGGTGGCTGCCGAGAATTTTGAGGTTCCGAATGTGATAAAACAACGACCTCAAGTGCTCGAGAAAGATCGAGGTAAACGCCTACGCGCAGCCATGATTAGAGTGCGGGAAGAAATGAGTGTGAATCGCCGATCCGTAGAAGTGACCAAAAGGCTAGATCGCAGGTTCGACACTCAGGAAGTCGACACATACTTGCCACATGCAGCGAGACACATATTGAATGCGTTCCACTCGGTGAAGCGATGGGTACTTTTTTTCCCCAGTACACTGAGTAGTGTCACATCGTCTACCTATGGGAAAATGAAGGAAAGTTCTCTATTTCACAGTATAAATACTCCTAGGAGGAGGAGGGGAGAGGAAAAGATAAAGAAAAACCTTTTATATTTTACAGTTGTCTGGAAGACCATATGCATATCTGTTGAAAGTGGAACTCTACCGTAAGCTATCCGAAAGTCGCAAAAAAGTGCTCCCAACAGGAGGTGGATGGTCTGCTCAATTTTCCATTTTGGCTAGGTGCGTCATTTCCGATCACGAAAATATGTGATGTCGCTCATTATCAAAATAGTGACCCCACTAAGAGGGCGAAAAGCTGGCCAATTTTCAAAATCGATGTTGTCTAATATTTTTGACCTCCAATGTTTAATTGGTCAGGAAGTAGAATTCAGTTCACAACACTTTACGTTGAAATAGCTACACCCAAGTCATCTTATTCCTCCTCAAAACCAATCTCAGCTCTCTCTCCTTCCTCCTCCTGACAGGTCGCTTCCCACGTCACCTTGTTCGCACATGCTTTTCTCATACGACCTCTGAGCAACCGTCTTAGAGAAGCCATGAGCAGATTGACGATGGCGGCATCTGACGAAGCGTCGGAAGAGCAGCTGTGGAAAGAGCATGCTCGGATGTTATTGGATATTGAGACGAAGCAAGACAGGATCCACGACGCGATGGATCGATTGATGATGCAGCAGAGGCATCTGCTGTGGCAAATGCGGAGAGGGGGGTGAAAGAGGCACTTTGTGAAATAGTTTCTTTGGCGGATGATCATGTCTTTCTTGCTGAATAAGGAACAGAGTTCGAAGATGAAGATGATCTAAAGTCTAGGAGTGCTCGTCTCGTTGTGATCATAGGTAGTGATAGCTTCCAATCTAAATACTTAACAACTTCAACAAGGAAGAACTTGAACTTGTGAATACGGTCACGATGAAAATCAAAATCACGGCGAATAAAAGCGAAAAGCATGATGAAATTCTCGTTTCGCTCTGGAAGATCGAGTTCATGGTGACGATGGGAAATCTAAATGCCAACGAACTAGCTACAAAAAGAAATTGCACCAGCACAACGGCAGCGCAAAATTGGAATTCCTCGCGAAACGAAAATACACGTTGGTTTCGATGTTCAGTGTACTGGAGTCTCCTCCTCATCTTCAGGCTGCATGTTCAGACTTGTTCTGTTGAAGAAATAGATTCTAGCAATGACAATGAAACTCAGCTAGCTCCTGAACGACGTGAATGATAAAGGCGTTCCTTTTAGTACGACTACTTCCGCGTGGCGCGTGTATCGTGCCAATCGCTTTTCTTCAAACGCGGTCGTGCCACTGGTCAGATGAAGATGAAGTGGTCTCACCAAATTCACATCGACATCAAATCAAATGACTAAAGAGTGCAGGAGGTGGAAGAGACAGATAGCGATACCCATAAGTAAGAACAGTAACCTCCATTTGAATTCAACATCAACCTAATCCTAACTAAAACAAAGTATAAGTAGAGAAGCAACACGAAGATGTCCTCATTGTCAGCGTCCTCTTCGTCCGAGGTAGACACCAGTGGGTGGCTCACCTTCTATCCCAACTACTGCAATTCCGAAAAAACTGTGCCTGAGGGCCGTCGCATCGGCAAAGCCACTGGTGTCGCTCATCCTACCGCTTCCGAGATGGCAGAAGCAGCCAAACAGTTGCAGCTTCCAGTCCAGCTGCAGATGAACAAGGCTTATTCTCGCGACTGGCTAGTGCGAGGCCGTATCAAAGTCCTATTGAAGAAGGAGAATGGGACTCTGGTGAACAGTGGGATTCGAACGAAGCGGGATTTTCTGAAGCAAGTGTGCAAAATCATTCCGACACTGAAAACGCGGACTGGCGCAGCGACGGCACCAGTAGATCCAGTGATGGCACTGTGCAATCAAATCGCAGCAGAAGCAGGACCTGCGCAACCAAAGAAAAACGCGGAAAAAGACGCAAAGAAGAAGAAAAAGAAGTAAGAGCCGTACTAGTACTTCTAGTTGTGCTAAGTTGTGTAAGACGACGAGTACTACTTCTAGTTCTTGTGTAAGACACGAGGAAATTGAAATAGTACTAGCAGACAACTACTGGTACTGCGAGGACATGAACGTGATAAAAATGCGGTGGAGAAGTCCGAGAGGACGAGTAGGGCAACACCAGCTCGTTGCAGCGCTCCTGAAAACGAGCAACTCAGGGAAGACGTATCGCTGTCTCTTTCCTCATTTTCATCATTTGATCATGATCTCAACCCCAGAACCACAAGACAGTCCCCCCTCACCTTGACCTTCCGATGGACCACAAACCCCCAAACGTGTCAACTTCCGTTCCACGTCTTCTGTTTAGATGATGGCGCAAGGATACTGAAAAGAGAGTCTAACTAACTATCCAGTAACTCAGATCCACCAGCGAAAGGATCGTGGTAAAGGCTTGGATAAACTTCTTTTCGACAGGGGAGAAGAGAGTGAGATACCGAGGATAATGTTGTACGTTACACTTGATCTTAAAAAAGGAGGATTGCATTGTTAAAAAGCGTTAAGGAAGAAAGATGAAGAAATTATACAAGGTATAATGATCCAAAGGTCGTGGACTGAGTCAGCAACAAGGTAGCCATAAGCGATGGACAAAAGGTTGCGGTCCTGTGTAGTCGCTGCCAGTCTGCGTGACCTAGGAGGTGTGATCGATAAAGAAGTGTAGTCAAAGTACTAGTTTCTTAACCTCCTGAAGTGGAGATTGTAAGGTCAAACAATTCACACGAATTATCAATTTTGTATAATTTCTATCGACTTCGACGTGATTGATTTTTCATGTAGTTGAATGATGCCCATGCTGTTCGTCTAAATCATGTAAATTTATATCTCCTTCATCAAAATGGATCTGCGTGTTAGTGTGTTGCTCTGGGTCCTGTTGCTGGACCAATTATCTAGGGCAGCCCGTCCTAGAGTTGTTGACCAATTCCACGCCCGGCTTCGAGGATATCAGCAACCTCAGCAGGATCGACCAGCCGTCGCAGCTGCTGAAACTTCAGAGTATGGTTATGTTGCCGCTGGCGATCGTGTTTCTTCACTATCTCAAGATGGAAGCACCTACGCCGGCGCTTCAGCCGGTAGTGTGCCGCTGCTTGGAGGTGAAAACGCTGCTGTCCTGAATATGCCATCACCCACGCCGCGACGGCTGGTCGCTGCTTTCTCAGGACTGAGTACGGTCGGAGCAACATCGTCATCTAGATCTGGTGGGGCAATGCAGATCCAGATGCAAGGAGGAGCAGGACCGGAGGCTGTGGAGGATCATCAGGCGTCGTTGCTATCGAGGGATAACGAGGAGGCTGTGGAGGACGAGGGCCATCAGGCGTCGTTGCTATCGAGGAGGAGAGAAGATGACCGAAGAGAAGCGCAAGGAGGTGGAGCACATGAAGGACATGACCAGACTGGAAGAAGATCTTCCACAAGTGAAAGAAAACGAATCTTCGTAGCTGCAAGAGCCATGATGGGAGGTCAACACATAGAAGGTTCTTCGGGAAGATCCACCTCCAGCACCACGGCCACGACATTGAGGGCAATGGACACCAAGAATTTTGTATTCACGACTGCAAAATCGCCACCTGCGCCACCCGCCGGCCATACACGACCTAGTGCAGCCAGTAGTACGAAGACAGTAAAAAAACCGTCCGCAGCAACATCACAAGAGAACTCATTCGTTGCGTACTCTTCAGAGCCCGTCCGACAGTTACGGTCGCAAGAACTGAGGGTCTTTTTCGCGCTTAAGTGGTTAAACTACAACGGCGAGCCCAGCTTGCCTAGTGCTGAGTGTCCGATTTGCTACGAGACGGTGGTCTGCAGTAACGAAGATCGGAAAAGTAAGGAGAGCTGCGCAAGGACTAGGACAAAGACAGTAGGATTAAGACCTCACTTAATCCATCTTTTAGCCCATCTGTGAGCTGTTTGCAAGAAGAAAAGCGGAGGCAGATGAGGGAAAAGATGGGATTGTAGTGAGTTCTAATAGGAGTAGTTTTACCTCCGCTTCCATCTGGAATCACCAATCCGTTGGATCCTAATGTACAAGAAATGCACCAACGACCAAGGACAACAACGAGCACCGCTACTGTGGCACCAGCTTCATGTACTCGCTACACAATTAGTGATCAACAGAAACAAGAACGTATCGCTCTGTATCCCTGTGGCCACTTTCTGTGTGAAAATTGCGCTTTACAGTATGAGGTAAAGGGTCGCGGGACTCTTCGGGGATGTCCGACATGTCGTGCTGCAAGTACTAGCAGAGGCATTTTGCCGAGTCTGCAGGAACACAGATCTCATTTTCGTGTGGATGCTGTGCTTGCAGATGACACTTTGGGGCCAGAAGCGGACCCACCATGGAATACCCATGAGATGCGTTCACGTTCTGATCTGTTTCCAAGGCAATTTTTCTTGTCGACAGGGATTACAATCGAAAAAATCGATCAGTTGCTTGGTCTATTTCGGAAGAGAGGACGGTCGAGTAAATCGACTAGAAGACCGACAACTGCGTGCACAGCCACAAATATAGATGAGGAGCGTGTGCTGCTGTGGCAAGCATTACAGGCTCATGTGGAAAGGGAGTACAACGACGCGTTAGACGACACGCAACGGCCACTTTTCTGTGGGGAGCAGGAAGGAGAATCAACAAGCACTGCCGCGCCAGTGCAACAGATAATGACCGGCACGACAGCTAGCACGACCCCTGCATCGTCTTCAGCCGGTGGTGGTTCGAGTGGAGGTCCTCACCAGGGAGCAGCGAGAGCAGATCACACCGCAGAGAAGCAGGGAGGCAATCCCTTTTCTGAGGTCGAGAAGTCCACTTCTACCCTTCTACTCCAAGAACAACGCGTTTTCCCTAGAAACACTAGCTGACGAGCTCGGAGAGGAAAATCTCTGCGCGATCTTCATGTGGCTAGTGATAAAGCTGTCAGATTTTAAACTGCAAAAAGCCGTAGCAGGGAATGTAGTCGATAATCACGTAGGAGCAACAGGAGCAAGACCTGAGGAGGAGGATCAAAGAACTGACGGGGATGATCATGATGGGACATCACTTGGGCAACTACAGTATGAAGCTGCTTGTCCTCTAGCTGCGTCCACAACTTGTTACACTTCACCCGCCACCTCTATGGCATCCTCGCTCTTAGCATCATCCGCCTGCCCCCTTCCTTCTTGGTCTCTTTTAGGGGGATCTATTACTATTGGAGGGCCTTGCTCAGGCTTTTCGCGAGTGCGTTCTTCTGCCTCCTCGTCTGATGCCACGTCATCATCTTCACAAGTTGGAACATCGCTTAGTTCCTCCGGCAACACGCTCTTAGCGTCAACTTCCTCGCTGCTTTCGCGTAGTCGGGGTTCGGTTCGGGAGATAGGTGGCTCAGTTTTGTCCAACCTTCAAAAAGATGAAGAGAGTGTGGCTGCTCTTCACGAAGTTGATGAAAATCTTAGAGCTGCCACGTCAGCAGCAAGAATTCCATTAGACCAAGGGCTAGAGGCATCTGCTGACTCTTTTGCTATAGCGCTCTTGTGTGAAGGTGGCGATGATGAACAGGAGGATGAAGATGATGCTCAACATCAAGATGTTCAACATCAAATTCAAGATCCAGCAGAAGACCCTCAAGGAGATAGCCAGGATGCCGAAATTTACGATCACAGTGAGGAAGAAAAGGGCGATAAACGAGCGAGTGGAGCTATAATATGTGATGTCCTAGATGAGACTGAGACCACGGTCGAAGCTTTAGAGCTAGATCATGAGGACACCGGGAGAGCATCAAATAGACAAAGGGATGCGGCTGTCGCTGAGCTGAAAGCCTTCGTCGCGTCGCAACGCGTTCACTCTCGTTCGATAAACTGGGGTCGTGTCATCGGCAGTGCTGGCGCGATAGCCTGCGACGTATGGGGCATGCAGCAGATGCTGTGCACTGGTGTCGGAACTAACTTTTGGGTTTACCTTACGCCTTTGTTTTGTTGCCTGACTATGGCTTCCCGGACATGCCATGCTGTACTGGACAAAGCTTCCTACACGAATTCCGCGCCCAACATCGCGCAGGATCTTAGGCACACAACATCATACTGTCCCACGCCGTTTTGCTGTATTAGCTACGACGATTGCGGTGTCCGGACCTTGAACGCACCATATTGCGCTTTTGCGTCAGAGTGTTTTGCTCCAGGTACACCGTGTAGTTGCGTCAGCGACTCGTGCGTTTCGAAGTGTTATGGCAAGATCAAGAATAGTGACTTAAGTAATTCAGGAAAGTCGTAGCTAGGTCCACTCTGAACAAACTACCTCCATCATCATCAAGTATATCCCATCTCGTAGCTGTCGTTCAACATCTACTTCTCGATCTCATGCCGTTCTCATGATACTTGTTTGTAATAAGTCTGCAGGGATCCCTCTCCCTAAATCGCCTGGTAGATGGAACACCTCCAAGGAATACACCGTGTCCATTTTGAACAGGGATATGATCGTCCGAATTCAATTTGTATCCTTGTTGCATTCGTTACCTGTCTGTGACATCAGCTTCAGCACCTATATATTTATAATATCTCTAATGCAGTTTTTTGTATCCTTGTTGCAACAGATGCCTGTGTGTGGCGCATTTTTTGTGTGATAGGCTTCCAGACCGTCTTTGCTCAGTATACGAAATGTGTTTTGGTTACCTATGCTGCTGTCCTCCTGAAGAACAACATGAAGAAGATCAAGATGCTGGGCCGACTGCTGCTGCTGCTGCCGCGGAAGCAGCTGGAGGTGCCACCTCAACACCTGCAACTGCTGGACCAGCTGGAGATGGGGGGACCACCATCGACATTGGTGGACAAGCAGGAGGAACAAATGCAGCTCAAACAGAACATGTACGAGGAGTAGACGATGGAGCAGGCCTAGACTTTCGCGCTGGAACAAATGATCCGCAAATAGCGACTTCTGGAGATACAACAAGTACATCATCTTCATCATCATCTAATATCGGGGCGACCACGTCTAGAAGGCCAACCACAATTTCCAGCAGGACGATTGTGGATGTTGATATAAATGACGAAATGAATATCGGAGCACCTCAAACAACTCAAAGAGACATCTTCAACTTAGCTTCGTCCAGTGTTGGCTCTTCTACTTCTCCACTAGCATTTGCTATTTCTCGTATCAAGGGTGCTGGTCGAGGTGGAGCGCCACTGTATGAACTTGGCTCCGATTTTCGCTCCGAAGTGTTGAAGCAATACACAGACAAACCGGTGGGTCTGTACTTATGATGAATGTTGGAAATTGATGATGTGGCTCAGGTAGGCGTAGTTCATCATCATTCATCAAAATGAAAATTACTTACTCTAGGTGACATGTCCTGGTAATCGTAATCAGGAGACCATGATGTCTACTTCGTGCTCTAGTCTACCATGATGTTTATGAAACCTCCTCAACCCAACCTACCGGTACCTCTGGCTACCTCACGATCTTTTTCTAATTTTGCGCGAACTAAAGACTGAGGTTGAAGCCTGCCTGGCAATGCATAACGGATCGCGTGAAAAAAAGCTAAAGGTCTCCCGACTGGTAAACTTCTATCAGGACCTCTCAGCTGTTATCACTCGGCGAGAACGAAATCGACGACGGCGATCACATTAAAAAACTGGATGAAAAAAAAAGAGCTTCGATCAAGTCTTCTGGACGTGAAGTAGATACTCTGTGTGGACGAGTAGATTTTGAATTTTGCATAACGTTTTTAACGCTTATTAGACCCAATGGAAAATTTAGACTTTAATATTAAATAGAGACTCGTCTGGGAAATCTTAGGCAGCTCGCCGAATAGATTCAATTCATCAGAGAAGTTCTTTGATATCACGTTTTGATTATTTGTTGTATTAAATCTACTCGAGAATATAGACGATCACGATAGTAACAATGATATTGAATTATAGTTGGAGGTAGTATCACGACAACTAGGGGAGGAGAAATTTCGATTGATGCAGAGCTGCAGCCGCTGATTTGGGGTAGGAGGCCGAATCGTGGTTTTTAGAAATTGTTGAAAAGGTGTTTCATCTTGAACACGATTTGTTGTCCGCCATAAGATTGCTAATAATGCAAAAAGAATGTAGTTGTAACATCATTAGCTCAACACTTATTGAATTTGATGTAGAAGAAAACTAACAGCTTCAACAAGCACAGAAAATGTACAACAAACATGCAGATTATGAGCCCCCTGACTGCGAACCTCGACTGCCTCCAACAAGGAGTAGAGCGCTTTACTTAGTCTTGAGAATCTTCGAATTTTTTGATGATATTACAAAGACGGATTTAATACGAATTTTATGATGCACAGACGCAATCAATGTTCTTGAAGCACGGTCTTTTTCGAGAAAATCCGATCCCAAGTTCAAACAAGCACTGAGGGAACCAGATCATGATCGATGGATCAATTTAGATTTTCGGCAAGCTCCTATTATACGGAAGATCCTTTGAAGGTGGATCATCTGAAAAAGATCTTTCCTCGTTCTCGAAAAGATCCTTTTTTGATTATGCTCGATTCCAGATCTTGTTGATCATCCACGTGATCCTAAAGGTAATGATCTGAGTGTGAGTACTATTGGTTACTGTTACCGACACAGTTGTAATATTGACGAGGATCTTCTATCTCTTCATCTTCTTGTTGTATGCAAGAATCTCAATGCTCTTTTACTTCCTAGTATCCAAGAAAAACTAGTACAAGAACAAATTTATCCTTGTACAAGAACTTCGATCGTACCTCTATCCTGTCGTGCCCTACCGTATCCTCTCCGCATCAGCCAAAAGAAAACAAGGAAAATACTTTTCGCATTCCTTCGGGATTGTTTTTGAAAACCGCTTTTAGAGTTCACTCAAGAACTTCTACCACAAGCACAATACCACTTTCTCGAGAATAATTATATATCGATTGGATACAACACTTCTAGGTCGTAGAAGGTAAAAGTCTTGTTGTAATCTACTTCATCTATAACTTGTTCTACCCTTTCCTTTTTCTAAAATATTACAAGAACCCTAAATAAATAAAGAGATCTACAAAACCTGACTAAGAAGAACCTAGAAGATCCCCGAAATATATTGTGCAACTCTTGTTTGATTTTAGTATCTACAAGAACCGCCCCTTTCACTTTTTGACCCTGAATCTGATCCACCTCGTCTGGTATCAGGCAGAAATAAGATAAGTACAAAAAAATGAAGTCTGGACGTAGTGCTGGAATTTGTCGCAGCAAGATGAACGCAGGAGTACGCGTTGGCGCTGCTGCTCTTGGAGCGATGGTCTTGGGAGTGAAGGCTACCCCTGGAGGAGCTGGTGTGATGCGTGTCAATGTCATGCCTCCTGCACCTGTAGCTACTTCTGGTTCTGACTACTTTGAGAACACGCATCAAGAAAATCTCCTGAACGCGTCAGCTGTGGGAATTGCTGGAATCACTCAGCTCGCGGAAAGAAACGCTAGTGCACCTGCACAAACGTTGTCGGCTGCCAGTGCCATGTTAAAAAGATTCTGGGAAAAAATGTTCGAGGGTAACTCCCGTAAGCGTGCTGTCCACCTCAGAGGAAAAGGCAATGAGTCTAAATTGGTTCAAATGCAGTCTGAATTGGCTCAGGAAAAGGACAACGCTGTGGTTCAAGGTGCCCTCGAGATTGCCCAGGGGCTTAACCGGATGTTTAGGAGCAGCACGCCAGGAGAGGCTCAGCTAGATATTCCCGGATCTCAGGGTGCCGCCGATGCAGAGGCTATTCAAAAGGAAATGGAGGAGAATCTATCTGAACTACTATCGGATTCCAATTCGAATTCCTCTGATATAAAGGAGGGGCAAGAATTCAAAAGTTGTATGTGGTGGATGGAAACATTTCCCGGGGCGTTTGGCAACTACCCAAACGCCACTTTGGTCTGTACAGCCCATCAATTGGCGCAGCAAAAGGGAAGCCCGCGATTGGCGCTGCTGAATGGCTTTCCGTCGAACACGACCCGGAGTAAAAAAGCCTCCATTCTTCGCTGCCAGCAGGAGCCTGGCACCAAGAATGTCGTCCTGGATACCACCATGCCTTTAGGCGCAAAGTTCAAGAAACACCCTTTGGAGGCGATAGAGCAGTTTCTGGTTGGTACTTTGATGAGCGAAGGCGCGCTCATCGCTGGCGGCGATCACGTTCTACGTCGAGTTCCCACGAAGTTCTTTTGGATGAAGGCAGGCGAAGGAGCGGCGGTCGCCTCCAGCGTACTTGGCATCCTAATCTGGCTTTTCGTTGAACTTTATGTGAAGACCACGCTTTTGCACAACACGTATACCAGTCTGCGACCGTACCAGACATCGGTTTGCGAAGGAGGTTGGGTTAAGGCTGGCAGCCCGAGTGGCCACGAACATCTTGTTGCTCTATTTCATTTATCTCGTATTATGGAGATGATCGCCGGGCCTTTAGTGAGAGACATGAGTAACGCCCTCCATCCGCGATACTGGGATCAGAATACAGAAGGGAAGCCCCTCAAAATCGGTGACTATCAAGTTCTTCGGAGTACAACGACCCCTGGCGAAGCTGGCGAAGCACTTCCTAGTAAGTACACTACGATGACGGATCCGCAGGAGGTTAAGAACTGGAGTACATGGCTAAAGGATGGGACATGGCATGGGCTCACAACCGCGCCGAAGGTGCTGTGGAAGACTAAGTCTTTTGCGAGTGGGTACGCCAATGCTGCAGTGCGTTGGTACACGGAGGACGTTGCTACTCGCATGCCGACCTACCGTTCCGTAACAAGTGTCCTCAACTCTCATGTAAAAAAGGGGACAATAAACGTTAACGTCTATGAACGAGAACCATTACTACGACGAGGAGCTGCTCGCTGCGCTAATTGCATTCCACAACCGTGGACGAGTGATCGCCGACAGCGTGTCAGTACTGATTTCGCTGCTCAACTCTTCGTGCGCATTATGGAAAAAATGCTTGTCGAAAGGGTAGGCTCAGAAATACAACAGCCTCCGAAGTATCGACTGCGGTATTTCGTGGACGCAACCGAAACCGCGCCTCCGAGTGTTCAGGAGGAAACACCAGAGCAGGCTGAGGCTCGAGTCAATGCACTAGAGGCAGCGCTTCGCCAAGTTATGGGCGAGGGTGGTGAAGGCGAGCGGGCCGCCGCCGGGGTCAACTACCTTACTGAAGAAAAGTACCGCGAAGCCCGAGAAAGTGGTCCTGCCGTAGAACAAGATGAGCAAGTAGTTGTGAAGACACTTATTGCACTCCTCGATGTGGACGAGTGGAAGCGGGAAGTAGCTGGAAGCGAAACTCGTGTCCAGAAATTGCCGAAAGTGTTTTTGATGCAGAGCGAAGACTTCTTTAAAAGAGCGTCTGAGTTGTGGTTGGAGCAGATGGCTCTCGTGCAAGCGCTTATCCCCCTGAGACCTGCAGAGGGAGGACCTCCTGCTGTCCCCCTGAGTAGACCTGCAGAGGGAGAACCTCCTGCTGCAGTGGAGGCAGCCGACGTTCAGGCTGCTGCTCAGGCGGAACAATCTGCTCAGGCGGAACAATCTGCTCAGGCGGAACAATCTGCTCAGGCGGAACAATCTGCTCAGGCGGAACAATCTCTGGGAGGCATCTCTTTTGGTGAAGGAGTACAACCCTTCGCAGAAGAAGGAGAGGAGAGTTCTAACAGAAAACGAGTACAACTTGCGGTGGCGCCGTCAGGAGCAGGTGTTAGTAATTATGGGAAGCATCCGCAGCACCGGACGCGCCGGGTTGCCGACGAGTGGGGAGGGCCCCTGCTGGTTCTCGCGACCTTCATTGCACGCCCTGCGGCTAACGATCACACCTATTACCAAGTGGCGGAGTCCGCGGTTCTTCCGGTGCTTCTCTACGTCGGCGTGATGCTTGGGCTCACGGTAGAAACATCCGGTACAGCGGGTGTCATTACCGATTTCATAGGAAACAAGTTGTCACCGGCGCTACCCCTACGCCTACCTGCTTGCCTTCGACGCCGTGTTACCTACGAGATGGCGGCAACTGCGCATGATCGTGAAGCTGAAGGAACTTCATCTTCAAGTCCTGCTGCCTTAATATCTACTACTAGTGGTGCAGCTCAAGAAGGAGGTGCTGGCCCGTCTGGAAGGAGCACTGTTCCTGAACCTGCACCTGCTGCAAATCCCGGTCAGACCGGGAGCGGCGCTCGTCTTTCGCTGCATGACCTGGGGCAACGGCTGCTGGCGCAGCATGGTGCAGTACCAGGTGATGATAGTACTAGTAGTTCGTTGTGAACCAAGACACGACTAAAGGAGCCGTGATGAAAATCGCTTTTTAAATGAAAGAACGAGCTCGCAACAAAAGATTTAAACAAATTAATATATGTGATCCACTAAGATAGTAGCTTTGGCGTTGAAAAGTTTACATTTACTTAGGACTCATTTACATTTACTATGCACTTCATGTGGCGACGGTCTACATGACTGGAGTCGTGGCACACATATCCGGGTAACTACATACCCTGATGATGTGATAATCTTTGAGTCCAGAAGGTGTCTCTTCTCTTACGTTTTATCTCGTGCCGATATTCATAGATCTAAATGATGTGGGGATCAAGCTCTTGATGCGAGCTACGACCCTTAAATAGGATGGACTGGAGAAGAACACGCAGCTTAAGTGCTGTAGTTTTGACGTTGCAAGAGGTGATGGAGTTGGATGAAGTAGAGTACTATAATGATGAACGTTCATCTCCATGATAACTGGGAGCTCTCTTCTTACTGGGAGGAGGTCCCTAGTACTGATGGAGGTGTCTAAAAAGACGCAAGCATTGACTTTCAACAACGCTTTTCGCAGGGTTGTAATTCGGCCGCATATCGATAGGCCTGCTTTTAGCAGGTCTAGGCTAACGCTCAAGGATGATAGAACGTATAAGCTCGCGCATATATTTTTTGAGCTTAGCGATCGAATATTTTGGGTTCTGTCGTCTCTGGTCGTCGACCTCGGGGGCCTTCAGGGGTAGTTAGAAGCACCAAGAACAAAGAGCACCGCCTACAACGTTGGGAAAAGTAGTTTGCAAGAAAATATGCTCACAAATATGATCTTGAGTTGGTCGACAGTTTTCGAGACAGTTGCAAAAATGTTGACCATCACAAGTTTGCCGTAAGTTTGAAAAAAACAAAGGACACAAAAAAGGAGCTACTCACAAAGCCTTTCGACTTTTTTTTCGAATAGTTGTTGTAGTTTATTTCGCACTTAACAAAAGAAGAACACTTGGCGTCGCCACTCTGTCGAGCTCGTTAGGGTGAAACAGTAGAACAGAGCGTGACAGCTTTCAACTTTTTTAGGTTAAAGAATGAAACCAGTGCAAATCTATCTGAGTTTAAAGCTACCTAAACAGGTAGTCTTTTGCGCGCATGAGGTAAAGCGTTCCTGGCGATCTTCATGTTCATTCTAGTTACATAGTGACTATTGGTCCTGCGTGAGGAATTACTAGATGACAAGCCCTCTGTAGCTGCAGAGGATGAACCAAATCTGTATCTGTTGTAGTTGTATGGGCGTTGAGATGATCTACTTGAGAGAAAGTCGCGTGCTGCTGCTGCAAGCTGTAAAAAATGAGAGACCAAATAACTGAGTCCTCGCGTCTAAGGCTGATTATACTCATCTCGTCCATCTGTCGCTTCTGGGGCTGAACTTCTGTACAAGTTTTTGATGTGCACCACGAATGATTACGAATACGATCTTAATCATACCGAGGTCATGATAAGTACTATCGGAGGTAGGACCTCAACACATGGGAGATTTTCATCTGTCCACCATGCAAAAATCTGAAAAAATGTGTATATTGGTGTCTGTTGCGCTTGAGCTGAAAACACGGAGGTAGATGCGGAATTTCACAAATCTATGCTGACTCGTTTGCACACTACTTTCCATCTTCTTCTTCATCTTCTTCATTCAAAAAATTATCTTCGTTTTTCCTTCACGACTACGAGGACTTACGTGCGGTAAATTTTCCCCTGTCTCACTGTCACTCTGCCCGCTCCTGACACCTGAGCCTGACCCTTGATAGTGATTTCTGTGATTCATTGATTGTGATTACTGTACGAGTGAACTGGTGTTGGTCCCCTTAACATATCATAAGTACTCTTTTGATATTAGATTGCGCCATTATTTTCTTCAAAGTTTACTTACACGTTTCATCTAGTGGAAAAAAATGAAGCTCTTGTTAATGTCGTTGCGGAGGACAGCACTCATCCTTGCTCATCCACGACTTGTGAGAAGGACTATTGCTGCCTCTACGCTCTCGTCCTCGACGATGAGCGCAAGAAGGATCACCACGACCACTGCCACAAGCGCGGCAGCTTCCCCAACGTATCGTCCAGGAATGCACCTTGCCCTTGAACAGGATCCGTGTTTCCTGAACTATGAAGATGACGGACACGGACAGTGTGTCTTTGTTCATCATCGTGGAGGAAGTTCTACTGCTTCTGGAGGGAACGAACGCCACGACATGCAGCTGGAGGGAACGAGCAACCCCGCTTCGTGTGTGGCATTCTCAGCGTTGGTAAATGAACACCTTGGAGTTGGACTTGGAGAAGAAACTAGCTTTACTTTCTTGTTTTGTGCAACCAAATGGGAAGATTACATCGTACCAGATGAACAACCAGGAGCAGCAGTTGTCGGGGTATCATCAAATCAAAGGAAAGCTACGTCAAGTTCTACAAGAAGTGCTCTAGCTGCAGCAGTACAGCCAGGACCAGCACGAGCTACTTCACAGAGCAATGCGGCGGTGGCACCACGACCTGCAGCTCTGCCACCTCAGCAGAGCCGTGGTTCTTTTAATGATGGCGTATTTGAGGTACGACTACCTTCTGTGGAAAATGTGCCAGTTGTTCCAATGCCTATTTTGAAGGTTAAAACCTTTCGTCTACAACCACCTCCGGAAAAGGAATCTTCTGTTGCTGTTGCTCTGAGGAAACTACGACTGAACGTCCGAGAAGCGTTCGTTTTCTCTGCCATTTTTTCAAATCATGATATCATGGAGGAGCAACATGTTGTAGAAGGAGAACGAGCACCAGAAGAGGCACGGTCGCGACATCTTCATGCAAATGTGATTCCCTACGCTGGTCTTCGGCTCTCCTCGCAAAAATTCGAGAAAAATACCGCATCCTCGACTGCAGCCTCAACAAAGAAACAAGCAGCACTTCTGCTGGGCAAAGGACAATCGGATCTAGGATTTTGGTTGAAGAAAATGGCTCAACCATTAACGCTGGAGGTGACCTCTCCCGATGATCTTCACGAAGATGAGCTGCCTGACAGGAGGAAGAGGAGGAGGAAACAAGTACCCCCAACGTCAACATCCTTACCCGCGGCTCCCGATGCTGGTGCTGGTCTTGCAGCAACTTCCATTGATAGTGAGGGACGGTTCAGTTTTCTTCCACCAAGTAGTAGGAGTTGTGCATCGAAATCGGGGGAACAATCCGAACTCGTCGAAGCCGACGACGTCCCCGTCGACGACGAGCAGGAGTTCCAAGCATCTGAAAAAAGGTTAGAAACAGAACTTACGCATCGTGGAGATATGATGCTAGGATTTTTAGAGGACATACTATCCGGTTTGGAATTCGTACACTCTTTTGGCCTTGTTCATGGCGACATAAAGCCACAGAACATCGTCCTCATGGAGAAGGACAGAAGTCTAGATGAAGATGAAAAAATGAAACCGAGGAGCACTTTCTCCAGTCTAGCAGGTCCTTTTCGTGCAGTTTTAATTGATTTTGGACACACATTTTCAGTCGCAGGTGCATTAGAAGGAGCTAGGACAGCGAGAGAGGCGCATGGTGGAGCGACTCCAGGTCAGAAGGGATACCAAGGTCCCGAAACCGATCTTCCTCAACTGCCTCAGCATGAAAATCTAAATCATCGTATCCATTTTTCTCCCGAGCATAGAACCAAATACGACATCTGGGCTTTTGGGATCGTCGCTTTGGAAATGCTGAGTACATTTTTTCTGGCCTTAATACCTCAGAGTAGTTGGGAGGGGTGGGCTGCCGGTCTCGGTCACGACAACGCCATGCATGACGACGATCATCTTGCTGGACGAAGTGGAACAACAATAGCGCAGTACATTTCGAAACACCTACTCCCAAACATTTCGAAGGAGGACACGACGCGTCTTCTTTTTCAAAAGGGTCTTTTTCCATACTTCTGGAACTTGCAATTTGACGTGTTGACCAACTTCATTATAAAAAAAAATGCAGAGATGAAAATAACAATGGGTATAGATGCAGCGAAAGCCGCGATAGAAACGAACGTGAATGGTCCTGACGGTATAAGAAACCTCATGCGGATTGAAATTTGGAGTAAACGAAATCCTACTTTGCCAAAAATATGCGACCAAAGAACGACGAGTGCAGGTACCCCGAATGAAGAAAAGGAAAAGCGGCGTATGATCAACGTCGGAGTAAATAAGCTAGTTCAAGCGTGGGAGCAGGAAGTACGTGAAACTTTCGCACAAAGACTCACAGGTGGTCCTCTTCTAGATTTCTTCCTGGATCAGTTGCATGGTCTTCTCAATGTGGCGATTCCAAACGCTGCAATTACCAAGTCGTTGGAAAAGACTGCGAAAGGTAAGTTGAGAATGATTCTGAAAGCTGCATTACGCTATGATCCAGCCGACAGAAGGACAGCAAAGCAGTTACTCGATATCTACTACAATGCGGAGGGAGAAGAAAGCCATGCAGCAGCCCATGAGGATGAGGTGTCTTCCGCTCCTGGTGCTGCATTTGGAGATGAAAGACCCGCTTCTACTAGTGGTACAGGAAAAGGTGAACAACAAATAAAAGTACCTGTTTCATCTTCACCTTCAAGTTCAACCCCGTTCTTGAAAGAAGGTCGTGGCGGAGATACGACCCTAACAGAAACTACTGCTGCAAGTACTATTATGAAGAAATTCAATAGCCTCTATACTGCGAAAAATCACGCGACGCTGATTGAGACGCTACTTGGACTCTACGCCGAAGAGGGCCAACACGCTTGGAAACGAGTGAAGGCAAATGCCGTCAAAGGACCCTTGGAAGACGAACATTAACCCATGAATCTGAAAAAGACTAGATTGTTCAAGTAGAGGTTGACAAGTACTTTACCGCTTTGTTTTGTAAACCAGGAGTCGTGTTCCGCCAGACTGTTAAGCCGTCAGAGAAGGTGGCAGTAGAAGCGTATTTTATTACGTAGTTGTTCGTGATGCTGTGAGCGTGAGCGCCGGCGAACAAGGAAAAATTACTACTCATCTTTTACCTTATTTGAAGTAGTGCAAAAACATGAAATAAAGCACATGAGAGTTGTAAGTCAGTCAGAGTGAAGAAGACTTACATATCAACGAGAAGGTCGAAGATCGTAGACCAACCGAGAGGAAACAAGATATAAAAATACAACAAACTTGTATTTAAGGACCGACCGACAGGAAGAAGGACAAGGAAGTAGCAACTTCAATATTTTGAAATTTTGATTTTGTTCCGTCTAAAACAAAATTTCGAGTGTCTGTGCTGTGTTTGTTACACTCTTAGGGTTAGGACGAACTAGTCTCTTGAACAACATCAATCGAGGTTGATAACCACAACATCAATGATTGAATATTATATTAACTTCAGGAGCACCATCATAGATACGTTACCGCTTTGTTCTTGACTTGTTTTTCTTTTTCCTACTAGCGAGCGCAGCACTTGTTCATTTTGAATACCCAACACACACTTTCAAACAAAATGTCGAACTGGTTCGACAAAGCTAAAGCGTGGACGTCCGACGCGGCGACGAGGGCGTCAGAAGCGGCCTCCAAGACGCTGGAGAAGACGAAAGAAAAAGCAAAAGAAGCCAAGGAAATCGCGAAACATAATTATGGCACTATACTTCTTTATCTTTTTCCTCATTATAAATCCTAGGTTAGTCAACATCTCTCCAACCAATGGATGGTGCAAACGCTGTGTAGCCTCGTCCACATGCACTGTATCCGTTACCTAACCTCCAACCAATGTGTTCTATACTTCTCAGACTCAGCGAGTTACAGAATGCAATACCGGGGATACAGGATGGGTGGTGACCTCAATGTTCTTCGTTGGTTTATGATCTTCAGGAGGAAGGGTCTCAGAGAAGTTTGTCTACTTAAATCGTTGTATTCCGCTTCAGATCAAATTAAAAACTCTTCTAACTCAAACTGGGTCGAACCGAGTCGGCCTATGAGTTAAGCCGGCAGCTGGAAGAGAAGGCTCGCAATGCTACGACATTGGCTGCCATCGCTGACTTGCACAGGAGTTGGATTTCCGCTTTGAATAAGAAAGACGGTCCGACCTACGCTTTAATGCTCTCTGATGCTGGAACACTTGCTGCTATTATGGAGTAGTCTCTTTCTCTAGCGTGCTATGTATATATGTACCAGGGAGGGAGGCCCCCCCCCCCCCTGTATATAAATATCTACTTCTAGGGTTGATGAAAGTCGGTCGTGGGTCATGAAATACTGTATGATGTAGTATTTGAGAAGTTGCACGTAACTTCTGTGCAATATTGTCTCTTAGGTGGTCATGTAGGAACAGGAACTGCGACAGGGACGCATATATAACAAACAAGTTATTTTTAGCTGTAGATTACCCTTCGCCTGCTGTAGTCGGAGTTGGTAGTACGACACGACACGTATTTCTATTTCCTCAGGACGACGAGTGTAGTTCTTGTTCTACAAGTAGTATGATAATGATGTAGTTCTGTAGTTCAACAAGAACAAGAACATCCACCTCATCCTCTAATTTGCACATGATCGCGGATGAAGCAACAGGCACGACAGCTTCTCCGGGGCCTACTGCTGCCTCTCCAGCAGGAGGCGAAGAGGGTGCTGCAACTTCATCTGGTGGGGATGTCCTAGTCCTAGAGGAAGTAGCATCTTCTTCAAATGGAGGTGGAGACAGTGCGACTGGCGAGACTCAGCAAAATAAAACCAACAAGTCGTTCTTTTCAAAAATCACCTCAGCAGTGTCAAAGCGCGGCACCTCAAATGAGTCGGGTCCGAACAGCACCGAGAAAAACAAGGATCTGCCGGAAGGACCGAAACGATACCTATCGTTTAAACAGGTACTAAGATATCAAAACGTCCAAGATGATTCAGATTGTTTCTATTTCTTCTTCTAATGTTTTCTTAGAGGACCGACCCCTAGTAGTCGTGTCATGGCCTAGGTATAGGTTGAGCGGTACCCATCTTCTCAGCACGCCTAGGTCTTCCTCCGTTCTCGTGCTTTGGAGCTGTCTTTGGAGACGATTTTGACGGACGAATGGATGCGCAAGCGATTCGTTCCGCCAGGACCGGATGACCATAGCTCGCATTCCTTCTATTTCTATTCCTTGATGCAGAACTGCATATCTTGTTATGGATTACAAGGTCAAGGCTGATGAAGATATATGCGTAAAAAATCATTATTTCGGAGTATCTTTTTCTACATTTTTAAGTAGGTAATTCTCGGTACATCAAACAAGACGTAAAGAGGATATATATTTGTGGTGCTCGATCTACATACTTCAAATAGGATATTAAACCTCCGGTCCTCGCAGGGCCGGTCCTTACCTATGAATGTTCGTGCTCTAATCTTCCCCACCCGAGATCTGGGGAGGCCTTTTGCGCACAGCGACCGAGAGCGAACTTCTTACGGACTACCATATCAGATGGCTATCCAGACTCTTCGGAATTCTGAATTATGATTGAAACAAGTACAAGTAGGAGTAGATGACAACTTGTTCTAAAATTCTTCAACACGGAGGAAGGAACACGTACACGAACAATAAGGTTGATGTTGCATAACAGGGAGGTGGTTCAAGTGACCTTGTTCTTTTAGTTGCCAACAAGAACAACTACATCAAGAAGGTCTTCATACTTAGATTAATACGCGTACGTAGTGGAGGATGTTGTTGTATATCTATATGCTTGAAATAAGAGTCCACCACCTCTTGCCGCCAGTGCCAGCTAGTGGATGTTGTTGTATATGCTTGAAATAAGAGTCCACCACCTCTTGCCACCCAGTGCCAGCACTTCTAATCTCCGGTCGACTGGATGGATGAGGTTTTTCACGCAGAGAGGAAAGACATGGCGGTCAAAGCGGAGCAATTACGCAACGAAATTCGTGGTGTGAAAACGGCGTCGCCCTCATTGACTGACCAGGAAATCGAGAAACATCACAAAAAGAAAGTCAATGCTAGTCGAGATTTGGTACTAGAGACTAGAGGTAGTCGAGATTTGGTATAACTAGAGACAAGAACAAGTTCTACTTCTAGTAGTAGTACAGTTTAAACTACTTCTAGTAGTACAGTTTATGTAGTTCAGTTTTAAAAAAAACAGTAGAAGTGGGGGGGGGGGCAACACAGTTTAAGTAGTAGTACAGAGAGTAGTACAGTTTAAAAGATGATCTTCAAGTTGACACTAAAAACTACATCGACGATGTTGATGAAGATGCTTCATCAAGTTCTTGGTGCTTGTAAGTATAGGCGAGAGTTGTACTTGACGATGAACATCAGCAGCATCAAGTTTACTAGATCTGCATGGAGTTGGAGTACTTCTTCTAGTACCGTTCCCTCGACTAATGGGACAATAGTCGTCTTTCTTTTTTGTTTTTGCTTTTGTTAGAACGATATGCCTCCTCCCTCTCCGACACTTCGCCAGGTCCAGCTCTACAAGGGTCTCCGTCTCAATATGGAAGATGCGTTGAAGCATCGAGAGACGGTACTGAAAAAGCGGAACGACAACATCAAACTATTGGAGGCGGAGATGCAAGATTATCGAGAGGATCTGATCAACAGCCAAGAAAATTCCGTAGAAACTAGGGAAAAACTCACGAAGGAACTAGCTGAAGCCTCTGAGGTCCTGAAAGTGGACTTGGAATCGATCGATGCAGACCGAATTGCTGTGGATCAAGAGATCGAAGAGCTTGAAGTCAGGAAAAAAAATCTGAAACTGGAGATCGAAGAGGTAGTCGTGCTGGTTCATCTTCATCTAAGTACTTTTTGGTGGATAAAAATTAACTTTCTTATTACTTAGAAAGTTAATTTTTATCCACCAAAAAGTACTTAGACACGACACTTTTTTTTCGATGACACGACACTTTTTTTTCGATGATTTTGGAGGTGGAAGATCAAGCAAGATCCTTTCAATCATTTGATGCGCAAGAATAGCGACTTCTAGCCAGCCGCGTCATCCTGATCATCAACTTGAAAACCAACCTTCATCTATCATGCAAATAATCATCTCACAGGTAACCCAACTTCTCCTAATCGCTCGGCAGAAGCAGAAGCATTTCATGATGGAGCAGGATGCCAAAAGGACGAACATGTATGGCGAGAAGGACCGATTCAAGCGCGAAATCAGCGAAAAAGAGCGGTTGGGTTTGGAATGCCAATTGGGAACACAGGTTTTGCACCAAATATCCCAAATAGTCACAGTCACGGAGAAACAGATGACAGCGAGTCTTTCGAAACAAATCACGGAACTGGCGAAGAAGAGGGATCAGTACCTTGTTTTCTTCTTCCAACACCGTGATGACCAGTTCGCAGGTTGAGAATGACTATGCAGCTCAAAACGGCTTCTGCTTGTTGAAACCCACCATGAACCTTCAACTTATTAATTCGGTAAAAATGTCTCTACTCGGGTCACAACGGAACCAGGCAGTTACTTGTAGCTGCTACGTGCCACGTGGTTCGAATGAATGAATGAGTGAATGAATGAACAATACTACTGCGACCTGTCTTTACAACAAATACACACTACACATCACAAGGTTCGACCAACATTTTGTGGAAGTTTTACGGGACCATTGCCGCTATGAGGAGGACAGGATTACCTCTATTGGCGAAATAGCGAAAGTGTCCTGCGGACGCCTGATCCAACTGTCGGACGAAGACTCAAGTACGGGTTTGCCAACCACTGGAAGTGTTATGATCATGTTGATGATGTGTGAGTGTGACTGAACTATTACAAATACAATTAGACCTGTCACTCGTTGTAACGAAAGATTTTTGGGGTAGATGTAGGCTCTCTAATTCCCGCAAAGACCAGGCGACTGGTCCTGGAGGTGCTCCCCTCACCCGCGCCGAATTTCTTGTCCGGGAACGGCACATTTTCACGCGCGCGACGCATGATTTGGAGGTTGTTTGGACGGACATTGTCAATTTTCGACGTGCTCATGAAGAACAAATCTCAGGGAGTACAGTCCTGCGCGACAGCCTAACGAGGATGGAACAGAAGTACAGGGCAATTCGCCAACACCTAGCGCCAGGACTGGAATTGATGTTATGAATGTGGTGGGTTCTTTTTACAGGAACAAGATGATGAATGTTGTTGAAATCATTAGTAGACTTTTTTTGACTAAACAAGAAGGTTCACAAGCTCATTAGTAGACTTTTGTTCTACGTCCTCTTATACATAGTTCGTTGTAGCTTTAGCTAGGTGCTGCAAGAAAGAAGCTGCTCATACGCGATGTTGAAAAGGTGCAACTTCTCGTTTTCTGGAAAGTGTTGTCCTCTAATATCTGTGACTTCAAACATGGGTCCTGACTCGCCGTTGAGTACTCCTGGCGCAACTGGGCCTGCGGTAGGAAGTCTAGCAAACAGTGTTGCTGCTGCGGCAGTATCTACTAAGCCTCCTGCTGATGCTAGTGCAAATAACGCTGCGCCTGTGGAGAAGAAAGTTCCACCGCCACCTCCACCAGCTCCACCTGCGGCGCCGAAGAATGCAGGAGACCTGGTTGTCGAAGATGTGTCTGCCTCGACACCTGCTGCGCCAGCTAATGCGCTATCATCCGCGAGCGACAGTTCCTTGGTCGACCTGGCGACTGAGCCGGTTCCACCGATATCAACAGAAGACGAAAAGAAAGTTGAATCAACTCCAGCGGCTCCTGTAGTTGCTCCATGTAGTACAACAGCGTCAGAAGAGAAAGTCGAGACACCAGAAGCGCCTGCAGCGCCTCCTGCTCCAGCAGAAGTTCCGAATGCACCACCAATCGCCTCTGAGGAAGCCGTCAAATCAGAGACAAAGGAGTCGCAGAAGAACCCTAGTACTAGTACTGCCTCTGAGACCGTTCCTGCCTCATCTCCGACAACTAGCGTCGACCAACCGTCGACTGCAGCAGCTGCTGCCGAAAAAGAGACGTCTTCGACCTCCGAGCCTCCAACAACAGCAGCTCCAGAAAGGAAAAACTCGAAGAACGCGAGGAAAAAGAAAAAATCGAAACAGGGAAAAGAAGAAGAAGAGGATGAAGACTTCGCTATCGCTTAAGGCGAAATGTGATAAACATCGACGTGTCCGCTGTAAATTTATCTTTTTCTGTTTGTATTTTTTTTGACTCCATTTAATCATTTCGATTTGTACAGAAGTTATACAAGATGAATAAACAGGTAGATGAAGCTGGAACAAGAAAGATTATTCTCAAGAGATACCGAATCGTTATTGAAAAATACAATTCAAGTGAAGGTCTGCCCACCATCTGATTATAGGCTTGGCCTTTATTGTAAGTATGCCTTTATAAGTAGCAGCATGAATACTTCATTATCATTACGATTACTCCTTTTCTTGTATCAAGATCTGAGTCCTCCCCTGTGTAGAGCAGACCCGCCATCTTCTAGTACTTCGGTACCCGTATCTTCTTGATGCATGCACGTTCCTCAATTGTCTCTGATGCATCGACGACCAAAAATTGGGCTGATTTTCAGTATACTGAAAAAAACCCAAATTCATCCCATGTGGTTGATCATTCATCACATCAGAATACCACGACAACAAAGCGACATTTTGATTTCTCTCGACGATCTGCTTGTTTTCTCGAGATAAGTACGTAGGCTGTTGTCTGTTCGTCGACATCGGTACTCAAAACTGGCGTCCTCGATCTTTTCATTGAAAAAACATGAGATGACAAGGAGGCTTGGTTACCTCGCGCACAGGCGAAAATCGGTGTAGGGATGAGAGAGGATTTTAGGCGTTCCTGTATGTCGGACTACATCAACTAGATGAAAGCAATCGGAAGTTTTTGATCCCCCCCACATGCCCTTTTCGACGTTGTCCCCCATTGCCTTTACTAGGGTCTTACAACATCAAGAACAACCATCATCGAGTCTATGAAAAAACAAGTAGCTCATCGAAGATCTGCCGAATGTCATGTCAGTCTGGCGTACTTTTTTCTTGCTGTATTCCATCCCATCTGAAGAAATTAGCGCAGCATTGATGTAGATGATCTGAACCTTATGGAGAATTGACCTAGTATTCTTGTTACTGGCACAATTTTCAGCACGACCACGAACATGAAACGAGAACGTGAAGAGTGCGAGCGTGGTCTGAAGAGCTGCTCCGACTGGGTCTGCTCATCTGGAGCGCCGTAGCCTTGCGTCCTCCGACGCTGTGTAGACACCAAGGTGTAGGACCTTGGTGACGCCGACTCCTGAGACGCGCTACAACGAGTAGTCACCTGCCTCGACTGGGTTTTATCTATAGCCAGAAAGTACTAGCCTGATCATCTGGCGCTTGTGAAGAATTGTTCGACTACTTCGACTTCGGTGACCTCGCGCTCGCGAAAGTAAGAGCAGTAGAACGCGCTCAGTGAAGATCGAATAACTAAGTCCCTTTTCATGACGTGGTCACTGTTCGTGTTCTTCACAAGTGCGCAGCGAGGGTGATGTAGTCTTGAAAGTAGAAGTACTTAGAAAAAGTAAGTAGCTACATCAACGAGAACGAGCGATTCGGCTGCTGCAGGGGAGGCTCCCGAGGAGCTGATCATCCTCTGCTCTTGGTAAGACAACAAGACCGTCCAAAATTTTGCCTACAAGAAGAAGCGGCGCAACGTGCAGAACGGGGTTCATCTTTCTCACTAAAACAACGAAGTGGCAGGAGTTGAACACCTTTCTACAACGAACACCTTTCTTCTACTAAGTACAACTTGTTCTAGAAGTAGTACTACAACAACAACTACCCAAGAACATACAAGAACATCATCTAGAAGTAGTACTACAACAACTATAAATACCACCTAGTACGTAGTAGAAGTTGTAGTACCAGCACAACCACTCCAACTTCTCCAACAAGATGCCGAGTGTTCCACGAGAGGTGCTAAAGTGGATGCAGGGTATGTGCGTGACGCACAGTATAAAAGACCCTAAGTTCGATCTGGCGAATGGCTATCTCATAGCGCAGCTTTTCGAACGCTACTACCCAAAGGATGTTCGAATTTATATTATGGCTGCAAATATGAATGTGAATGTGAATCAAGAATGTGAAGATCTTCATTATGATACGTCAGTCTCAGTTGTGTGAGACTCATCTAGATCATGAAAGGACTCATCTGAACCTGAAGATGGACCACTGTTCACCCTCACTTCTTCTAACTCGAGTTACGAAAACGGTCAATCAATAGAGTGCAGAAGTAACAACTGGGAGATGCTTTTTCGCGTCTTCAAGAAGGTGAAGATGCCTTGCACAAGGGAAGAGTTTGACGAAGTGCTACATCATGTGGACGACGCAGCTGTCCTCTTTCTCTGCAAAATCTACGAATTTCTTACGGGGAAAAAGGTACTTGCGTTACTTCCCACTACAACCACGTCTAAAAATCTCCTTTGTGACGAGGTAGGAACTCATTCGCTTCCAGTACAGCATGTTATTTCCTTCGTGAGGTAGGAACTCACTCGCTTCTAGTACAGCATGTTCTACCATCATCTTCAGTACCCACGCACCTCGTCCTCACCCCACTGCAGGTAACCCTCTTCCAATCACCGGAGAAGCCAAATCCACCTCCGTTTGCAAGGGAAACGGCTAGTTGGAAGCTCAAGGACCCTCACTTGGAGCGAATCGAAGACAATATTCATAGAACAATTTTATGGCTCGTAGTTGATCCCTCAGTAAGAAGATAGTCTACACATGAATAAAATGCTAGTAGTAAGTGTCATCTATGTACTAAGTAGTTGTGCTACACATTGAGTATCGCGGATAAGACGTGTAGAAGAAGATGTCTTGTGAACATAGAACATGATGGAGGAATAATCAGCATCAGGTGGACCACTAGTACATGAAAGAAAAAGTATCAAACATAAAAGAAAAGATTTCAACCATGGCTTTTCTAATTCTCAGAAGAATACACGTCCTTGAAAAACACAATGACGATCTCGCGAGGGATCGGATAGGGCCGGATGGAGATGGTACCTATCAGATTTTCTAGCATGATTGACTTTTTTATTTTTTTAGATTATTGAGTTTCATCAAGATGAAACAGTCAGCCAGATTCTGACTTTTCATCCTGCTCCTGGTTGTTTTTCTGTCATACCTAGTCAACGTTGTTGTACCTGGTACTTCAGGATGTGGCTTCATCCCTATCTCTTGTTTGTCGTGTTATATTAATCAGGTGTTCGGAGATATATCGCAATAGCGCAGAAGCACGATGAAATGCACACTCTGGAAAGCAGGAAAAGCATGAAGAAAGACACAGGAGCAGAAGAGCAGACCGACACACACGGATCCGTTCGAGAGCAAACTGTGAATGCTCTAGCAAGTGTGCCTGGAGCAATGGCCAGTCAAGGAGGGGCGCCGTCTAGTGCAGCGCCATCGGGAAATAAGAAGAAAGTAGCGAGAACAGCTTCGGTGGTTGCGGAAGTAGGATTCAATCAACCGGCAGGTAAACATGGCTTAATCATGATAGCATTTTCTGTTTGCAAATCTTTATCGATCTCTCCACCCAATCCCAAACCACCAAACCACCAAACCAGGCGTCGTCAAGCCTGTCCTCGACATTGTGAGACCTTTGATTTTGACTGAAATCGACAACTCGCATTTCCCCGAAGCCGCAGAGCCGGTTGCGGCTTTCGTGGATGCCGCAGTTAGAGAAGCACTACCGGAAGCAGTAACAGTCAGACTATTCAGAGAAAAGCTGACGGCTAGGGCACACCTCTTTGTCGACTCAATGCTGAAGAGCAGCATAGAGTTCTGGATAGTTTGGTCAGTTTTCTTACCAATCCTCCAAGAACCAGTAGCGGGATCGCCAATGTTCGACGCGGTACCGTAATTTGTTCAATGTCGTTGTCGTGCTGTTGAGCTCCTTGATTTGATTTGATTTGATTTGATCTGTTTTCTTACTAGGTCCTCGTAGCTGTACTTCTTCTTGACGGTCGTTATTGAATTCCCTACTATATCGACGTAAGTGTAAGTACTTTTTACTCATCCCACTCTCACTCTCAGGGCATGGACTTTTGGCGACGAATAGGCACATTGTGCAAACAGCGGAACGAAGCACTTACACAAAAGTGCATGCTTCACGTCTGCTTACCCTACCTAGTGCAGATAATGCACAGCGATTGCGCAAAGAGGGATCCACTTTGTTATGTTACCGAACACTTATAGTTCCTGAGTACTAGAAGACTTAACAGATAGATGTAGACCTGAAATAGAAAGATGAACAGCTTCATCTACTTCGAGAATATTTAAAAATACCACAATCTCATCGACGAGTGCCTCTTCCACTTCTAATATCCCGAACTAGTCTACACTTTTCTCCCTGGCGACATTTTCGCTGAAGTTAGCGGCTCGATCCCACTGCCACGTGCGGTCGCACGCCTTCAGGCACTGAAGAGTGTGAAAGACGTCTTGAATGAACGTTTGGGGGACAAGTTCGTGAGCAGTTACGTTCCCTGTCTAGCCTGCTTCGTCGACTGGGATTGCTCACCCTCACAACCACTGATCGAGCACTTACTCGATCTCTACCTCTACTACGCGATGTTGGCGATACAACTACCTCAACCAAAACTGAGGACAGCTGGACTCAGTGTTTTGACGACTATTGCGGGCAGTGGGTATATCATCCTGCATGAAATAGTAGATGAAGTATCCAGATCCAGATCATGAATGTCTCTCACTATAAAAACTAGACAAGGATCATTTCTCAAGTACTCTAAATCAAGAATTTGCACTTATTTTCCAGTAGAATCCACGACACTAAGCTGCACTACCACCGAGGACACTGACTCAGGTCATCACCAGCCGTGTTGAACATGATCCCATCGTTGAAGGGCCTCATGTACGATACCTGGTGGGAGGTGCAAGGCTCATTGCTGGTCCTAGTTTCCACCTTATTGTCCAAATCCCGGCCAACATCCGACGGCTTCTGCGCACCAGCTGAACAAGACCTCTACCGCATCATCGCGCACATTCTCCAACCACAAAAAGTATCGAAAAACGTCCTGCAGATCGGGCTTTCCTACTTGAGTAGGAACCTCGCGACGTGTCCGGATTTGGCTCTGTTGTACGTGCAGGCGTTAGTGGCTCAACCAGCGTCGCTTAGGAATCGCCTGTTGCCGAAAGAGTGCTGTCTTCCTGGTACAAGAGATCATGAGGAGCGAGTGACCTTTGCCGAAGCAGCTCAGCAACCACCACAGAAAACGCAGTACGTGTTGGGATGCAACTCGAAGTACTTCCGCGAGTTCCAGATCTTCAATCCAGGGGGTAGCGGTGTATCAAGTGGAAGTGGAGTTAAGAAGGGTGTTTATACTAGTATTAGTACCATCGATCACGATCAAATAAATCAAATCAATGTATTTTTAAACCGAATCATCAGCACCAGCAGACAATTTCTCCTCCTTGTTGGGCATATCACTTGAAGATCCTCTCAGTAGAGTTCGTGACTTCTTCTACCTCCTCTCTCTCTTCTACCTCCTCTCTCTCTTCTACCTCCTCGTCGCACTCTTCTACCTCCTCTCACTTCTAATCTATCCTCCACCGCAGCAGGTGTCTCCGCATCAGCTTTGACCTCGCCACTGAACGTGAAACCGCTAGTTTTAGCGAGAGCACTCTGCGATTTGGTAAATGGAAGTGGAGACGCACCTGATCAGCCAGAAAGCATTCAGGGATTGCTTTACTTATGACAAAAGGCTTTTGTCGACTACGCCCGTCTACGCCCATGTAATGTAATGCAATAAATGTAATGTAGTGATGTTGATGCTGAACAAAACAGCACCCTAGAAGTAGTACTTCAGATCACCAACAAGAATTCAGTCTTTATTCTTCATCCCAGTGGATCCTCGTGGTTGTAAGACATCCTCAAACTTCTCAGAGATACAACTACTTACGGACTTCTGTGAAGTTGAACTTCTGCGAACCAAAATTGACTTAACTACTCGAAACTTTGAAATAAGCGAGTAACAACTATCTGAAATAATAGAGTCAACACTACGTTGTTCTTCTTTCAGAAGTATTTTGATTATTCTCTAGTTTTTCGAGTACATGATCTTCAGTCTCGCCTTCTTCTAAACTTCGTCCCCGTGAACTCCCTCGATCGAATGGAGGCGTCACATCTAGAGGTCCTCTACGCCTTATTGCAGAGGAAGTTCCTAGAGACTCCCGGAGACGGCGGCGGTCCTATGGAGGAGTGGCTCTCCATATACGACGCCCTGAAGAAATACATCTTCGTCGCATTATTGGAGCCGGAGTTTCACGCTTTGGCGTGCACAGTGTTGAGACATGGATTTTGGAGTCCAGATGCGGGTCAGACGAGACAGATTTTCGTTCGCAATTCGCAGGACACGTTCGTCTCCATGTACGGTCTGGCCGTTGCGGGTAGTGCGCAACAGGAATTGGTGAGTGAGCAGGAACTCATGGCATTTTTGCAGGATGCTATGCAAGACAGCGAGTTGAAGTCGGCGTTGAAGAATTTGTTCAGACACTTCAAGGAGAAGAGTCCCGAACAGTTTGCACAAAGCAAATTGCAAGGGTTGTTGTAGAAGAAAGAGGAACAAGAATGTCCAGATCGGTAACTAGATCAATTATACTAGAAACACCTACACAGCCTACCGGCATTGACATAGTAGTTGTACTAGTCGATGCTGATAAATGTTATCCAAGTGAAATAAATAGAACTGCCCTTATTTCTCCATCGTAGTGACTGAGTAACGCAACTTTCTCTGATCTTTTGTTGTTTGCCTAGTAAGTGTGATACAGATATCTTTCGTTTATGAGTGTGACATCGGATTTTCGCGTATTAATTGGCAATGTTTTTTTCTACCTAGTCGTGTATCTAGTAGTGTGAGTGTGAGATTAGTGAATCAATTACCATTTGAATAGCACAGCGGGCAGTGATCAACATCTAACGAAGATACAGGAAACACGATAAGATAATGATCGAAATCGCTCGCTCTAAAAACTCAAAGATGAATAGACTAGGTGAGACAGGGCAGTTTTTGCGTAACAAGTCAAGATTTGAGGACTAGCTCGATGACTACAGATACAGATCGAATCTCTTTCCCAAACGCAAACACTCTCTTACAAAATTAAATTTCACTTATGAGAATTGTATTCGGAGTTCCAGGTAGAGGCGCCATTTATTGCGTGCTGCGTGACCAAAAATCGACGCACCAGACGTATTCAATAACCTTTCCGCATCCTCGGCGAATCCGCTTCTTCAAATAAATATAACCACTGAAATCATTACGTACTAATAGTATCATGGTGCTGCAGCTTTAAGAAAGTTAAACAACATCACCGAATAGAACGCACAATCATGTTCGTCTATTCGTCGGAGGTGCGTGCTGGGATCGCTCGCGGCGACGAACTAGTTGCGTTGGAGTCGACCATCATCAGCCATGGCATGCCTTATCCACAGAATCTAGAAGTGGCGCAGCGTGTCTTATGGCATCAGTACATTGTCTAAGCGAGGCCAGAAGTAGAAAGGTCCTCCATTCTCGAGGTGCCGATTTTTCGTCTGTACTTCTTTGTACTAGCTAGTAGAAGCATGATGCAAAGAAACGGAGGACAAGACAATATTACCAAAATAACTTTCATTTTTTTACAACGAACAGGAGTATCTCTATCCTCAGCATTTTTTCTCTAACTCCCGAGTCCTTGGTCAGACGGGAGGGCGTGACGCCAGCCACTATTGCCATCCTGAGAGGTCGCGTACATATCGGTTTGGATTTCGCCGACCTTGAGTATCTGGCGAAGACTGGGCAGAAGGTTCGGAAAGTAAGCAGAAGAGATGTCGCTGATGTTTTGGCGAAGGCTGGAGACGGAGCTACGACTGTGGCGACAACTATGATGTTCGCGGAAATGGCTGGTACCTCCTCGACGTGGTCTAGTACACAGGAAGATTCTGTAGGAATCAATGTTTGTTTGTGTGGTCCTTGTCACAGTTGTCGATTGAAAGTGAAGTCACTAGTAGTTGCAGTACAAATGTGGTGGAATTTTTTTTTACCATCTCAATCTCTCAATCCTAGGCATCCGTCTCTTCGTCACTGGCGGCATTGGTGGTGTTCATCGTGGCGACAGTTGGGATATAAGCGCAGATCTAGAGGAATTCGGGAGATCCCGAGTGGCCGTCGTCTGCGCTGGCGCCAAGTCGATCCTGGACTTGCCAAAGACTCTGGAGGTTCTCGAAACAAAAGGCGTTCCAGTTGTTGGTTTTGGTTGCTCCAGTTTTCCGAGTTTTTTCACGCGTGAAACGAAACCAACACTGAAACTGGCGTCACGGGTAGATAGTTTTGGGGAGGCGGCGAAACTGTTGGAGATGCAGATAGGACGAGTAGGTGGAAAAAGAGAATCATCTGGAAGAAATCGTGACACAAGGAGTCGTAGTCCAGGATCCACCTCATCTTCTACTCCTACTGGCACCACCTTGACAACCGGTGGTCTCGTTCTCTGCAACCCCATTCCTGCCGACAAACAATGCCTCGAAGCCGACGACGCTATCCAGACAGCTTTGAAGGAGGCGGATGCAAAGGGTGTTAAAGGGAAAGACATCACGCCGTTTCTTTTGGCCCGTGTGAACGAACTGACGCGTGGCCGCTCTCTAGAAGCCAATATCGCTTTAGTCGAGAACAACGCGCGCGTAGGCGGTGCTATTGCAGCAGAACTGTGGAAGACTAGGCAGAGCAAAAGCATAATACTCGGAGGTCAGACTTCCTCAAGTAGTAGAAGTAGTAAAAGTAGTACAACTAGAACTACTTCTAGTAACTACAGAAGTACAACTACTTCCGCGGCCACAAGAACAAGGATCACAGTCATAGGAGGCGCCACTGTCGATTACATGTGTCGACCAGACAAGGTTGGTCCTCTTCACACCAGTCTGCCAGGTAGCGTTGTCACGCGTTGTGGAGGGGTTGGACGAAATATCGCGGAAGCGATTTCGAGATTAGGAAGAACTACAACTTCGGCTACTGCTAGTACGCCATCTTCTCAATCTTCTACAGCGCCTTGCTGTACTCTCCTAACTGCCATCGGGGACGACAGTGCTGGCAATGCAATTGTCGCAGACTGCGCTGCCAAAGGTATCGGACTGCACTGTATCTTAAGGGTTGAAAGGACATTTCATTTCATTTTTACAAATACAAGCCTTACCCTTAGCCTTCTCTACTTATAATAAGATTGCTACTAATAAAAATGAAATGTAAGTTTCAACCTTTAAGTATCCGTAGCAAAACAGAGAGGTCCGCCCGTTACGTCGCTGTTTTAGACGGGAAGGGAGAATTGGTGTCGGCGATCGCGGATATGGCAGTGTTTGAGGATATCGGGAAAGTTTTGAAACAACACCAAGAGGGCCAAGCGTGGTCATCCACTCTCTCGAAGAAGATCTGCATCGTTGACGCCAATGTCAGCGAAGAGGCGATGTCGGAGATACGGGCAATGGCGAACGAAGAACTCTGGTTCGAACCTGTGTCAACAGTAAAGGCACTGCGATTTTTTGCTTTGCCTGCTTGCGATTTGATGACTCCGAACTACGACGAGCTTGCGGCTATTTTAGTCTACTACGCACGGAGAAGGAGAGGACCACAAGGAGCAAGTAGTTCATCATCTTCATCCGCACAAGCTCTTGAACAAAAAGTTCCACCGAAGTATTCGCGAGAGGCCGCGGTTGCTCTACTACGAGCTTTTGCGACTGAGATCATGATGGATTCATCCAAGAAGTACGCAAATATGAGGGTAGTGCTGACTTGCGGTGCGGATGGTTGCTTCGTTCTTGGGTGTGGGGATCAACAAAATGGCGCTGGGAAGTCTTCTGAGACGGCTTCGCCTCTAGACAAGTGCATTCAAAATCTATGGCAACACAAATATAGTCTAAACGAAGTTCCAATCATGGCGATGGCAGGAGAATTGAATAAAAAAGTATCAATCCTCCACATAGTTTCACGCAATCCTGTCACATCGGTAGTCAACTGTACAGGCGCTGGTGACACATTAATTGGCGGTCTCGCTTGGGCGTATGCCTACGGAGGTTTGGGGTTGATAGACTCAGTTTTACTAGGTATGCAAGCTGCAGTGTGGACTTTAGGGTCTCAGGCACCTGTGTCTGAAAAGTTAGAGGAATTGGTGCAAGTGGAAAGTTGTGAAGATGGAGCTTATTCAAGTTCTGGGACGAACAAAGTCGTGTCGAAATTGTAGCTAGTATTGATTTTGCCTACTAGATTTTGCTCTTCATCTGCATAGAAGTTTTTTAGAATACAGATCCCGATCAATGGTCATGGTCACAGTTAACAATGCTGATCTCCCAGTGTGCTTTTGGGGATTCTTGCTATTCATGGCGCGCGAATGTTAAAAAACCTGTTAGTACTCTAGAACTAAGTGCAGAAAAACGAGCACGAGTGCAACGAGTGATGCACATGTGGTGTTCCCAGCTGCACAATTGAGCACTTGTTGTGACAATTGATGTAAGTCTGATTGTCTCTGGACAATAAGAAAAGCTATGATGCGCCTGGCGGTGACCAGTGGTCAAGGCTTCCATTGCGTCTGTTGTTTCGTCAGCAAAGAAAGTTGTGACAATTATACTCGAAAAAGAACAAGTCCACACTTCTGTCTCTGGACTTTGTCAACAGGATGAAACAACTTCGCGATTCCTGAGTTTCACGATGATGATCGCCCGCCCCTTATTTCTTGCATGTTCTAATCGTCAATCTCAAGATCAAGAAGAATAATAGAGAAAGATGAAGGACTTAGTACGATCATGGATGTCCTCTGTTGAAGCCCTCAGTCTTCTTTTTGCTTTTTTTCCAACAACTACATTGACATTCCGAAATGAAATAGACAAAAGCTTTTCAAGGAGAAAAACGTCAAGCAAGAAGTGAATGAGGCTAAAACGATGCATCTCTATTAAGGAGTTTTGGTTTTCGATGAGCAAATAATGCAGACGGAGCCCTCATTCGTGTGATATTTAAATAAAGATATCTATTCTAACTTAAACTTCGTTGTTGTCTTTAATATTCAAATAACGAAATCGAAAAGCTAAAGACTCAAAAAACTCATTCTTCAAAAACATCACCCTGGACGAGAAAAGGCAGATGACAACTGCTACGACGCAGAACAACAGTCCATCAATGGCGATGAAGCCTCCCACACGCGAGGAAGCACTGGAGCTCGTTCGCGGTTACGGCTTCGCATGGGAGAGCCAGGACAGTCGCTGCATTGGTCGGCTTTTCTTTATGTCGCGAAGTGAAAATTGGAAGCATGCCAGACGTTTAGGCTTTTTGATACTTCATTAATGTGGTCTGGACCTAGAATCATGCGAAGCTCGTTCTTGTGGAACATGTTCTAGTCTCTAATGCCACGCGAGACGCCGTTTACAAGGAGAGGCCGGGGCGCATTATGGTTGGCCTTCCCGAGATAGAGAAATACTGGCGGGAGCAAATCGGTGGGAGAGAGTCCGGCGTAAGGTTTCACCTCTACGAAGATGAATTTGTCTTCGATCCTACGGCATTCATCACGACGCAGACAAGACCCTTTTGCGTCTCGCGTGACGCAGTTGGAAGGTTGATTGTGTTACGGCTAGTGGGAAGAAGCGCCTTGGCCTCGTTGTTCCGTATCGAGCTAATTATCTGATGTATCTGATGGTCTGGCTTTCTCATCAGTTACGGTGGGTGTGACAAGCACATGCCCTCGTAGATTTCTAGACAGAAGGTCGAAGGCGTAATTAGCTGCTCTAATCAGAGATGCTAAGACTTTCGCGAAAAAGATAAACCTAGTAGATGCAGGCCGCCAGCAACATAGCCGTGGCGCTCGTCGTGGGGGAAGTAAATCCCAAGCTGCGCTGAACCCGGAGCGTGAGGCTAGATGGAAAAAGAAGATCGAACGAACACAGTGTGTGAAGAAGCAGATGAAGAAGAGCAAGAGACTCCTGGGAGAACGCTTAGTGTCCTCCAGATTGATAAAGACAATGGAAATTGAGACAGCTATCCGTCAAACGAGGAGGAGCCTACGAGAAAGGCGTTTGCCGCATTTTGTTCGACATATTGCAAAGGATGCTGATCCTATTGGTCATGGAGCAAGTTCTAGCTCAGTAAGTAGAGGCACGCCCATAAGTAACGCAACAACAACGCCGAAAGCTATCAACAATGATCAGCAGCCATCTAGGTCGAGCCCCATTATAGGGCTACAGTCTCACCACGTTGGCCAGGCGGTTGCGCGATGGGAAGCAGCATTCTCTTCTACAGGCAGAGGAAGGCGAATGGAAAAGCACATCATTCAGTTGGCGAGACTCCGCTTCACGAGAGAGCGCCCGGAAAAACTCGCGATCAAATCTGTACCTGGATACGGGAATCTACGTCAGCTTATGACAGCGACAGGAAGGCACTTAAAAAAACAAGACCTCGCGATGATGTATTGTCATGACGGTGTATTATCATGATGGCGCATTATCAATATCATGGTGGCGTGGGCATCTTATGATTACCTACTTTCATCCCATAGATATGATAGATATTTTTCCCCCTTCATGATTGCTGATACTCATCCAGCTTCTAATAAGAATGAGGACCCCGAGGCCGAGCCCGAGAGCGAGAGCGAGCACTGGCCTTTGAAGATTTCTGTACTCGAGGAATATCATCATGCAGTTGGTAACGGCTACGCTGAAAAGGCAGAGGCAATGTGCTTCAGTGCGGACTGTGCTTCGTCGTATGCGCTGAATTATGCGAGACAAGAGAGGCCCGAAAGTCTTTTTCTTTTCGAGGAAGAGAACAAGGCTCGGTCTTCTCTGAAGAAGAAGAAAGCAGGCGCGACCATGTGGAAGAAGCAGATCGCGAAAGCGAATAAGATGAAGAAGGTTTCGCCCTTGAAAAGTACCCAAGTACTACTCGAAGACATAGAACGACAAAAGCAGGAAGACCTCCGAACGCGCCTGATTATAGCAGCTCCACACGACGAGGATACAACTGCCATGGTACTATCCTCGGCAAATCGAACGCTCGAACGTGATATCTGTCACCATTCATCCTCGACGAGCAATCCCTTCAAATCCAGTAGGAGTGACATCTTCGACTCGAACAATCCCTTCTCAGTGCCACAAAAGATAGACAACGCAGATGGCGGGACTATCTTCGAAGATGAAGTACTAGACATTATACCTCTTGACGAGCTGCAGCAAGATGATCGAGTAGGCGTTGAAGAACGCGCCACTCTTCTTAGCGAGGAAGGTGAAGATCATGAGGTTGTAGAAGGTGAGGATGGATTGGATTACTTTGCAGATGCAGACGTTATTGATTTCGAGGAGCATCCTCCGCCCATTTCCCGAGAAACTCATGGAGGTGCAACACAACTTGAGCTTGACGAACTCCAACTCGGTACTCTAGAAGCTGTAGTTGCTCCAACTCGGTTTCAACAACCTTCACCTTTTGACAATGACGGATGGAACGTCGTAGATGATGATGACGACATTGATGGCCACCCTTTAGCTCCTGAAGATTTGAAGAAGCTCGTCAAGCCGGCATCTAAGCGTAAGACTCCTACTCTTACTCCTTCTATAATCGGAAGCGGAGCAACAACGTCGTGGTCGTTCTTCGAGAGAATTTTGAGTAATACTTTGCTTAATCCTGCTCCTGCTGGTCCTACAACAACTGTAGCTCCTACACCTCCACGCCAGTCGTCTGTTTCGCCAAGTGCAGACTTAGACGAAGCTCGCAGAAGATACTTGATGAAGAGCAAAATGCTGAACAAGAATGGTCATTACTCTGCAGCCTTCACGCCAAAAGCCACTTCAGGTTCAGCATCATCCAAAAGCAAGAACGCGGTGAGCTGCTATGGTGCGTTTTCCACTTTTGGTAGACTGAGACATCCAGCTCCTGCATTGTCCTCGTCGAGTTGTGTGGGTCTTCCACCTAAGAAGAAAGATCCTCCTTCGACGCCAGAGCAGGCACGCATCCTTGGAGTTGCTGATTTTCTTCGATGACGGCTGACTACGAGCGTGAAAAAGGCATTCTACTTCGTCTTCTCGTCAATAAAAATATCAACAAATTTCAATTTCTTCTGTTCTTTCGCAAATTAGCATGGATTATGATGTCGATCTGACTGTTCTTTATCTGTTTCAACATGAATTCTTTTTTTTAAAAGCCGCTATGAATGTACAACAACTACTGCAGAGACCCACCTTTACCGACACAAGCAACTAATTGCTTGTTCTACTCTTGTGCGTGTTCTGAAAGGGAGCTTTCAGGTGAGGGGTAGTGAGAAGCCCGCATTCAAGTAGTACCTGGACGTGGAACAGGTTATACTTACTGTTTTTGTTACAGATCATTATAGTACTAACTGTTACTAGCAACTACTTCTGTTGAGCTAGAGCTTGAGAGAGCAGTGGTGCCTTGTAACCTCCGCGCGACTACGATTTGACAAGAACAGTATTAAGTTTTCGTACATCACATATAAATTACCTCCATGCATGAGAATCACTCAGTTGAAGATGGTTCATTCTTTTCGTACTGGTCCTGGTGCGGCACTGACTTCAACTTACGCGGTTGCGGATTCCAAGCGCATTTTCGCGACGAAAATATGCAAGCGATTTTTTGCGGATCTTCGCATGGAAGAAACCTCGAAGGCTACACACCCTTCAGCTCACTTCGTCCACACGAGAGCAAAAAATGCATACGGAAGTGAGATATGGCGGCCTGGGGACGGGGGGACAAGCACGCTGAAGAACCGTGACAGTGGTGAGACCCACTCCGTTTCTTCTGGATCAACAAGCTCGAAATTGTCACTCTCACTGGCTGTGAAACCAGATTTGTCAAGCTCTACTACAACAATTGTGCCCCGGGAGCAGCCAGCCAGCACCAGACAAGAAGAGGCTGAGCCTGATGAAGATGGAGGCGAAACAAAGACCCGCCCGCGTGCACCAGATGAAAAATACCTGTCTTGTTCCACGACCAAGAAGAAGAAAAGACCTGCTCCAGTGAAATCACGAGCAGGCATGCTAATTGCTTCTCTTTACAAAGACGCCTCGACAATGGATGAGCTGCATTGGTCGTTCGCGCTGGAGAAGGCTTTGAGAGTGTTACCACAAGCCAACGCCATAGATTAAGGCTCAAGAACTTTCATTGGTCACCATTTAGATTGAAGGCTTTGAGAGTGTTACCACAAGCCAACGCCATAGATTAAGGCTTTGAGAGTGTTACCACAAGCCGCTCAAGAACTTTCATTGGTCACCATTTAGATTGGAGACTTTCTCAACGACTAGAAGATCAGGGACTTCGACGGACAGCTCGTTTACTTTCATTTCATTGGTCATTTAGATTGGAGTCACTGATATCGAAGGCGCGACCCCTTTGGAGAACAGGGGAAAATGTTGAAGGGAAAACAAGTAGAGAGATGTGGGGCCCCTCCCGTTCAGAGTCAGTGACCAATGACTGCTGACCTTTAAATAGAGATATCGCAATTACTGGGGATTCTAGCCAAGCACGGAAAGCGAGACTCTCAAGTCATGTTTCAGGCTTGGGAACGATTTGCGCAAATTGCAAATCAAGGAACCGGAGAGGGGGCGGGAGAAGAAGATGAAATCGATGATAAAGCTCTCCTTAGTGATTGGCAATGGAGTGACGAAGGTGTGGCAAGTCCTCTTTTAGGTAGTCGCGATCAGTCCGGGACATCAAGCGAACAAGAGACGTCGATATCAAGCTTCACATACGCCATCATCCTAGATTCCTTCCGGAAGTTGGACTTGCCCAATGTCCAAGCTTGTAAGCTGGCACAGGAGAGACTACTTGAAAACGAGGACAGGAGCGCACCATCTTCTGAAAAAGCTTCCCATCCAGTTCTAGTCAAAAGTCTGAAAAAGTATGAAGAATTTTTGGAAGCAAAAGGTGTGAACCTTCTGGGTCGTTTCTGATAAGCCCGAACTCCAAGAAGACAGCGCACAGTTGACTTTCGAAAAGAAATCGTAATTTTTGAAGAAAGTGATGCTTTCTAGCATCTACAACCAGAGGTTTATTCCCTTTGCTAGTTGGTAGTTCTATGTAGTGAGAGAGGAAAGAATGAGTTCAGGATGATGAGAGACTCTAATGGAATTAACATTAGTACAAAAGATCCAGAAAAAGATCAAAAATTTACATTTTTCACAGAAGTCGAACTAAGAGAGCAAGTTGGAAAGACAAGGAAGACAACAGATGAAGATAATCGAAAATATGAAATAACACTCAACAAGACTAGATCATCATCATGATCACTCACTGAAAACAATAGATCTATGTACTCCGGATAACTGCAGCAGCAGCTGATGTAGATGCAGTACCACATTCCTTATCCACCCAAAACGCAACAACAGGCAAACGAATTTCGACCTTCGGGTTATTTTTGACAAGATTGTTTTGGCAACCTCTACACAAGCACACTTAAAAAAAGTTGAAATCCTCGATTTATTTTGTGAGAAGTATCAGTACCCTTTGCTCCTTTAAATCAAGTGACAGAAAGGTACGAAATAGTTGGTATAGTACATCAACATAGTAGATCCATGATTTCTAAGAAAGTAGTAGAATAAAGATAAACCTCCAAATTTTCCTGCTCGTTGTAAGTAGCTCCTTTTTGAAAAAGGACCAACGTAGATCATAACTTGGACTATCCTTGTTATTCTTTCGTAGTTCAATATTAAAAAGAGAATACCCCACCTCTGCTCGTCGAAACGAACGAGCCCGATCTAGCACTAGTTCGTACAGAAGAGTCCCGCGAACAACTTGCTTCAAGCCGAAAAGTGTCGCATCGTACCACCCGGTCTGCTGCCACGCGATATTAAACTCCCACAACAAAGAAGAAGTACAGTGTAGCGATTCATTCGTCGGGTTTGCAGACTTCCGCAATAACGAGCATAGGCATTGGAAGCGGAAGAAACCACTTCCAAGTTCTATTTGCGTGGGAGAAGAATTACATCCCTTTCGCTGTTGTAGTTCCGAAACCAACCACATCATCAAGATGGGAAACTCACCACCTAAGATTTCTGTGGAGGAGCAGATGAAACTGCACAAGAGGCAGATTTCAAAGGCGATTCGAGAGCTTGACAGGGAGAAGAATCATCTCGCGTTGCAGGAAAAGAAAACGATAACGGAAATGAAAAAGGTACAACTAAGCACTTGAAAACCTTCTTCTTCTTGCTACTTACTTGTACAGGGCGTCTATCACATCATCTATACTACCAAGCAGTATGTCCGACATATTGTTTTTTGTCTTAAGAAGAAAAAGAGTTTCTTGAATTCTAAGGCCAATGAAAATTTTTTGTACTTCAACCCATCTGACTTCAGGATGACACTGTAATGATTTCATCTGAATCTGAACATCTGAGCTTCTGGCAAACCTTGTCGCAACACTTTTTCCACTCTCATAAACTTAACCCACTGACTAAAGAAGAGTAAAACACAAGGACTAAGCTTAACTTTCCTGAGTCTGCTAAAGTTTACTAAGTTACCTCAAGTAGATCAAAACAGTTTTTGTACTAGCACTATTAACGCCCCAGTGGGCGCAGGTACTACTGCTGGTGGTCGTCTTTAGATTAAGTCCAGCAGCAAGTCTAACTCTATCTCTAGCTCTACCCTGCTCTAATGATCACCATTACTACAGCTCGCCAAGCAGGGTCAAGTCCCCACGGTCAAGATAATGGCGAAAGATCTTGTCAGGGTACGAAAACACCAGAGCAAGTTCCTCACCATGAAAGCGCAGTTGCAAGGTGTGCAAATGCAACTGCAGACGATGAAAATTAAGGCTTCCCCTAATCCATCCCTGTAGACCACATCCCTCAAACATATGCGCCCCAATACAAGGGAGACCCATACTGACGCCCAATACAATTGAAGGATTTCCACAGGGATAAGAAAAAGAGAGAGCTCTAAGAAAAGCACGCAAGCCATGACCAACGCCATGCAGGGAGTGACGAAAGTAATGCTCCAGATGAACCAAGACATGGATGCCACCGCTGTGCAGAAAATCATGAAGGAGTTCATGACGGAAAATGAAAGGGTACTTCACAACGTTTAAGATAGCCTTGTCCGACTTCTACAGTGGGCTCATGCATCTAGATTTCTGTCCTGCACTTAGCCGACTTCTTCTACTCAAGGAAAGAATTAATCCCTATCATCTAATGAAAGCCACTTCAATCTAGACAATTCCATCATCCTTCTCATGTTTTACAGGTGTTGAAGTTCAATTTTGCGCTCGAGTATAAGGACTCGTGGCATTTGGATGATGCTAATTCAAAGCCATTTCTCGGGCGTCACATTACAACAACTACAAACGAAATTATGTATCACTCGAAAATCACTATAATCATTCTTGTTCCTAAATATCTAGTAAGTACAAAATAATATACCACCACAACTACAGCAACAAATGACGGAAGAAGTGCTTGGCGATGCTATAGATGAAGCCTTGGGAGACGACGAGGTGGAAGAAGAAACCGTCGTAAACCAGGTCTTGGAGGAGATCGGGATCGAGGCTGCCAGCGATCTTGGGAAGGTAGGCAATAGTAAATTGCCGATGCCAGCACAACAGCAGGCAACGGGGGCACAGGTAGCCGAAGAAGAAGATGACTTGGAGAAACGCCTGAACGCATTGAAGAGATGATGAGGTTGAGGGAGGAAGTCATCAACTTCGACTCCGAAGAGATTCAAGAACATCACAACATAGATGGACATGATGGATGTCCTCGATGATGTCCCTTTATTTGATCCTTTGTTTTGGCATTGTTTTGAACAGATGATTTCACCGATTATAATCTGCGCATACCCATACAACAACTAAAAGTGATTACGGACGATGAGCATCCCTATTTTTCAGATGTTTGAAATCTGAAAAAACACGATTACGAAAACGCTCTACAAAGTTGGTATCATAAACCAACGCCTTATCAAGCAGCGAGACTGCGCGGCTTTGAGAGTTCTACCATGATGAGGAAAACAAAGAGTTCTAAGCATGCAGAGGAATCACAATTGGAGGAACCATTCATCTTCACAAAAAGAAGTGCTGTTTATTCAGTCTAGTTCCCTCCCAATAGTAGTTTAAGTTTCGGACTGAAAAAGAATGAGAAAGTGAAACTTGTTTGTTTTCTGTTGCAAGCAAATATTATACTTACACGAGGATGAAGATTTATTTATTATACTTCTACGAACAAAAGAACATAAACAACCTACAGGAGGTGGCGAGTACTAGATGTCTTCAACATCATTTGTTTCGCCTTAGAGCTAGCGTAAAGAGAAATGCCTTCTCCCGTTTACGGCACACGAACATCATACGGCGGATCTTCGTCCTCTAGTTACTATTCAGGTCCTTCTTCCTCTACGTCTAGACGAACGACAACCTCATCGCAGGACTCTTCGTCGATGTACAACAACAGCAGTGGATCTAATCAGAGCAATCCGTTCTACAGCGGGGGAGATGGCGGTAGTGGAGATGGTGCACCAGGGGGCGCACCTCAAAACGGTAGCCAATATGGCACCTCTTCGCCACCTACGCAGTATGACTCTGCCGACTTACGCGTCAGAAGAGGCTACAGAGACCAGCAGCCTTTAGCGGACTTCAGTTCGGTGTTTAGAGACCCGGAAGCTGGTGGGACAGCAGATGGCTTTGGACTGGAGAATACTGCAGGAGGACATACCATGTCCCCTGCTAATGGGGCAGCCAGACCAAGCATGACCTCAAAGATGAAGATTATGTTTGCACTGCTAGTAGGCGCCGCAGCAGCGTTGCACGCAGACCTGAATATGGCAGCGCCGCATATGAGCAGACTGGCGGAAGATTTTGGTATCTATAGTATACTGCTAGTGCTAGATGATTACCACGACTTCTACATCAAGCAATAAGGGCGACTTCTCATTATGATGTCAATAAATACTAGAGTAGAATTTTTAGATGATTCAATTTCAGTTTCAAAGCTTCAATATTTTTGCGTTTAGTTGCAGCAGGATTTTTGCGTTTAGCTGACCTTGATGGTCATCTCCTCCTGTGCATTCGGAACATATCCGATCTCCCACTTGAGGTCTAACGGCGCTAGAGAAAGACAAGTTGTTGGGTGGCATGGTGCAGCTTGGGTTTTTCATAGTTGGTGGCGCTTGCTCCCTTTTCGTCGGTCCGCTTGCGGACAAGTCGGACCGTGTCCAACTGCTCTCAGGGCTACTCGTCTTCTCAGGGACGTTGAACTTGTGCATATCGCAGTTTCTCCCAAACTCGAAAGCGGGGTTTTTCTACTTTTAAGGGTACACCTTTAAGTTGCTTTTCTTACCGCTTTTTATGCCTCTCTCCCTTAGGATGAGAAAGGCATAAAAAGCGGGGTAACCCGCAAGCACCAAAATAGCCTACCTCTAATACTTCTTCATTTGCCGCGTCCTGAGCGGTGTCAGCATTGGCGGATGCTTTCCAGTACTCTACTCTTTGTGTGGGGACTTGTTTCCGAGTTCACAACGAAGCTTCGTAGCCGCGAGTATTGGAGCAGGTGCGAATGCGGGAGCGGCGATTGGAAGCATCTTCAGTGGTATCATAGGCACTGCTGGAGCGTGGCGATATCCCTATGGCGTCGCGTTTTTGCTGCAGATAGTAGGAGCGGGAAGCGTAGTGGCACTGCTGAAAGATCCACGGAAGGCGCAGGAGAGGGGACAATGTAAGTAAATTTATGGCAGTTCTATTTCTACAACTTTTGCTTTTCTCAACATGATAATTATGGACGACTCTCCCTGATTGATTTTGATGCCAAATCATGATCATCTCTAATATCTCATCTTCACTCAATGTCAGTCAATCACAAACACAAACCAGCATCAGCCGGCCCAAAGGATTGGGCTGCTGCGTGGGCTGGGGGGAGACAAGCCTATACCGAAATGGAGGCGCAAAAAGGCTATATTAGAATGGAAGACCTCGACTTTTCGAAGTTCCGAGATATTGGACAAATACCCACGAATAAGATTCTTCTTTTGCAAGCAATACCAGGATGCGTGCCTGTCAGCCTTATTCTCACGTTTTTGCCGGATTATCTGAGTACCTCTACCTGCAGTACTTTGGTTGATTATTTTGGTTGATATTTTAATTTTTGATAGGAAGCACCCACGACATGCAGATGCACATCAACATGATTGACTTCTTGATTTTCCAATGTTGAAAAGAGGAAGAGTTTTTAGACGATCGGCATTTTATTTACAATCATGATCACCACTACCTCTACAGTTTCTCAGCATGGCATGTCTGTGCAGTCCACAGTTTTGGTGCAGACGACGTGGGGAGTGGCCTCGCTCGCCTTAACCTTTCTAGGTGGCATGCTAGGACAGCGCATGTACGAAACCAATAAGAATCATTTTTGCCGTTTTTTGGCTGTAGCAGTAGCCGCTGGCGTTTTTCCGTTTCTTATTCTCACCAATCTCTCCGCGTCCCTGATCGCGAACCAAGAAACTGGCAGATGCACGTTCTTGAGTCTAGTGCTCGCTTGTGCAGGCGGTCTTGTCGGCATCGCGGGACCGAACGTTAGAGCAACCTTGATGCATTTAAACCCAAGTAGTGCTCGCGGAACGGTTTTCTCCGCTCTGACTCTGTGTGACGATTTGGGCAAAGGGTTTGGCCCTTTCGTGATCGTGATCCTGATTTCGATATTTGGCCGTCGAATAGCGTTCTCGATCGCCTTCTGCTTCTGGTTCATCGCGTCCTTTATGCTGTACAACCTGAAAACACATCTCCAACGCGACTGCCATAACTCCTCTTTTGGCTTCTCGGCTGGTGGACGAGCTCACCACTCGCGGTACGAGTAAAACGGTCGCGATGGCATGATCATTCGCGATCACATGAGTGAAACTAAAAGATGCTGCTGGTCGGAGTTGGTGGCATACGAGGCGAGCACCTCTTGCATGATTCGAGTGGTCGTTCTAGAGGCCACGTCTTCGTCTACTTCCTGCTCCTCCCTTCTTGTACAACTTCAAACTAGTTAAAGTATTTCTCCCTTGACAGTCACCCGTCGGGCCGAATTAGAAATTCAAAAATTCGGATAGAGCAAATTGTCTGTCTCGTTAAACTTGCCTTTTTGTCCTCCAATAGAAGTAACACACTCACCGTTCTAACGAGCGTGTGTCACAATACCCCGTTATTCACTAAGTCCTATTTCAGCGTAAAAGTAAGCAAGTAGGTACTACAATAACTCCAACGTACTAGTCTGTCATAGTAGTTGTAATGATCGTTCTCTCCAAGAGTCAGTGCCCTCCTGAGTCAATCATTGACATTTTCAACATCTGTGGCGAGCAATCACTTCTTCTAAGCGTGGTTGTCGCCCCATCTCAGAAACTGAAATATTCAACGTCACCCAACAACGTCGCCAAAGCGCATACAGATATGATAAACCTCTACCGATTCGAAGGTCTGCTAGGTCGTTTACGATCGTTGTAATCGTACCATAGTAATAGTTGTCAACACGCAAAAAGAACTTGAAGCTACCATAGTTGTCAAAAACTTGAAGCTACCCTAGTTGTTCGTCCACCAGCTGAAAATCTCAAAGTCGCGCATATGTGGCCATCGGTTGAAGAAGTCACAGTCATTAAAGTCAAAATTATGGCCTATGATCGGTCAAATGAAGTCTGAAATCCAGCATGTGTCATCAGTCCAGAACAAGAATAATGTGGCGCCCCTACTTCAAAACTACCCCCTGCCCCTTACCGATATAGTCTTTGATATGCCCCTGCAGCACCAAACTCGCCAGCCATGTCTATGATCTTCACGGCTCTTCCTGGGCCTTTTTAATTATACGGAATAGTAAGTGCACCTTACTTCTGATGTTCAATTTTGTCAAGCAATGAACGAAGCTGGCAAGTAGAAGATCTTCTAGTTGTTTTCAATCTAAGTAGATGCAGAGTCATCTTCAATTTCAATATTCTTGAAGAATGTAAAACTAAACTACTACAACGAGCTGCACGACCACCACCTTGCTTGAAGTGATTTACTCGTAAACTCAAAATAACCGAGTAAACTCAAAAATAATACTTCGAGGCGTTCTCTTGTTCTAGATTTTCCCCTTAAGCATCCCTTTTTTTCTCTTTTAAGAATCCTGTTTGTAATGATCAATTTGGTTTTGGGAGTGCTCAAGCTTAAAAGCTTGTCGCAGGATTCAGGTTCGGCGACCTGAATATGAATGTGTCGTAGTATGTGTTCTTGCAACATTATGGCAAGCTTCGCTTGGCACCGACTGAACGGCGACCGCCTGTATCCTTGGACGGTGGCAGAACAAGTAAGTACGAGTGGGCTCTTGCATCAGCGCACACGTGCGTCACCTTAAGGGGATAAGTAAGTAAGTATCTAATGCTGTAGCTCTATAATATTGTATAAAGGTGAGTATGAGCACTTGGCTCATACGAAAGACGACCGCAAGCTCAACCGGAGAATCCTATTAAGTCGAGCACGGATACTTCTATAATTGAGCATGGCCTATCTTACCTGTAGCGCGCAATCTCTAACCATTCGGCACCAAGAAGAAGAGAGCACATGGAGCAGGATCTTGCTGCTTTGGGAATGGCTGGGAAGAAAAGGACTGAAGAAGAGGCTGGGCGCTATGATGCAGTGCTCTAATTGATATGACGCCAGGGGTAAGAACAGCAACTCGACATCTCCTGCTTGTGCATCTGCAAGCAAAAACGAAGACCAGTTGATGGATGGGCACATACAGAGGCAAGCGCATAATCATTGCAATACTAGCGAGCTTCTTCCAAGGAGGCCTTCTGATGACGAGGCGCCAGCCTTGTTGGAGAGTCTTCCTTGCGGTTCCTTTTGAGATAAATGAGTCGTGTACTTCGCGGATGAACGATAAGAAACTGAAAAACAGGCTGAAGGTGCTTAAGTACTTGGTCGGAGGTCTGAATATGAACGAGGGTCGGTCTCTCTGCGTGTAGTCAAGGTCGGTGAGGAAGTCCTCAACTCGTTGTCACTTTCGAACTATCGTAGTAAATCGAAAGCCAGTCGGTGCACCGTAATGGGAATTCCGTATCCGTTGTTCGTCGATGTTCGTCCGCCTCTCGGTAACTTGTACTTGACACTTCTCCCATTCCTCCACCTCCATAATGAGCCGCTGCCTTGATTACTTAAGTACTTACTGTTACACTGTTTACATATGAGCTTACATATAATCTATCTTGGCTGTGCCGCTTGTGCTTGTTGATGTTGTTTATGCACCCAAAAAAGTGATAGAAAATCAAAGCGGCTTGCGTTTCTCGTCTTCAACGCACATCAATGATAGGGTCTTGACCTAAGTAAACCAAGTAGAAACATCACAGACCCACGAAGTTACTTACTCTTCACTGGCTAGCAAAAAACAAAAGCTTTGAACCAATTAAGAACACACAATTAAGACATCTAAAATGGGGATACATCTCTACTGGCGTCCCTAATGGCAACACTACCTAGAAAGGCGTGTATCTCGCGTCTTTTGAAATATGGTTCTTTCAGTACAAATATTCGATGATGACAAATGTGGCTCCAAAAGGTTTCTCGTCGACAAATGTCGCAAATAAATGCACTTTCGGATTGTGGCTGGTCTCGGCCAATACACAATCAACAAATAATCCTGGTCTTGAGAGTCTTTGTGGCAAATCGGCCGTGAATCATGTGTGCAAGAAAACAATGCTTGTGAAAGACGGGTCAATTTGCCTCGATATATATAACTATGTGAACATGAGGTCATTTATCTTAAATGACCACTCCGACAATCTTCTTTTCACATAGCGTAGGATCCAAATGTATCTTTTCATTTGTGTGCTCCATCTATTCCGAAAGATATTTAAATGAGTCAAATGTCGATCTTTGAATCATGTTAACTTATCGAACGAATAGGCGAGAGATCAAATGCGATTCCATATGCGGTCAAACGAATGTTACTTAATGAAGCGATCTCGAACCTCCTTGTTCGGTAAGATAACGACTATTTGTATTGCTTTTTTCAGTAGGTCCTTCTTCGATAAAGATCTGGAACTTCTGTTTCAGATCTTGACACTTTTTTTTTGTTTTATTTTATGTTTTGTTTTATGTATTGCTCTTTTGCACCCTTTGGAATGGAACGATCTTTCGCTCTCTCCTGAGCTATCTAGTCTAGCAGATTTGCACTCTCCGATCTCTAGGACGATCTCCTCTAGAATGTGATCTTGGTGTGGTCTGTCGTAGATCTAGATATGTCTCTCGTACGTGCTTGATATGGCCATATCACGCCGTAATATTAATTAGGTTTCGAAATATATGATGAAATCATACCTATTTCGAGTAAAATGAAAGAAAATGAAAGAATTATGATTGTCAGTATGTTGGCAAGCCCCCCCTGTAATACGCGAATTAGTCGTCTCTATCAAGATAGATTAGATTAATCGTGGATTACCTATATTCCGCTGTAGTTCGGCCGGAGCGTATGGGCCTTGAGGAGCGATTCCAAACAATAGTCTGCTAAAGACTATGTTTGGGGAACTACCAGTGAATATATAGTCTCAACGCCTCTCTTTGTCAACATACTTGACCATTAGTTATTTGAACGGACTGTTGGTGATAAATATGGATATGTATACGGAATTGTTAACATGATTCAGTTCGTCCCTGTACCCCCCTGTGTTATAGATATGTTGTTCTTCGAAACCCCCTCAACTTCTTCCGAAACTCAACGCCAGTGTTGTGTCCAGAAGGTCTCTGCATCTTCCAAGAGTGCCTCATGTAGGTATCCCTCCGCCCACCATGAGTGAGTGGAACTCAGACTGGCATGCAATCCCATAACATCCCCGTGAAATGATGCCATAGGAAGGAACCAGCCTGACCAAGTCTCCGGACGTAGGATGAGCACCAGCGGCCTCGTGTATCCTGTGTGCTGGATGAGGGCAACAGGAGTCCAGCGAAACTCAATGGCAGCTCGTCGACACACTCCGAAGTGTCTGTCCCGTACCGTCTCGAAGGCTTGACGTCCCACGAGGGCCATGAGCACGACGTAGCACCAAAACTTGACGAGGACTGGAGAGTGCTCTTGGAACAAGGAGATGTGCCACGACCGATAAGGCGCAGCGCGCACGTCACCGTCGACACCTTGATCATCCTGATGGACTCCAAAGTATAGTATCTCCTCGTTCGGCGGATAGTGTCGCCCCTGATTATTGGGTCCATTCCCCTGTACCCGATTGGCACCTCGATCACAGTCCGAGTCATGCGGGTCCTCCGTAGATCCGATGTAAGCTTGCGCTAGACTCGGGTAAGGTAGGCCGTAATAACTACCCCAAGTGATGACAATACGATTTGTGACAAATGGCTCTGGATTGGTCAGAGCTCGTCTGCGTCCCCACAGATTGCAGCGGAGCAGGCACTCTGACGCCAGATGACGCGGTGCGCAAAAAACCCAAGTAAAAACCTTGTGGAGGAAGAGACTCAGGAGTGTCGCCTCACCGAAGTCGCGAAATGACTCGTGGTACTGGAATCCCCTATCCCATAGTTGTGTGAAGACAAACCAAAAGGCAATGGACAGAAGAGAGAAAAGCTGATGGTCAAAAAGGAGAAACAAGTCCGTAATCGTCAAGAAAATAGAAGGAAAGAAATACAGAATAGGTCGGAATTTCTTTTGAAATACTCCAGCCGGTATCACTAGAGATGCAAAAGAGACTACCCCAATAACCACAGACTGCATATCCGCGTCCCACATCATCTTACTTTCTGGTATGTTATAACCTACTTGAATATTCCGAAGTCTAACAGGAACCTAGAAACAGTTGGGTCGATTTTTTGTTCTCAATCCTGTATGGTAGGTATGTATTTTTTATTGTTTGTTTTGTATATTTTTTTGTATTTAAGTATTTATATTATGGTGATACGCCTACTTCGTGGAATCTTGCGTACGGTCGTGGCGGATGCAACTCCATGTACTACTATGTGATACACTTTTCAGTAGCGCACCAACAAGCAGTAGGAGGTTTACATCGGCCAACCCAGGTCAGAGCGACATAGATTTTCTTTTCGACTATACCATGATTCTTCGGAAATAGCGCATCAAGGTGCAATGGATTTTGGTATTACTTTGTGAAGGTCAAATCAGGCGCAGTACGATTGACAGGTCATTCCATTTCGAAGAATATCAGAAGAACACGATAGAGAAAATTTTGTGTGCGCAGAACTGTCGCCAGAACAGTTCTCTATGAACAAAGGGTCAAAACCATGCTAGCTGCAGCTCCTCATGGAGGTACAGGTAACGTGGGTCTTCTAGAAATGTAGGTACTGTGCTGTTATGAATCACTATACTTAATGTGCCTAAAATTCTAGGATATGTCTGTTTATGCTATAAAGATATATATATACTGTTTTTTATAATTACCCTCTATGAGTCTCAGTATCGTCAACACCCCTTTTCTCGCAATCAATAGAAAGAATCTGGTGGTCGAAATTTCGTCGCGTCGGTCGAAGTCGAAGGCGCAGGCCGGGAACGTGGAAAAAATGCTGTTTCTCATACGGCATTCGGATTCGTCCGGTATCGCCTTTGACGCTCTTCTCAAAGTGTGTCACTGCTGCTTTATTTGCAACAAAGTAGTCAATTGTAAAACCTGTTTTGTCCGGGCAGCGGAAAGTCCAAGTGCTGTCCCCTTGTGTGACGCATGCTGCCGCTTTCCCAAGTAGACTATCTTGAAGGGACTTTGTCTCCCGTTTGCTACAAGACGGCGTCTCGCGATCGTTACGTCTATGCAGACAAACATGACATCGTGACAAAAGTCGATTAAAATCTCCAAAAGCTATGGAGGGAACGGTTGTATCAAACCACTGACCAAGCGCCTTATCAAAGGCTTGAGCAACGTCAAATCGGCGCAGCTCCTCCGAAGAGTTGACACTATAGATGTTGGCGATGCGCGTCGTAGCTCCAAACAAATCGAACTCGAGCACTGCAAACCGGCCTTCACGATCTGCAAAACCCAAGATTCCTCCAGATGTTGGGATGTTGCTGTAGTCCAACTGGTCGCCCCAATAACGATGTCGGAAATCGCGGCGAACAAAGGTTGCAAGGCTGCTGTAGCCGACGCGCGTAGTTGAATTTCGAAAATAGTTGACATACTTCGATCCCAAATGATCTTCGAGTAGCTTCCGAAACTTTGTTTCTGTAGTTGCTGAAAGCTTGGTCTCCTGGATAAAAACGAAATGCGGGGAAGTCTCAAATACCGAGTAGAAATCTTGCAGTCTCTTAGAGTCCTCAAAGGTCGCTGCAAGTCCGTCGATGTTATAGCTGACCGCACTGATCGAATCTGTAGGTGTCGGGAGACTACGATCGACCCCGGTACGGAATGCTGCAAGAGTGCGTGCATACTGACCTTGTGGGAATACTTCGAGCTCCTCAAGCTCCACTACACGTTTCGCCAGCTCTCGTCGGGTCAGGCATTTCGAAAGGTTCATGATGATCGCGCCATGAGACAACTCGACCGGACGGATCATTCTGATGCTTTGCGGGTTACCTAGTTTGTGTGGTGCTCCTGACAAAAGTTGTATCGATGCACTATTTGCGCCTCGATGCGTTACAACAAAAAGTCGTGGGAGCATTCGGCTCTCGAATTTGCCCTTCTTGGCGCGGAGTCGAACCACTATAGACCCCATCTGAATGCGCAAGTCATCCTTTGCCGCCTCTCGACGGAGTCCTTTATGATGGTTTCGGAGTCGGTTTGCATAATAAATCGAATCGACTTGTCTTCGTCGTCGAACTGCTAGC